AGAAAGAGGTATTTGATTTTCAGAAACTTAAGATATTTGCATGTTAATATATACTATTTCACTTTGTAGGAATATATTCATATTTGGGAGTGGCAATAAAAAAGGGATTTGGGGATCTAGTAGCAGGCAGAACGAGTCAAGCAAAACAGTCGGGCTTCCACCCAGAAGGTCTTCCTGTAGGGACCGGGACTCGTTGCCTTCTCGTTGATAAAAATTAGATGAAGAAAAAATTTTGGCTAGTCATAATATATCTTAATGGTGAAGAGATATCAATATTGTAGAAAAGTAGTTAAAAAAGTAATGAAACATCCAATTATCATTCTAGCACAATAATATTGCTCAGAAATTTATGATATCAAACCTAAGTGCTTATTAAGACAGTGAAAATAACTGCTCAGAATTGATGATGTAAAAATATTCAAATAAGAATCTTTTCATATTATTCACAATAATTATAAATTGGACAATTTGAGATAAAATGATTTTATTGAATAAATAAATTATAGATAGTTTTCAGTTGATACCTATTCTTTTACTTTGAATTGATCTCAGAGATAGTCATATAGTAATAATTAAGTTAGGGCTAATACAATAATGAATAGGTGTTATTTATTATTAAAATTAAATTAGTTCCAATTCAACGAAAGGAGATCATAATTTTAAAGAAATGAAATTTATAATTGCTGGGAGGAAGTTTAGAAGGTAAGTGTTAAAAAATAACAGTAAATTAGGTATTCAAATTATCTAGTCATCTGTAAAAGAAAACTAAACACCTAATTTTATCGACCATTCGTATTTCAACCTTTATGTAGAAATAAGTTAGTGTTTATAGAAATGGTATTTTTTTTCACTTAATATCTTCAAATTATTTAGAATAAAGTAGAATTATTTAAATCTTAAAATTGGAGGTTAGAAATCTATTAGTTAGAGTTTTTCTACAATTTTAGTAAACCTCCAAATGTTATAATTTCATGATCAATAATAACCCACACTTTGAACATTTTTAAGAATTTCTTAATGATTACTCTTTTCTCTATTAGAAAAGAGAATTTGCTTAATCAAATAATTTTATTAAAAATTCATCGTCAAAAACGATAAAGCCCAGGCAAGAAGAAACAACTCGTTTAATGAATATGAACAACAACATCACCACATTTGTTCTCAGAATTTGCTTATAACATTTTTTTAACTGAAAATTTATTGCGAATGATGAACTTATGCTGTTCTGATCCTGTATCAACAAGACATTCAACTGGTAGAGGAGAACTGGTTAAATTATTAAAAATGAATTAGAGGATAAAGAAAATTAATACAAAGCAAAGACAACATAAATGAGACCAAAACGATTCATCATTATTTAAGGAGAGAAATGGAAGAGGAGATTAGATGAAAATTTGATCAATATATGAAAGAAGAATCTATTCTTTAAGAGAACATAACCCAAAATCCTACTCTGATTCAGCTCGGAGCTAGTAAAATAATTCATGATGCTAAAAAATATGGCTCTAACTAAGAAACCTTAAGATTAAGAGAACACCTCCATTCATATATTGGATCTGAGGGGTTCAACATAATCTTTTTGAATTTATCTTGAACTTATAAAAAGTTGACTATCATGTGTTAATGGGATTACCACCTACTGTTCTGAGGGATAGTATAGGAGGAGTTTATAGCTGTAGAAACCATAATAAGGATCAATGTGCAATTGTTTTCACATTGATAATAATAGAAACCAATCTTATTTTAAGAAGCAATTGCATAAATGTACAAGAAGGATACAGTGTATGAAGATTTAAGAATATCAATTTCCTTTAATGACGTTGCAGAACCATGTCTATCAACTGAAATTGATAATGTGATCTCACTTGAAGTAGAACCATTTTTAAGAGATTTTGAAAAGGTTAGAGAGAGACCATGACTTAGAAATGGCTGTAGATACTGGTAGGAACACTTAAGGATAATACAGCTTTTGGTTATTTATTTAAAAGGTTCACAGTTTCTTGATGATCTAACTGTCTTATGCTTCTATAGTATTTAACTTAATGATATATATCTATTCCTCATAAAAATTATTTTATGAGCTTTATAATTCTTTAATTGATTTTATTAAGTATTTAATTAAATTGTCCGATAGACGGCAGAAATAATCTGAAGTTATGAAATCATAAGATATTCGCAATTTAATAAATTCCTAGTTATGAATTGAGAATTTTCATTTTTTAAGGTAATTAGATGAATTACTAAGAATACATATTCTCTCTGTATAGCGAAATTGACTTTAATTTGCTAAATTTTCTTACTAATCTTTCGCTGATGTAAATAAATGTATCTTTTTGGTTAATAGGATTTGTTATAATTAAAATTGAACATGTATTATGAAAATTTAAGCATATCTAGGAATTTAGAAATTCATGAATCTATAATTTATTAAGCAAACTAACTTATACAAACTTTGTTTGGATCGTAAAGCTTATATGCTTACAGATTAAAATCTAAGATTGTTTTTTTGAAATTTCCAGCTTTTGGCTTAAACTAAAATAACTAATCAATCAAAATTTCTCTTGAATATTTATTGTTCAATCATAGTGCTATAAATTGTTCAGCTTACACAAGAGGATTTGAATAATAACACTTATGATTATTTTAAAATTGCTCCACTGTTGTGTTATCACAGGTGTATTTAGACTAAATCAAAAAATAATCAAAAATATTGAGCTCAAATTAATGTGCTCAATATTTACCAGCTTTCTTTACAATTATTTCAATATATATAGCTGGTTGATAAAAAGAATAATCTATTACATCTTATTTATATTTCTAGTGGAGGTTATATTTTTGATGCTTTTCTAAATAGTAAAGTATTTATCCACAAGTTGTAAGATATAAGTTAAGACTTTTAACAGGTTTTTTTGTCCTTTAAATCAAGTTTTCATTCTGTTCAATTGATTAGCCTATTAAAATGAAAGTTGAAAAGGATTATGAGATTTGATCAATTGGGCTTGCTTTCATTTAATTTTTTGGTAAAATAGTATTTACCATTTTATATTCTACAATATCAATTGAATTACACTATTTTGGCTTTTCTTAAAGTACTACATTCAGCTCAAAAGAATATTTACTTGGATTATTTCCCATATTGATTCTCTCATATATAGCTTATAATCAAAATAATTAATTCTAAAAATTTGTGTAAATATTGTAGATAGCTTATTGAAATTGTAAGGATTGTCCTTCCTGAATAATTTCAAAATATCTTATTATAGAAATGCATATCAATAAATCATTCTTAACAAAATTAATTAAAAACTTAGAATTTGTAATTTAAGTTTCCTTAGTTCATGATGTTAGAATAGATGAAAATTTTATTTATATACAAAAAAATGTACTGGCTGTAGGTAACTGAATTGCGACAATAACGAGTTTTAAAAGAACTAGAGTTCATAAATAAAATTTAAATAGCATGAAAAATTGCACTTTATAATATGTGTGATTGAAGAATTTAAAACAAAATCAAAATTGTCCTGTTGTCGTGAAGAAAATAATAATAAATTTAAAAATGGAAAAATGTTTGCATTAGTGGTTAGTAAAGATATTAAAAACAAAAACTTAGTTGATAGATATATATACTAATATGCTTGTATAAACCAAAACCAATAAAATAGAAAACAATTTATCTAAAAGTCTATAAGAACTGTTTTTTTCAGGATTTTACTTCATTTGGTAGAATGAAAAATAGATAATAAACAAAACTAATAATTAATAAATTTATATTCTATTCATATAAATAATTGATTTCTAGCACATTATGGCTTTTTTCTTTTGTATAACTTTTTCCATGTTTAATATATATCCTTGATGATGAAAATTAATTGCACATTTACACCTGAAGATAGAATGACTATATGAATCCATCCCAATATTATTTTTTTCTCTTCATTAAAATATTCTTTACACTCTGAGATATATAAGTATGAACTAAGCATAAAAATCATTACTGATATCTCAACTACCATTTAAACAATATAATTCTTTTTACTTTATATATGCCTATAAATAAATAGAAATTTAATTTATAAGACATTTGTAAAGAAGAGTAATCCTAATTATAATATTTGAGAACTTTAAACATTAATCAAGAAGAATTAAAAAAAGAATTATCTTCCGAAACTTAAAATTGCAAATCTTTCCCTCTTTTACAATTTTTATTTCAATTTGAAACAATCTATAAATATGGTAAAATAAAGAATAAGAATAATGCTTGCCAAAATAAGTTGCACAATATCTAAATAATTATTAGTTTAAATGTTTCGTGTATACAATAATATTTTAAATGCCATATCCCAACCATTTAAAATTACAGCTTTTTATAAACCTTAGAAAGACAAAAATTTTTTCAAATTAAGCAAATCTTTGCAAATGTTATAGAAGGTTTCTTCACACTTCAAAATTAGTTTTGGACTTATGTATAAGGACAAAGATGAGGCATAGTAAAAGTTCCTAGAACAAAATATCTACTTGTATATAACTTTTTTAATTAATTGGTACAACAAAATAAGGAATAGAATTATAAAGCATTACAATATTTAGCATGAAAGATTGATTATCAAGCTTGAGTTATATTTGTAAACATCAAATTTTCCCTCAGAATATGGTTATTAATTTTACTAAACCTCAATGAACTAAAATATATATGAAAAATTTATAAAATCTAATAAAGGTTGAATAGTTATCAAATCATTAAGAGTAAAATAAATCTCTAAATTTTCTGGAAATTATAGGTTAATGTATCTCAGATATTGCTAGGATTATAGGATTGCCAATATTTCAATAAATAAATCCCCACTTCCTAATAGTAGATTTAAACAGGTAATCCCTGACAAACCATAAATTAAATAAATATTTAAACTCCTCAACCTATATGAATACTCCTTCTAAGTTTCATCAAGATATTTTGGATATTATAAAGTTATTGATTTTTTAAAGTCATCCAAAACAGCATTATCTATATTAGCAACTGTCTAATTTACTAAAATTGTTAAAATAGGTCTAAATTCAAGTAATTGATGTACTTCTATTTCTGCGACGTATTCTCCAAAACTCACATATGATCCAACATCCTAGTGGATATATAAACTGTTATTCCAATCCTTCATGTCTACATTTGATAATTTAAAATTTATTGTTTTTGATAAAGGCTAATTTGTGTATATTTTTACTTATTGATTAAATTAGATGCTTATGTATTATTTATTAAAAGTCATATTGAGATAAGTAATGACCAATTTTGGAGCTTTGACTAATATACATTAGCTAGGAGAATCCCTTATCATCGTAGTACATATCCAATTTTATTCAATCATGCAATCCTTGCATCCATCTGCTTCTTCATAATTTCCATCATCGCATTCCTCTTATTTCTAAAGCAATCCATCTCCACAATTTAATTAGAATTGGCATTAATTTGAATTTAGTAATTTGTATTGATCATAGCACACTAAACAAGTACCTTAGTAGCATTCAGAGCAATTTTCTGGACATGAATAAGAATACTTGCAATTGAAGCAACCATCAAATTAGATTGTATTTCCATCATCACAATCCTCTTCTTTTGTGACTATTTAATCACCACAAACAGAAAGGCACCTACTATTAACAATTTGGTATCCATCTTCACATTGTAAAATACATTAACCTTAATGGCAATTTTTGCAATCTTCAGAGCATTAAAACTTACATTCAAAGCAACCATCATAAGGTTGTATATTTCCATCATCACATTCTTCATATTACTAGAGAATAAATTTATCTCCGCAAATAGGGAAACATGCATTTTCTATCAGTGAATATCCTATTTCGCACACCAAGCACATTGAAAGTAGCTAATTTTTGCAATTAGCTATTAATATAAATCTGCAATCCTAACAATTATCCCATTCTCCATTATCTGTCAGATCACATTATTCAGCCGAATAAGGAACTACATTGCTATCTCCACATAAAGGAACACAATTAAAATCAGAATTTAGATGAAATCCAAAAATGCATTTTAAACAAATTCCGAATTCGCAAGTTTTGCAAAAGTTTAAACATGAATATTTACATTAATAGCAAGAATCATTAGATATTTGATTAGCATCATCACATTCTTCTTAACCTTGAATAATTCCGTCACCACAAATGGAATGACAATTTTCAAGAAATTAATCTTAAATCCAGCCTATTTCACAATTCAAACATATATCATCTATTTATTCTAAACAGCCTTCATTAAATTTATTTACTATTATTTTTTATTAAATTTAGAATAGTCCTAAAGAAGAATATTAATCTTCATCAGCATAAACTGGATGACAACTTTCATGAAATTAATCTTAAATCCAACCTTTTTAACAAATCAAGCATATATTATTAATTTATTCTAAACAACCTTCATTAAATTCGCTTACTATTAATTCTGATTAAAGTTAGAATAGTACTAAGGAAGAATATTAATTTTCATCAGCATAAACTGAATGACAATTTTCATGAAATTAATCTTAAATCCAACCTTTTTAACAAATCAAGCATATATTATCGACTTATTCTAAACAGCCTTCATTAAATCTACTTAATATTACTTCTGATTTCAACTAAAATGCTCCTACAGAGGATGATTAATCTTCATAAATTATATGACAATTCTCAAGAAATTAATCTTAAATCCAACCTGCTTAGCAAATCAAGCATATATTATCTATTTATTCTAAACAGCCTTCATTAAATCTACTTACTAATATTTCTGTTTAAGTCTAAACTACTCCTATATAGGAATATTAATCTTCATAAATTAAATGACACTTTTCATGAAATTAATCTTAAATCCAACCTACTTAGCAAACCAAACACATATTATCAATTTATTCTAAACAACCTTCATTAAATTTACTTACTATTTCTGATTAAGTCTAAACTACTCCTATATAGGTATATTAATCTTCATAAATGGGTTGACATTTTTCATGAAATTAATCTTAAATCCAACCTATTTAGCAAATCAAGCATATATTATCAATTTATTCTAAACAGCCTTCATTAAATTTACTAACTATTATTTGTGATTCTGATTAGAATAATCCTTATGAGGAATATTAATCTTCATATACTGGATGACACTTCTTAAGATATTAATTATAAATCCAGCCCTCTAAGCAAATTAAGCATTTATCTTCAATTTGCTCTAAACAACCTTCATTCAATTTGTTAACCGTAATTTTTTCTTGTAAAGTGTAAAATATTTCAAAATCTCTTATAAAACTATAATCAGAGGATGGGGAAGTTTTAAAATTCAGGAATAATATTGGATCATAATGATTTTCAATTAATAGTTCTACTGGTTAATAATAAGAATTTAAAGTTGTTTTGCCATATAAATAGTCTACAATGATGGTCTTGTCATCAGCTTTTACAAACCTTATTAATAAATCTGAATGAGGAGGTAGTTCAGTAGAATATTGAATTTCTTAATATTTCAATAATTGGCATTATCCACAATAGTAATCATTTTAGTACGATGGTCCAAACGTCCATCCATCAAAACTTGTCAATGATTTCTAAATAAATGAATATTAATGCAGTTTCCATTTTAAGCAAAATATTTGATAATTCTCTATGCATCCATCACAATCGTACTAGCACTTTATAGTATTTAAACTTAATGATATTAACCCTGATCCATTGAAGGTGTTAACAAACATCCAAAAGGTTCTTCTGTTATGTTAAATAGTTAAGGATATTGTCTAGATGTATTCTTATTGTGAATATCCACAAATTTAATTTTATGAGGAAATTGATGACTCAAAAACGGGTCTTCCTTTATAGTCTAATTAAAAGACAGGAGTAGAAGAGTCTTAATCAATCCTAAATAAATTATTAATGTCGTTACTTTAAAATAACACAATCCACTCTAATATGAGAATGATCTTCTAGTACGTCAAATATTTTGCTAACAACAACAGTACCACCGTAATTAGATGACCCAAAATATTGAATCCCTCCACAAGAAGTGATAATGGCATTACCTCCCAAATCTTCCCATCCTAAAATATCAATTATTAGAAATTACCATCTCTTAAGTTAGAACTTGCATTAAACTAATAAATCAGAGTTTGATGAGATGTGTAAATTAAAACAATGAATAATCTCAACATAATTTCAATTATAAAATATAATGTAATGTAATAATTAATATAAATAATACAAATATTTAAGATTGAATCTGGAATGAAATAAAATTTAATGAACTTAATTGAAATTAAATTTAAGACTTTAAGAGCATTTTACTATTAAACTTTAATAATGGAGACCGTTATCTATTATTCTCTTATATTTCTATTTTGGCAATCCTATTGAGAAGCCCTCGCCTTGAGCAAATTCGATAAGAATATAATATATGGATTTTTATTATGAATCATTTTGTTAAATCTTCTTACAGGCATTTTTAATCATATAAAATTCTAAACTATTTAATAAACACAAATTATACCATTTTATGAAATAACCTTTTATTATTTCTATAAAAATCAATAATTAAAATCTTAGTGATTAAAAACTGTAATAAAGATTATAGATAGCATATTTTATATAGGAAATCTATAAATATTATCTTGGCTTGGATTGTAAAGAAAACGAAAAGGATTAGTTTTTATTTTGCTAAAAGGGACCATTTTAAGTGCTAAAAACTTAGATTATTAATGATTAATATAAATTCTTTAATTAAACGTTTTGAATTTATTCTTTGACTCTAATAAAATTAATCTATTATTTCTGTTTCAAATGAGATCTCTTCTGTATTGCTGATAATAGTTAAGAAAGATAATCTTCATGACGTTTCTAATATAACAAAACCTTTTCAGGTTATTTCACTAAATTTGAAAAATAATTTTCCTAATTTTGTTTAATGCTATCCTTTAAACATATAGAACAAAACGAAAATATTAATTTCTTATATTTTTCATTATAAAATTAATTCTTATTTAGTAAACGGAAGCCATTATTTTCAGCTTTCGTTTAAGATGATTATCAATTCTATTTTCCTAAAATTCTTTTCTCTTTATCTTATACAAGGCCATAGAAATTTTTCCAGAATCTGTAATTACTAATTACTCATATTTTTTTTAAAACATAGCGAAACTATTTCGAATGTTCCAACAAAAGATAATTACATAATTGGTTAAAGGTATTTATAATAAACATTCTTCAATTAAAAACTTGAAAAAATTACAACCATTTTATCTCCATCTTATTGATTAGGACAATATATATAGCATCATCAATCAAATCAAAGAAGCTATACTCATTAATTATTATTTTTAATCGTCTCTAATATTATTAGTTCTCTTCATTATTAATTTAGTTGTCACCCCAAAATAATTTTCTCCTTTTTCAATTTGGTTAAAATCGCCTTAAATTTATTTTAATATAATTACAAGTTATGAGGAAATTGAAGGAAGAAGAAATTATTCTAATTAATATTATTTCTATTGTTTTATCTCATTTTAAGTTCTGCTATTTTGACTGTTATATTGACCCAAATCAATCAAATAATTCTAAATATAGTCTTAATTAAAAAGCAGCATAACTTTTCTTTGTTTTAAACTTAACTTCCTTTGCAAGTTATTATTTTCGACAATAGTTTTTACTTTCAATTTAAGCTTATAGGTTTTCATTCTATAAATTCTAAATTAGAAAAGCAGGCTCATTCCCTTATCAAATTGTGAATAAATAGATATACTGCCTTTTAGGGGAGAAATCAAAACAAATAAAAGAGAAGCCATCTTGATTGATTAAGCATGCAATTTTAACATTATAATATTAACTATAGGTCAAATCTTGTATTATCAAATATGCATAAATATATAAAATAAGGTTTAAGCAAAAAGATGAAAGTCTTAAAATTATATAATCTCAATTCTCATTAACCATTTTATCTAAGAAAGAATAGGAATAAGGTTTAAGAGGATCACTTTATACAATAAATGATAAATTCTTCTTAACTTTATTTCAATGTTATTAAAATATAATCTATGTTAATCCTATCAAATCCCCTTTGATTAAACTTAAATAATAATTTAAAGATTTAATATGAAATACTGATTGATTCATTTGATAAATTTATGAATTCCTGTTTATTAAAGTTATGCTTTGAAATCATTTTATAGCAATTAATGTGAATTGAGTTCCAAAAATTATTTTTTCTCTTATTCTGTTAGATTATGGGAATTTTTGCATTTATCAACTAATTGTTAGATGAATAACTGCTGCTTTTTACTATGTTTTACTAAACTTTCATAGTCAAGAAGCACAATGTCTACAACCTTTAAAACTTTCTTTATTGCTTCTTCTGATTTCATTTAATTCTCCAGCAATTAGTATTTCTAATTTTTAAATAAAAAATACAGTTTCTTATAAAGAATTAATTAATTTCTATTGTATAACATTTGATTTATCTTTTGATTCCACATTTTCCTATTTTTATTGGATATTTGATGTTGGATTTAAGGCAATTTAAATTGATTATTAAATTTCTTCTGGGGATTCAATCAGACTATTTCCTTCTTCGTTTTAACTTCCTTCCTCATCTTGAATTTAATTTTATGAAACATTTTATGAATTCGAATTTTCATTTTATGAATTCTAAGATTGTGATCTTTTTTCCTTTTCTTTTTCTTAATGCAGATTTGATTTGTCTTTAGATTCAAATAAATCCACACATGTTTGTACAAAGAAGACAGCATCAATTGAGTTTGTCAAGATTTTATCATACACTTTAGTTTTGGAATTCACTTCTTTAACTCTAGCTCCAATTTAAGATATAGATTCAGCTCCTAAAAACCGAGTTGTCAAAGTTGACCAATCATCTAGGCTTAACTACTTTATATACCAAATTTCAAATTCAGTCCATCAAGCATTTGAGTTCTAGAATTGTATGAAAAATTAGTGATGATTGTCTTTCTTAGTTTAATATAGAAAGAAATTGATGAGTTTGATTTTTTTAATTGAAAATATCTCTTGATGTATGAAAGGTCTTATGAATTATTTGATTTTTTCATATAGCTGTATAACAAGATGGTTACAAATGATTTCATTTTACTTGTTACACCACTTTGGATATGAAATTTTTATTGCTAAATATTTACTATTCTATACTGAATAATGAAGTAATAATTGTTCAATAGGTAGCTAACTTGTTTTCATTAATTCAAGTATTTCTAGAAAATACCCCATGATATTGACATCTTTCATAAGATTGACATCCTTTTATTTTGAAGTAATTTCATACCTTTTCATACTATGGATCAATAAGATTAGGAATTTTTTCTTTCAATTTGCTTATAAACTTAGCGTCATCATCGATTTCCATATTATTAAATAATTGAATTAATGGATATTTTAAAAAAGGTTTTTCAAAGCATCACTATCCCCTCAATACAAGGGTATGACTTTGAAAAGGATTGCGTTCTTACAGTGGGCTAATGGAGAGTTTACAATGCCAAGAATAAACAAAGGTTGGGTTCAGTTTGGCTATGCGATTAGAGCAAATAGTTTTAAATTGCCAAAAAAGAATACATCAGTATGATAAAATTAAAATACCCTGGAATTCTGTAAGTGCTTGAACCGCTAGTGGAAGAAAAATCTCATATAGGATTTGTAACTGAGAGAATAGAATGTACTTTAAGTCAAGCCTTAAACGATAGCAAATATGTATTGTCAGAGATCGAGATGAAATTGCATGTATTGGAAATTGTAGATGGATTATAATTTTTGCATAATAATGTACGCCAAGTTCACTTAGATTTATAACCAGAAAAAATTTATTTTACTGACAATGGAAAATGGAAGATTGGAGGTTCCCCATTTTAATAATAAATTTTAAACTCTGTAGTTGAATGTCAGATTAGCTCTGGATATAATATATTGTACACAGCCCCTGAAATTGTAAATTAGTCGAATTTATCATAGCTTTCAACTAAGTAATAATGTGGATATTCAACAGATATGTTTTCATTAGGAATGATCATATTGCGTTTGATGAGATTTAAAAATAATCGTGTGCCTTTTCCAGAGACTCAAGATTAAGATAGCTATCTAAAATTTATCAAGAGTTTAGATTTAATGAGATATAAGGATGTACATCAGGAATCATTTTTATAATTTTTGGGGTTAATGCTATCTCCCCAAATGAATAATAGACCTACATTATCTCAATTTGTACAAATTGAATGGTTTAAAGATCCATATTTAATTACATTTAACATCTTAAACAAATTACCAGAGTATGATATGCAATAATAAATTGTGTTTTTTAAGGGATTATCAAGTGTCATTTTTAATTTTGAAAAATCTATTCTTAAAAAAAGGCTTTTACCAATTGTTCTAGGTCTAACTCAATATGATCATTTGTTAACTGCAATTGTATAAATTATTCTTGAGACTATGCGAAGAGAGGATATTATTAACTCAACTTAATTTTAATCAGAGATTTGGCCTAAACTTAAGTATTAATTTAAAATTTATAAGATAAATTATTTCTGGAAAGGAAATACCTGCACAAGTGTTGTATGATTTGGTTCTTGCATTGCCTGTCTTTCATAAATATATAAGTCAAAAAGAAGCTTAGGAACACTTGATACCATTATTGATAAAGTGCTATGAATGCAAAGTCCCTAAATTATAAGATTTAGGAATCAGAGTAACAGAATTTGTTCTTGAGAATAATGATTATACCTTTAGCAAAACCAAAATTTTACCAAGAATCTTTGTGCTTGCATTGGATTAAAACATAGAAATTAGAAAAACAACACTCATTTGTATATATAAAACATTAAATGTGATGGATACTGATTTAGTTTTGAATTCATTAGAAAAAGTAAAGGCATTGGGAACTGATCGATAATTAAATTAGATTGTCTTAAAAATATATTAATCCTTATCTAAAATTTTATCAATCGATTAAGTGTCACAAAAATTACTACCTTAAATTACTCCTTATTTAACTGATCCAACGCTTTCAAAATAGGAATTTAATGAATATTATGACACCTTATAATAAATGTTAGGCAGAATTAAAAGTGAAAAAGAAAAGAACTTGAGTGACCAAAGCATAAATGTTATACAAGTTGACTATAAATTAGCTTTACCAGAACCAAAAAGATTAGTAGATAATAAAAATGTATAATTTGAATTTCTAAATCAATTTGATTAAAGGTTAACGTCTATTCCAGATAAACCTGTAATTCAAGAAGCTTCTAACTAACAGGCTTCTTAACAATAAAAAGATCAAGTTCCATAACCTTAAAATTAATAGGTACCAGTTACGTAACCATCAACTTAAACAGCATTTCCAATTTAAGAAAATAATAGTTTCAATACTATCCAACTAGGTCAGCCTGTAACTTTAGGAATGCCAATTGATTCATTCTAATAGAATTCTTCTCTAAATGTATTCCATTAACCTGGAGTTTTTGTTATGGACAAACCCCCCACTCGATAAAATTAATAGTTGAATTAACTTTCAATGCAACCTGCCTAATCACAGGGCTTCACTTTAGAATTTAATACAAACCCACTTTAATAATAACCAGCTTTTGGGTAATAATAGTAAGGTGGTTTTCAAAATTCAACTTAATTAAATTAAGGGTAGGCAAATCAAGCATCTTAATAGGATATTAAGAAATTAAGTACTCGGCCATTATTTTCAAATAATAACAATTCATAATAATAGTAATAGTAGTAGTTGTAATTATAATAATAATCATAATAATAACAATAACAATAATAATCATAATTTTTTTAATAACCTTAGAAATAATAAAATAATCTTTTTGAAAAAACGAATGACCCTTGGAGTGCTTTTAATTAGGGTGCCACTTAAGATCCTTGGGCGTAATTTTAAAATCCGGTAATTTAAAGTTAGAATTAACCTTAAAATTAAAGCTAGGGAGTTTGGGGAATATAAAATCAATAAGGCTCCTAATAGACTTAAAGCCAACAATCATTAAAGAATAAGTATGCCAGCTTTGATGAGTTAATATGAAGTATTTTACAAATTATATTATAAAACTTAATCAAATTTCTAATCTTAAAGGTTAAGAAATCCAAAAGAAATAAAATATTTCGCTTCCTAAAATCACAACAATTAAAATAATTGATGAAATTTATACACATTTTAAATCGCTATCATAATCTCTAATAAATGGATAAGATAATTAGTACATTTTCATCAATTATTTAGCAAATGCAAATGCCAATAAAGTACCAAATACAAAAGAACCGAGGATTCCTATGTAATCTATAATTTCCCAATACCATGCCTACCAGAAAAATATGATTAAGCCACCAAGTATCATTCCAACCATCTAATATCTCCCTGAACCTGAATAACTCCATTTATCCCACTTTAATAAAGTATACCCAAACAGCACTCCATCAAAGGTTGAAGGTACTAAAACACCATTAATATGCAATTTAGATGTATAACAACAGCTAAGTAATGTGCCTCCAAATCCACCAAATATACTTATCATCCATAATTTCTTCCAACCTAACAATTTCTCTACGTATGACCCAAATATTGCAACGGCAACCTAGCATGAAAAATAATTTATGAAATTTGAATATAAGAGAAGACTTAAAAACAACCGTTAAATCTCTTATTCATATTTAACCCTGTATGGATAAAGCATACCTAAAGAATATAGAGACTATGAATAAACTAACAATTTATACGTTTTAATTGGGTTCAAGAAATTATCCACCATCCTTTATATCACCACTTACTATTAAAATGATAAAGTAAAACGAATTTAGTATGATAAGAATTGTTGTCATGCTTTATAATTTAAAAGTAGGAAGACAGGTGTAAGTTATCATCTCAGTAAATTTCTCATCTCTTGGATATTTTAAAGAATTCTAAAAATTTACTACATTATAAGTTTGAAATACTGAAGTATGGAGGATCTGAATCTTAACTTCTCCAAATGCTCATTAAAGCTTAAGGTGTTGGTTATCCAGTTGATGATTAGGCAAAACTCATTAATAAATATTTTTATTATATTCAATTAATTATTTTTAATTACCGCCAAAAAACAATGAATGATTAAGATCAGATCGACTTTTACAGAAATTTGCACCTCTATTATAAGCATCTCTTTCCAATCCAAATGATTGTAGACTGGCTTTCATATGCCAAAGATAATTAACCTGAATTGAAGTATTTTAGTAGAAGAGAGTTTTCTTTTGAAAGGAGTATCGATGGAGAAACTTTTTACTAAAGATATTAGCAATTTCAAAATGCTCATGGTCTACAAAAATTCCTTCTGGATAATAAGTAAAATGATTAAGCATCCACTCTTATAAAATATGATATTGGAGCAGTCTTTGACAAATTGCCTAAAAAGGGTGAAAAGCTTAAAGCCATGGAAAAGGAAATAGTTATAGATATAGATATGGATGCTTATGATGAAGTACGTACTTGTTGTCAAGGAGCAAAAATTTGTGAAAAATGTTGGAAATTTCTTTAAGTAGCTTGTGATATTTTGAGACCAGCTTTATTCCAGGACTTTGGGTTGGAACATATTCTAGCAGTTTATTCAGGTAGAAGAGGAATACATTTGTGGGTTTGCGATAGTCATATAAGAAAATCTACAAATGAAGTTAGATCAGCTATCATAGGGTACCTTAATATAAATATTGGTAATGCAGATGCTGAAGAAATCATACGAGAAGTTAAATAAGAGAAAATTGAAAAATTACACCCATCTATTTAAAGAGCGTATTTTATAGCGTAATAATTTTTTAAACAAATTATCTTAATTGATCAAAACAGTTTGAAAATTGAGAATGTTAAGAAAAAGATTTTAACCATTTTAAAACAAACTAAAATTCTTAATCCTAAATTAGAGAAATCCATTCAGGAAATTAATGATTCTAGTTAAATTTGGGATCTCATTTGTTCTTAAGATTCAGAAAGATTGGAAATTGCTAAATTATAAATAATTTTAATGTGCTTATATCCTCGTCTTGATGCACATGTCAGTACAACAATTAATCATTTGTTAAAAGGACCTTTCAGTATACATCCAAAAACATGTAATATTATTTTGATTATTAGAACGTGTTTGCGTTCCATTCAATCTTAAAAATAGCTCATAATTTAATCCATTAGATACTCCTACTTTGCCAAATATTATTAAATAATTAGCGTAATTGCCAGAAGAATTAAAATAAAGAGAAAATGAGAACAAGATCTTTCCATTTTTAGGAAAGGAAATACCAAGTTTGTCACCTTATATTTAATTATTTGAAGATTTTATCTCTAAATATAATAAGCCAAAAATTAACTGATGAATTAAATATTCAAACAAATTAATCATTTAATTAAAATATCAGACAAATTATTTTTTATTCTCATCTAATCAAAGACTGTCCATTCCATTTGATTTTAAGTGCTTGCTCTGGCGTCTCTTAAATTTCTTTGCAAAAATACACCTTTGATTCTATTTGAATAGGTTGTTGTGTAAGATTTAACAAATTATGAGATTCGATTTAATTATTATTTATCTTAAATACTCGACCAATTAGGCAAATAATTAATATGTAAACTATCATCTTATAAGCAAAACTAAACATTATGCATATCTTACTCTAAATAATACTCGTTGTGCTTGTTCCCATTATAAATCTAGCAGCGCAAAAGATAGGTTACTTAACTAAACCTCCTCAGTTTTAGTTGGATCTAACTCGTATTTGTCATTGTTTGACTTGAACAAGAAATCAAAGAAAGAATCTGTCAATTTATCATTTAATAAGCTGGCTAAGTGTTTACAACAATCTGAAAGCATTTTATCAATAGTATAGAATAGAAAAGCCTAAAAGGTTATTATAAACATTCACTTGTTTTCCAAAAAGTAAACTTAAGTAGTCTTGATATTTGAAATCCTTATTTTTAATTGAGTAAAGGAGAGCATGCTTAAATAACTTGTATCTAATTTCAATTATTTTCTTTTTTTCTTTTTCATTCAATTCTAAAATTAAAAATTACAATACTTTCAAATTTCTCATTTTATTCAAAATTCTAACTAATTTAATGTGCCAATTCAATTCTTTAATACAACGAATAGAAATATCGAAAAAATAGATATATTCCTGATGTTCCATAAATGATTTTTCCTTGGGGTTTAAAGTTACTTTTAGTGTTTGAAAGTAATTATAATTAATTTCTTGGAAACACATCTTCTTCATCAATAAGAGGTGATTTAAGAGTTTTGATTCTCTGTAGTTCATAATCTGATTCTTCAAAATCATCTGAGTCCTTTCTATTGTTACTATTTGAATTATTGTTATTCAAATGAGATTTTTTCGTTTATTCTTATTCAATGTTAAACTAATCTATATAGGAGAATGATGAGTTAGTAACGTATTATTCTATAGTAGATAAGTCTCCCCTCAAAAGTGAAAAATTATAATTCTGATCAACAAGCTCAAGATTAAAGTATCCTTAACATAATTTTTAAAATAAATCAAGAATCCACTCTGATTCATTCAAATTAGATTATTCAACATAATATTTAAAGATCTCAAATGTTTCTTCCAAAAGAGTTTTATTTGAAATATACAAACTAAATACAGTGGTTTAGTCAATTTCATTGATATTAACTAATTTTCCATAACTGAGTGGTTTAATTGTAGTTAATTATATCAATGAATTCAAATATTCTGCTTAAATTGCAGTATTTGCTTGGATTAATGTGAATTTTTCGTCAGGCTCTTTTAGAAATCTTGAAGCACAAGTATACTACTTTTCATTTTTCTTGAAATAAAAGGATCGATGATCTAAAGATCTAGAGAAGTTGTTTTTTTAAGTGATTTTCCAAGTTTGATTTGCTATTTCTCTAGATTTAATCAATTCTTAACATTTTTGATTCAATCTATCTCTTAGGATAGGAGAGCACCCCACTGGATTCTTCTACCATAATGTTATAACTTCCTCTTAATCCTTACTATTGGTTTTGTAGACTGATTGTAAACACTTAATTTGGAGTATTTTCCTTATTTGCTATTCAATTGCTTATTGATTGTTTCCTGCAATCAATTAATCAAGTAACTATTTTATAGATAAATTGGTACTTTAATAGTTCTTCTGTAGCAATTAATATTAACATCGTATTCAAACATTTCATCTTCTATTTTGAACAACTGCTCTTCAAAACTGTTTTTTCTCATGATTGAAAATGAGTAATCCTCACTACCAAATGGCACAGAGACCCAGAGATGATTTAATACATTTGGCAATTTGGGGTCTTCCTTCATTATGTTTGCATAACCAGGATGCATTCTAACATATGAACCAGTGATATGTTCAGCATTTTTAAAGTCCGTATCTTTAAGTGGTTTAAATAATTAAGTTTATTGCCGACGTGCAGGTGCTCTAGTGAAAATAGCAATTCTGAGTTCATCTATAATCTCTTAATCAATCCATGTGTGTGATGACAAAATATCCATAAGCTCGTATTAAGTGATTATACATTCTGTATATAAATGAATGACATTTACAAATTCATAAAAGAATTGATTAAAATCAGATTCTTATGTAAAATGGCTAAAACACTTTAATCTTAGTTTATCCAACACAATAATTTCATTTTTAATCTCTCTGCTTACTTGTAGTTAATAAGCATTATTGTAAAAATATTAAGTATAATAAGCTTAATATGATTATATTTCTTCCATGGTAGGAGGATTGGGTTTTACTCTTTTGGTTTTGATGTCATCCCAATCCACTTGTATTTTCTGCTTCTACTTCTTCAATTTGAACGCATTTTGAATTTCCTTAAGAGCTTCTGGATCATCTTTAAATTAGATTGATATTAACTAGAATATGATATAAAAGTTATAATTACATCTAATTATTACTGTTGGTCGAGGTTTCCCTTGAGAATCAGATTTTTGGTTTACTCTAGTAGATTGATTCTATTCTTGTCTTGCCTAAAAATGGACTCTAATTATTAGATCGCATCATTTGATTTGATGCGGGCATCATGATAAAATAATTTATTCAGATTTTCAATGACAGCTGGCTAATCAGAAAAGAGTTTTTTTATCTCACTGTAATAGAGAGATATATTTTATCTATTCTATTTGTAATCCTTCAAAAGCACAACGAGCTATCTAAATATTTTCATATTAAAATTTACTAATATAATGATGGATAGTCTCTTCTCAATCTGTTGCAAAAAGCTTCACAATTTTTCAATCCTCTTTGTGTTTATTCTTCTTCTAGGTAAGAATTATTGTTCTGACCTTCACTCATAGTAATATAAATATATAAAAATTAATGATTTCTATCTCTGATTTGATTCGTTGACTTTTGTTATGAAGAGATACCTGATTATTTAATTATCATATAATAATTTGAATCAAAAATATCCATTGTCTTGAAATGCTTGATGCAATGCATTAGAAACATTAAACTAAAGTAGCTCTCCCAACCTCTAATATTCTTGTCTTAATCTCGTGTTTTCTGCATGTGATTCTCGCAATGCTTTTTCCAAACTATGAATCCTCTCAGTTTATTGAATTCTTTCATTCTATAATTATATTCAAATATTTACTTCCCAAGCCTGACGATCAATTTTCTATTCATTTAGCAATTAATTTAAAGAATCAGATTGCATTTTTCTTTTTTGCTCAATCTGTGCATTTAAAGTGTTGATTTCACTTTCATATTTCTCCACTGCAGATTCTTTCACTTTAGCCTATTGCTTCAAAGAATCGCATTTTTGCCTTAACTCTTAATTTTATCGAATAAAATCTTTATTTTAATTTTTCAGTCTCTCCAATTCGTCATACAATACTTAAACTTCCTATTTTCCATTTAAGATTCTTTCATCATATTCCCTTGCAGCATCTGCATTCCTCTTGATAATTAAGTCCCTGGCCTCCTCCATAGCTCTTATTTTGGCATCCAAAGTTGTTGAAACTATATGGTATTTCTGGTACTCTTCCTCTTGAATTCTTCTGCCAAGATCTCTCAATTCTTAATCATAAGTTAATTATAATTAAATTTATCTTTCTTATAATGATCGCAACTCCTCTTCCAATATCCTATTCTCCTATTCAAGTTATCTGGACCTATCCTCAACAGCTCTACATCTATTCTCCCAATCTCTCACTAAATCTCTTGCTCTAAAGTTATTTTCATTCAAGGCTCTGTCCAAATTGGTTCTGTGTTTCTTCTCTAACTCATTCAAAATGAATTCATTTTATCTGATCTTTTCCTCCATCGATCTTGTTACATCCTCTTGTTGTCTTTCCATCAATTAATATTCATCTCTTAATTTCTCAATCTAATATAAACTAGCTCGATTATCAGCCTCCAATTATCTAGTTTTTGCATCCAGTTCTTCCAACAATCTCGTATCTGCCTTGTCCCTCCTCATTAATTCATCTAACTCTCTTTCCATTCTTTATTTAATATGCATAGTATGTATTCTCTCTTACTCTAACATTTATTCCAAATGTTAAACTACTGATGCTCCTGCCAATCCACTAATCATTGGTTCTTCCTCCTCTACAACATCCTCATCAATTGATAAAATTCTATCCTTCTATATTGGATTACTAGCCCTATGTTATTCTAAAATATCCTCTATTGCTTCTTGATCCTATTATATTATCTCTGCTCCATTTAAATCCAAGTACAGAATTGCCTTATTGTCTCCAACGGCTGATAACAAGAATTCTCCTCCCCTCTTACCAAGAGAATTCCATCTCAAGTCAAGTGAAAGTAGAGTAGTGTTTTACCTTAAAGCATTTGCCAACGGTTCTATGTGATCTCCTGTTAACTTATTGTTCGACAAACCTATGTGTTGAAGTGACTTATTTGAAACTAAGAATCCTGCCAATGTTTCTATTCCAACTCCATCAGAACCTATCTGATTCCATTCCAATGAAAGAATCTTTAATAATGGGCATCCTCTTAATGCTGTTACAATATCCAAAAATCTAAATCTTAATTGTATGCATACCCTTAAGCTGTAATATTATTTCCTCTCAAAACTAAACATTTCAAATTTTTATTGTTTTTCACGTAATTTGATAATAATCTTGCTCCATCATCCCCAATGTACATTTCAGATAAATCTATCCTTTGGGCATTCTTTAACTACTCCAACATTGTTTATAACGATATACTCATTTCAAATTTAAATTTTATATTATTATTGATATGAATAATTAATCACTTCTATTTATTTTTCAATCTATTAATTGTTTAACATGATTCAACATCATCCAAACCATCAATGATACTCGATGATTTAAATTGACAGTTTGGCTTTTTTTATTCTTTCATCTTGTTTTCTTTATCCTTGTTTCCTTCACTCTTTTCTTTCTCCTTGTTCAAAACAGCAATATACTTTTCTTTTTATTGAATATTTTTTTGTAAGGTTCTGATATCTGCAATTTTAGCCTCCCTTTACAAGCACAACTCATGAATTTGTTTTTCTAATTGAATCTAGGCATTCTCACTTTTAGTAAGATCGCTCTTCAGTTTATCTATTAATGACAGATTCTCATTTATTTCATTTGATTGATTAGTTACGATGTTCATAATTTCCTTTTATTTTTCTTTGAGTTTCTCATAATTACCATTAATTTCTCTTAGCTAAACTTCTAGTTTATCTTTTTCTGTTGTTAATTTTTAAGAATGAGCCTAAAGCTACCCTACTTCAATTTAATAGAGATTGTTTTGATTTCTCAATTCAAATAAACATTTTTCATCTTCTTTATGTCTCAATTAAAATTCAAAGTTTAATTTTTCATATTCTGAGACTTTATGTTCTAATTCAACTACTTTTTTTTCCAACTCTGCTATTCTTCTTTCTTTAGTAAAAAGGTTATTTCCTAATTTTAGATTAACAGCCATTTTAAATTATTAAATTCTTTTCTATAATGAATAAAAGTTAATAAGCGCAAGAAGTTTACAAAATCATACTAGTCGGAGACCAAGGTGTCGGAAAATCCTCAATATTACTCAGATACACAAAGGATCTCTTTTAAAGGGATTATAATGTTACAATAGGTCTTGAATTTGCTAGTAAAAAAGTGACGATACAAGATAATGCATTGACACTTTAAATTTGGGATACTGTAATAAATCTATCATTTATATCTAATAGGCAGGCTAAGAAGCTTTCAGGAGCATTGCTAGATCTTTTTATAGAAATTCTGCTGCCATCATTATTGTATTTAAATTGACAAGGTTTATTTGATAATTTATTAAAGCCGCGAGTCATTTTTAAGTGTTCCACAATGGGTCAAAGATATCTAAGACAATAGTGATGTCGGAGTTGTAATTTCAATGGTTGGAAACATGTCAGATTTGGAAGCAGAAAGAACGGTGACAAATGAGGAAGCAAAATAAAAGGCTAAGGAGTATAATGCTCTTTATTTTGAAACTTCAGCTGCCACCGGATAAAATATTGATGATGTAATTTTTAGAAATCTAATAAACATGTAGATCTTTATTAATACTTTGGAGAAGGTGTCTTAGTAAAACAATCCCATAAGAACTAATTCTGAATAAAATGTCAGAGAATCTATACATTTGTCTCAAAAGTATACCTAGCAAAACCAAGGAAAATAGGAATAAAATGGAGGAAACAACTCACAAAGAGAAGCTAACCCTGACAAAGGCTGTTGTTGAATTATTTAGCAATCTTAAGGTTTATTGGTTATTGATATAACAATATTATTATCATTAAAAAGGAGAATTTAATTAAGTATCTTCAAAGCATTCAAACTCTTCCAAACTAATATTGAGCCTCTCCAAGTTGAACTTGACTATCTCATTGTGTTTATAATTGTGATACAAGTTATAAAAAGCTACTGTATTTTAATATTCGTTGCAATAGATTGATTTGATATTCCTTATTAATCCAAATTAAACTTATGACAAATCCTAATAATTTTTAAAAAAGTTGTATTTTTAATTCAATTTATAAAACTCATCTACAAGTGTGTAATTATTACTACAATGCTAAATGCTACTATCAACTAAGATTAGAATGTGCAATAGTTTATGGTAATAATTTATTTATGGATGGATAACAAATTATTCATTTTAATAATTATCTGAATAAAACTTCTGGGAAAGGTGTTTATCTTTGAAATCCAAATATTTCTTAAAAGATGATAATATCAAATTGTTTTTATAGAACTTATTAAATTTTTTAGATAAGATAATTTCAATATTGTTGATCTGCTTTGTTGTGATGTAAATATTAGGTAGTTATTCCACAAAATATTTTGGAAGTGCCACAAATAATCCAACCATGATCTAGCATCTGAGCCAAAAGGATAATGATATGATTCTCTCATTAATTGGCAGTATGGTGGTTAAAGAATACCAAATTATGAAGAGAAATTGAGGATACAATGTCAATTTAAATAGATTGTCTTAAATGCTTTAGTTTTAGATGATTCCGATTATTATTACAGTAAGTGCTTCCTACACAACAATACTCATTGCAACAAGACATTTATGTTCTTTATACACTTACATTGCTTATATCATTGGTTTTGATTCTAATAAACATTATATATAAGTTGCTATAGGGAAAAAAAGGATTCCCTAAATCAAAGAGACAAATAATAGCTTTTTTTCATCTTGAAACAATCTCGTTATTTTTGAGTTTTTTTGCAATTATTTTTTCTTTAAAGCCAGAGCAACTCTCGCAAATTTCATTAATTACAATGTGTAACAGCAACCTCTTGACCATAATTAGAAGAATGAAACTATTTATATAAAGATTATCTATGTTTGACTAAGTTCATCTATTTATTTGAAAAAATCATCAAAGAAATCATTTATTATATCCACAAATAATATAATTGCTGCAAATAATTAATAAAATCCGCCTGAAAATACAGTTAATAATGGAGATAATTGTTTTATTGGGTATTGATACCTCAATTTGTATACAGCGGTGCAATAATAAACAGTTAGAATAATAAAAAATAGTTAGAGTGAACTCATAGCAATAGCATAAACCAATTTGAATGTACCATTTTCTGATTCCATAAAAACAAAATTATATCTCTTGTTTAAATTAATTAATTAATATAATATCATATCACCTTTATAAAGAGTACAAAAGAATATAAAACAAATAATTCACTAAGGCTTAAACTTCTTAAGCAATTGTACAATCTTTAATCTCAAATCCAAATATTCACATTTTATAAATTGCAGAATTCCTGGGCGCAATATCTACTCTTGAAAATACAAAAAATCAAGCATTAAACCCATATTATGAATTTCCTCATTTTTTCTTTCTGTTTCCTCTATAAATTAAGCTAAATTAGAATATATAGAGGACAACAAAGTAGGTTTGATAGTCTCTAAAATCTTATTGTTCAGATTATTATTGTTTTAAAATAGACTTATAATGTTTATTATTGTTGTTTATTATGATATATTTTCCTTTGTAATTATCTAATTTATGTAAAACGTTGTTATTAATTCGACAATGACCATCTCTTATTCTTCATTGTATTGAAGGGATAAAAAATATTGAACCCACTCATAAATCTTCTTATTCTACATTAGAATAGGTTCCACTATTTATCTTAACACATCTTATTTTAAGAATGTAATTATTTAAGAAATCAACTATTTAATCTTATTGATAAATGTTATTTATAGTCTTTCGGAATTATCATTTAAAAATCTTTAGCATTTCTATTTAAAATAATAATAATAGTTACATTTAATTAGATTATGAGGGATCTAATGAATTTTACTGTTGGTTCAACCATTCTCTCCGTCAATTTCTATCTAATAATGATATCATAGGAAGTGCAGAGCATTTCTAATAGTTTGTGAAATCTTAATTGAACTCCTATTGAGGAGAATTACTCTGATATAAAATTTAACCACTTAAGAGCATCTTCTTCTGAAACATCATATCCAGGTAAACATTGCGAGACATACGATTTTAAAATCGAATTATCAAATAGATAATTTTCATTACATACTAAGGCCATCAATTTGGAACTTATAATAAATGACTTTTGTTATTGGCTTCCAAATCCTCTACTCAATATTTAACAAATATAATGAAATGTGTCATTATCTATAAAATATTGGGTGTCAATTTAATCATTATCCAATAAGGAATTGAGAATATCCAATGATATTTCTATTTGTTAGGTTGTATGCTCCAAAATTTTTGACAGCGCCATAATTATTTCATGCTTGATATAAACTAATTGTGCTTAGTTAAAAGACTGGATGTGGTAATAGAATTTATCATATTTTTCCTTCTAAATGACTATTTCAGCCCAAAGAGAGATGCATAATTTCAAAATCTCCAGTGATTGTTTGTATTATTCATTTACTGTTTGCTTATCAAATTTTATTGATTAAATTTAAAATTTAGGAGTCTCAATTAAATTATTATGATTAAATCTAGGAGTGGTGCTAAATAAACTGATTTATTAGAATTCTATCCTTAAATATTGAACTATACAATTATTCATTAACTCTTCAAATAATTCATAGATTTCATTAAATTATTCATTTTATGAATTCAAACATAACTAAGAAGCAATGTGCAAAGCTGCAAATTTTAAATCATCTTAATTATCCATAGTGTCTTTGATTAATTTTAAGGACATATTCCATAGACCAGGATTGTTTATTTTATGCTAAATTGATTTTAATTATAACTGCCATAACATACAAATGATTTTATGTTTGATTTCATTTTAGTATTATTTCGACAAATACTTTGTGAGATACACACAAATACTTGCCATTCTCATCAAACATTAATCATTTAATTAGTCTAATTAATTAAAGATTAGTTCACTCAAACAATTCAAACATAATAATAAGTGTATAAATTCTTCCTTTTCATTCAATAATGTTTCAAACACCTTAATTAAATCAATGTACAATGTATCAGATATTTGCTATTCCTTTATTAACAAATACAACAGGTTCATTATATATTCAACCACATCATCAAACCTCGAATTTATCAATTCATACATAGCATTGAATAGATCAATTTTTAGATATTTGTTATTAAAGCATTAACAAATGATGCTCTTCAAACTATTCAAAGAGTAAAGTCTCATTTCCTATGATTTAGATTAGCATAAACATAATAGCAAGGCTTCTACTGTTTACCAAATCTTCTCCAATCTAAAAACATTCACTTATACAATGAGTACAATTTTGTCGATTGCAAATTGCTTGTAGGTTTAATTGATGTCAGTTGTATTACTATTTATCTAAACTTTTTCAACTATTTATAAAGCAAGTTAGTTTAAACCATCCATAATTTTGATCAATGTCTAATCATCATATTCAGAGGAATTGATAAAGAATTTCATTATTTCATCTTTTGAAAAGTTGATCATTTCAATCCTTTACATAGTTTAGAAAATCTAATTCCATATTTTAGGCGAAAATTCACTCATATAATGTTTGATACATTCACACAAGATGTTATAACTAATTATCCAATTGTTGTTGATTTCTTTTCTTGCATTAATAGAATTCAAATCAGGTACTGAAATTTAGGACAAAAATTTGATCATCAACTCTTGGCCCTTTTTAGATTATTAAATCCACTTATATAATTACTCATTCAGCTCCACACATTGTTGATGAGTTGATATTTATAAGATCTACTTCAATAGTTTAAACATAGGTCTACATATTTACACGTAATTTTTATCATAATCTTAGGTAATCAAGAATTGTATGTTAACGTTAATTAGAGAGGCTAAATTAATAACAATCAGTATTTACTTAATTGCTATATATATTTATTAAATACAACAGTATTAATAAATTCTAAATATTTAACGCTGAAATTCACAATCAAACTGCTTGATTTTTAGGATTGAATTTATTCATATTCTTATATGTGCAGCATGGTGCTATTATAAAAAGTTTTAAATATTTATTCGTGATAGCCTAAAATGACAATTAAATGGTTACTATTTGAACTGTTTTTTATTTTCTATGTGAACAATTTTGTAATGATAGACTCATTTTGATATAGGTACAATAAAGCATCATGAATAGCAATTTTTATAATATCCTTTTATTGTGATTTTGCATATAAATTGATTATTTAGTCTAGTAATTATATGTGGTCTTCCATCATGAGGATGTATGTTGATATCACAAAAACAGAGTTAATTTCTAAATTTATTAGCAGTTGTTACTTGATAATTGATTTGATTGCATCGATATGTCTAAGGATAATAAATAATTATATAGTTTGGATGAGTAGAATTCCTAATTCTTGTATGTTCTACCATTTTTCAGCAGAATAATGAAGATATCCTTGCCTAAATTACAAAATCAATTACAAAGGATGGTGTTGAGGTTGCTGTTGATTTTTGTTTAATTTTTATCTTGGAGGATTAAAAAGAAAATTTCTAAATACTCTAATAATTAATCTCCTTGTATGAGTGAGACGATCAAGAGGATTCCCTAGATAGCAGATTATTGGACGATTGAGTTTTCTGAGACTGTGTACGTTAGGAATAAATTGAAAAGCTATTTTTTTGAGTATATTTAAAATAAAATACTTTTGTACAATTCTGCATCCAGTTAATATCAATGATGTGAAGCAATGTGGATATCAATTTGATGTCTATGGCGATATCTTATTCCTTTTTGATTTCGTTGATAAAGTCAATAATACTGAGTTATTGATTCTTAAATTTAGATAATTTTGATTACAGGATTGAACGTCTGGTTGAATTATTGAATTATATTTATTGCTTTACGGATGTGTTCCTCATTCTTGGAATGTGATATTGTTTGTAATAACAATGGCAATTTGTCAGCATCTTATTCTTAAAGTTCAAACAATTATTTAATATTCATAATAAATAAAAATGGTTGATAATCCAGTACAGCTGCATATTGATTTTGAAAATTTATAAGTTTCTGATTAAGATGATGAATGCTACAGCGGAGTTTCAGATGTTTCTGTTGAACTGTAATTATTAGAATACTCGCCAGAATAACCAGCTAGCTTGAACATAGAAAGAAGCATTGTCTCCTATCTCAAGGAACTTGGCATTAAAATGAAAACGGATCCAAGAGCTAAGCAAGAGAGGTATTTTAAGAGAAAGCGGCAATTTAAAAGAGCACAAACAACTTTTATGGAAGAAAAAGAAATTAATTCGACTACTATGACTCCACCTTAAATCAGTAAGAAGCCTACAATGTAATTACAAATGAATTCAATTATCGGAAGACGTACTCCACAAAATTTAGGAAGCACCCCTTTACTACAATTTCCAAATAAAGTTACTGAAAAATCTAAATTCAGCTTATAACGTGATACCTCTAGTTCTCCAGTATGAATTTTATAATACATATACAAATTAACATCCTATAAGATACATGCTTAAATTCACAACATTTGAGAAGAAAAATCATGATTTTATAATTTAATTTTGAAACTTTAAAATCATGATAAATGGAGTCAATCAATTTAGCATATCTATCAATTGTCTTTATTTTTAATTATTTCAATGTTAATATCGAATTGATGACCTAATTCATATTCCTCATCAAATCTTTAAATAGCTATTTATTATTAATCAAGTTAATTATCTAAGATTTAATAATGAATAAGTACTTCATTCCATGAATGATTATCAAAGTATTCAAAGTTCCTTAAATATTTGTAATTCTAAGAGTCCTTACTTATGATAAGATTTGACTCTTTTCACAATACAATAATTGATGTCTCTTAGTTGTTCCTTTTGTTGAGAGTAACCCTTAAATAAATATCGAAACCAACTACAAAACCAAAATTATTTAAGAACTAATGAGTTACCTCATAGACCGGTTTTTAGAAATGGATCGAATGCTTTAAATGAAAGATCCACGAGTATTTAAAGTAATTATTGTATTTTCAATTACTTTGAAATAAGACTTGTAAATGTAGTATTTGTGCAGCTAAGAATAATTTCTTGAGGAAATAATGTTAAGACTTCTGAAAATACTTCATCAGAGAAATAGAATGCAACAAACAGGCCTATATCTTAATGAATTATCATAAGAAGACACATAATTAAGATAAATTTAAACTACATCTTTCTTGTTAGATATTAACTGCTTCACAATTTTCTCATTACTTATTTTACGTAACTTAATATTTATACATTATTCTCAACATTCTTCATTCAATTAGAGCAGTTCTTTAAATTTGGCAATTTCAGAGTTAGATTAATTCATTTGTAAAATTAATTAATATAAATCAGGCAAACTAGATCATTCTGAGGCAATAACTAGATTAATGATTATGGATAATTAATTCTATAAAATATCTGAGTTAAGCAGCAATACCTACTTTTCCAATAGAGTTTTCTTAATCTTGCCATCCTTTTTCTCCTGATTAAAGGTATATATGAATTCTAAATTAGATTATTTATGCAATAACTAAGAAATATACTAGATTTTTGGTGTACATTCAAACTTCTTCTCGTTTCGTTATAGTAGTTTAAATTTTTATAGAGCTTGTAAATTCATCTTAAATGCATAGATATAAGGTTTTTGGTTATATTGGATTTCAGTAATGTGCTTATTTGATAATTGTTTTTTAATAATTGTAAATTTAATATCTATTCAATTTCTTAAAAATTTCTTATCCTATAAACTGATTCCAATTCTTTGCTCATCAATCCCAAATATTTGAGATCTTCATTAGTTATGGTGAAACTAATAAGTATTGTAATGAGTATTATAATATATTAATTAAGGAAACTTTCTACAATTTTCAATTATCCTAATATTTAATTTTTATTTTAATTAATATATAAAATCATCATTTTTGTAAACAGAGATCGATATATTATTAGTAGAAAACTTTCCAGAATAGAGATTAAAGCACTCAGCACTGTAGATAATTTTTTAATGAGCTCATCATAATGCAATAAACTTAATAATCTACTTGGCAGATCTATCCTTGAAAACTTTATTAAATATTTTTCTCTAGAATGTATTTAAATCTGTCACTAAAAGTTTTTGCTTTTATTATTACTTATTAAAAAGTCTATTTTCTTGTTTAATTCATAATTCTCTTATGACCGAATTTGATTTTCTCCCCCAAAGTTGCTTTTGATTAGAATCTATTCTATTTATTTTATTTATTTATATCCAGAACCAGTAATATTTCTATAGTGCTTTATTAAAGCATATAAATACCTATCTATTTTGAGAGCATATAGTTCTTATATTAAATAAACTCAACTCAAAATACACTTAATAATCAGATCTATCACTCAATATATCCTTTATGTATTATTATCAATAATGAAAATACGTACTAAGAAGTCAATAATTCAGGACTCCTAGCATATATCGAGCATTTTTTGGTATGAGAAATTTTAATTTAAATTTCCAATTCCTATTATTTAATCCATCTCAATGTAATTAAAATAAAGAAAGAGAATTGATATCTCAGATGATCGTATTTATTTAACATCCACGGATTAGCTCTCTTTTTCAATGATGAACCAATACTCAAATTGAGGAAGTTCAAGCTTAAGAAATTGACCGAATTAGAGGGTCTGATGCATCAATAAAGTTAACGTAGAGAATCATTTAACTAAAATTTCAAGCACAATAAGTTATATTAACAACACAAGCATCAATCACTTGATCAAGGCAAGATGATTGATTATGTAAAAGTTTAGAACAGAGAGTAATGACCAAATATGATTTCATAGGTTAAACTAAGTGAAATTACAATAAAAACTATTGAACCGTTCCCGTATTCTTCAAAATGAACCCTAAAAAAATAATGATAAGAATTTACCTTTCGTTGAGGTACTTCTATACATTGACTATTACTTTAGTAATACCTTTTCAGGAAAACATTTAACAACATCATCAAAAAATCTCGTCATAAACACGAGAACATCAAAGCATCCCTGAAGAAGGTTGAAACTCTTTTGAGTGGGATTGAGACTACACGAGATCAATACCCTCTGCTTTCACCCATTGTTCAAACGAAACACACTCAGGTCAAGACATGCAGAAATGAAGATAATTCAACTCGCACTATCAAATCTCAATTTCTTAATGTAACCGAATCTCCAACAGCCAGAGATAGATCCTCGTCTCTTAAATACACCATTGAGTAGAACAATGAAATTCGAAGTAACTTGAATATATTATTTTACATCGTAGACATGAGGAGAGCCAAAGTAAAGGAAATTATTTACAAAACCGAGGAAACCAGAGAGCGAAGTATGGCAGCTGTAAGATAATTGTAATTTTACTAGAAACTATCAGTTTATAGTGAAAAACCAGATAGCATCCAGCCAACAAAAAAATAATTATAATAGCTTCGTTTTAAGTGGGTTAGGAAATTAAAATATAAAATTGAATTGCATAACAATTAAATGAGATAATTCATGGATTTCTTGGATTATCTCAAATCATCTGAAATAAAAGTAACAAATGATGATCACCATTATTTAAAATACTATCGAGATAAATTATTAAATGGCGATCATCTTGTCGACCACGATTTTTAGCTCATGATCAACGATGAAAAGACTAATGTTATTGGCTAATTAATCAGAGATTCAATAGCCATTGAAAATTGATCAATGTTTACGTAACAATTTATTCCAGAATTTTAGATAAAATCATTCATTATTCATATTTCATATATGTGTATAAAGAATAAAATCTTTTTTATATTATTTTAATCCAAATGGCAGAGAATGTAAAGATATTTTCTCATTATTTCATAGTTCGAATTGGCAGCAGAAGAAGTTAAATCATTCGTTGATAAATTGAATGACCAAACAAAATTGTAGATCTATGGATTATACAAGTAAGCAACAGTTGGTGACATTGATATTGGTAATTTCTCAACCTTATAAATCATTTTAGGCAAACCAGGAATTCTTGACTAAAAGGGAAGAGCAAAATGGGATGCTTGGAATGCCAATAAAGGAAAGTCTAAGGAATAAGCCAAAGCTGAATATGTGTAAGTGGTCAAAGCCAACGCCCCTGCTGATATTGCAAAAAACTTATGAGAGTATGAGAATGACAATATCATAATCAAATTTTACATAATCATCTATTATCTAGTTGACGAGTTCCTCCTCCCTGCACAATTATTGGATAGATTACGATATTTATATCGTATTGAAATAGATGGTCTGTATTGAGGTTTACCATAAATGCTAGTGAGTTTTATAGGGTTTGATCTGATCTCCTAATGAGAGCGGTTAAGAAGGTGAAATTTTAGATTTGAATGAAAAAAAGATGGAATTATCTATAAGGTTTCTTAAATTTCTTTCTTGGATTGATATTATATAATTATATGGGGTATGTGGAGGATAGAATTCGATATATCTTCGTGAACAATAACTTATACAATTCTTTGTAAGTTTTCTTCGAATAAGGATTTAATTTATGTAATAAATTTGTGACTTTCATTTACGTTTCATAAAATAAGTCTGTTGTGAAAATCAATGTTCATCAAAACTTCTTTGTGATGAATGCATAAAATCAAGCAATGATCATGCAGGCCATAGGTTAGTTGATTTGTAGCAGTTTATGAATTTAGCAGAATAGTTTTTAAAAGGAGGCTAGTACATATATTAATTATAAATTCCTAGTCCAGAAGTGGTATTATATGGAGCTGATTTAAATACAAAAACTAAAATTTACGTTTCTAACACTCAAAATATTAAGCAAGACATGTAAGCTTAGTATGTTAAAATACTCGAAGATTAGATTTAAAAATACATCAACCAATTAGTTGACGGAATCAAATAAGGTAAAAAAATGATTATCGAATTTGTGAATCAGATTATTGATGAGAGTTTTTCTTCAGCAGTTTTAAAGTATTAAATTCTAGATTATTAGCAATCGAGAATGCAGTCATATGATTGTCAAGGGTGTTTTGTAGGCTTTCGAGTAGAAGATATCAACGAAGGATGGGAACAATTTATTGTATAGATTGCACACTGGATAATTGGAGAAAGATTATTATGAAAAGAAAGTAAAGATTTTGAGATTTAATTTTAGATTCAAGGGTTAGTAGAATTGTTTCAAACTCATTTAAAATAAATTTTGGAACCTTTGGGCAATTAGGTGGAGAATTATGCAAAGTAATTTCTTTAGCAAATGGAGAAGGTTAAGGTTTCTGTTAAAAATGAACACTTTAATCTCAATAGGACAAATATGATTGCCAAATAATTTAAAATCAAAGATATGGTCATCGATTAAAACCTATAGTTGAAAGTTGAATAACCCAATTATGTTTCAAGAAAACACAATGTATCATTGCCACCACCCCTCCAAAACGAGAGTGAATATTAGAATATCTTCAAACTTAAAACTGCTAGAATTCCTAAGCAGAGGAAACTAGAGTTACTAAAATCATTAGACTTCATGCATCATACAGCAAGGAGTGATTCGAATTTGCAAACTATCTCATAAATCACTCCACAAAAGGCAAAACTAGATAATGCAGGCTAAGATCTTAAACGAATTATGGTTGTCAATTCAATTCATTAAAATCTTCTTGATGTAATTAGCATTCAAGGTAATATTTGTATCACCTCTGGAAAGGAAGGCACCTTGAATTTATTTACGATTTAGATTGATGGAACTGACATTTCTATAGTAAATCAACATTAAATCAAACCCCATCAGGAATTGAGAGATGTGGAAGTCTGTTAAACTCCAGGGATGTTTCTCACAGTTGGCAGGAACATCAAAGTGACCAATGAGAAATATGTGGATTTGGGATATATTGTGAAGTTGTTTCTTTTTCAAGATATTAAAGACATTGAATTGCTGACTGAATTCAGAGATCTTCACAATCAACCAATTGAGAAATTGAAGTTCATCACTGAGAATTATATCAGAACAAGGATAGAGTATTCGAAGTTTAGTAATGAATTAGAGTTTGCATCTCAAACTGTAGACACAATCAAAGTGTGGAAATTTTCATTCGATAGCTCAAAAATATATGAGGGAGAGATGTAGGAGATATATAAAGTTGAAGTCAAGTAGCAAATTATCAAAAGCATAGAATTTTGCAGCAGCGATTACTTAATTTTAACAACAAAATAGAATTATTCTATATATTATAAGACCTCGCTAATTAAATAGTAAGTTTAAGGGAAAGATTTCATTGTAAAATCTAAGGTGATTAACAACAATAGAGTTTTGATATTGAGTAGTCAGGGAGTGATTACAATCCTGGACATGTAGAAGATAAAAAATAATGATAAATCATTTGAACCTCAAAAAATAGTAATTATATAAATCACCTAAATTTAAGAACATAAAGAAATATTTGAGATTGATCCTTTTTGAGAAGGAAGAGAAGGAAGTCGAATTCATTGATTGCATTTAAATCAATTAAAAGTTCCTTGTGTTCATGCATAGTACAGTCTATGATCATTTTCTCACATTAAATAAAAACTTTGATGTAAAAAATATAACTTACAAAAATAGATAGAAAATAGATTCAGATACCCACCTTCTGAGATAAGGTTGTTGAGATAATTGGAATTTGATAAATATAATTTCATCATAAGCGTTGAGGGCAAGAATGACTTCGGGATTTGGAACATTGTTTTAAAATGATTTATATATATATATATCTATGTATAATTATTCGATGTATCAATGGAATATGGATTTCTTTTATGAGTTCAATAATGATTTTGTTTCTACAGTTTAGTCACTGAAGACATAGGCCTCACCACCAGCTAACAATATAAATATGATTCACATACCATAGCTTTAATCGATTCCCAAGGATTCCTATTCAGGTTTAATCTTGAAGATTCCAAAACCTTTCAATGGTACCAATACTGCTAAAATGAGGAGAGCCCATCCAGCAATAGAGAGTACTCCTACAATTTGGATTCCAAATTATTTTAGATTGTTGCCATAAAATAACCCATGTGATCTTGACAATATACCGTATAATAGAGTTCCAAGGATTCCTGGAACAAGATGAGCACCAACTGCTTATCCTGGATCATCTACATGAGATCTTTTAACTATTAATTATACGACAAGATATGAGATTCCAGCTAATGTTCCAATTAAGGCAGCAGCCCATAATTAAATGTCATCAACGCTTGCACTGACTGCCACTACTCCTGCAAGAGCACCTCTGGCGATTGTGATTAAACTGGTTTTTTCTTTTTTCAAATAGTATGAGACATAACTACTCAATCCACCAAATGATGCAGCCAACAAAGTGTTAACAGGAACTAATCCCTTGACATAAGTTGCTGATCCTCTATTTAAACCAGAGAGGAATATGATTTATACAACCACAAGTAAGATTGTACCGATTCCAACGAAGAATGGAGCATGATGTGGGAAGATTCCTGGATGTATTTTTCCATTTTGATCTCTACGCTCATGTAATAACAATGATGCCACCAAAGCAGTAACACCTCCGAATACGTGGATTACTGAGCTGCCTCCAAAGTCTTGGAATCCAAATGTACTCAACCATCCCTTACCAAAAGTCCAATGAACAACTATTGGATACAAGAGTCCTTATAAAATGACCACTCCAAAACTGAAGGAGAAGAATCTTGATCTCTCCAATGTCCCAAAAGCGAAGATTGAAGTAACGAAAATGGCAGCTATTGTGTGGAAAACAAAGTTGTCATAATCATTTCTGTTTGGTGTTGATTCAAATGATGCAGCGGCAAATAATGATTTTCCAATGAATTTGTTTGAATCCTAACCAAATGCAAATGCATAGCCAGTCTAATTTGATATTCGATTATCTTACAATGTAGAAAGCAAGAATTGTTAAGATTCCACCCAATAAAATTGTTATAATAGCGGATTGTACTGATTTGTATCTGACAGCTCCGGCAGCTATCATTGAATATCCTAGTAGTCCTAGGACAGAGAAGAATGCACAAGACAACACCCAAGTTTCATCTAGAGCCATTTGATTCCGTTAAAATTATTAATTACTTTTTGGAATTCAAATTTTGTTTTTATATTTGGATATTATGTATATTTTCAATTCTTTCATTGCAATAATCCTCATACAACTCTATTCACTGCTTTATATCCATACATCTCTGTCCTACTCAAAAGAAAAGAATTCCTTTGCCTGTGGCTGAAATCAATGATAAAGCCGCGCCAACTACACAATATCTTGTAATCAATTACCTTACTCATCAACAGTATCACACTTACTCAATATTATAACATCAATCTCCCTTGCATATCTTTTGGACTATTTTAGATCAAACCTTGTTACAATTAATCTACTCCATATATAACAACCAAGACTTTGATCTAAAATAAAACAAGATCAAGATTGTTCATGGTTATGGTCTAATCAAAGGTCCATATTTGTATAATTCTCCCAGTTGTATCCACTAAAGCAACATTAGTTTTTTATGGTTGCTTCCCTTATAGCTAAAAAAGCAAATCTCAGGAGGATCATACTTATATTCTCTATCTTAAACTGGTACCCCCAATCATTACCCATGAGTCTTTAATTACTCAACAGATCCAGCTCTGAGATTATCACAAGCTCTAATAAGAAGCCTTAAGTTTTGAATAAATATCCTAACCTTATACAAATTATTTGAGTAGTTCATATTTCTATTATTAAGTCATTTATTTCTTATTTTAGTTGATTTCGACTTTTATTAAATTCTTATTTGTAAAATCAAAGATTAAACTTAGTTTTTGTCAAGTTAGTATTCATAACTATTAATTGCTTTGGTCATCCACTATCAACTGGTGATTTAATAGTATCTGAAGTAGATTTTGCTCCTGATTTCAATTACGTCTTCTATTTAATTACATCAGCTGTTCATTCAATTAATCATTGATTAGTTCTTCATTTAACACCTCTGGTTCAACTTTGGTTCAAATAATTACAATTATCCTGTTAACTCATATGTTCTTGTAGATCTATCTTTCCTCTCCTTCTCATTTCATTTGCCCCAATATAATGAGCAAATTTTCATGTTTTACTCAAACATGCATCAAATTCTTGGATAATTCTACAATTTAAGTCTAAGCAATTATTTGCTAATTTCCTATTTATTTTATAGCGAGATCATAAATTTGTTTAATTTAGGTTTACAACATAGTCAACAATTCTTAGATATACTGAATGAAAAAGAGCTCTTAATAAGAAATGATAAATATAATCCCAACTCATTCAAAAAAACCCATTAAAACTTTCGTAGATCTCAATTATATTCGGTTTTCTTTTATAATCATCAATCAGTGACATTACCCAATATATCCTCTTTATTTTTGCAAATGCCTAATCAATAAAAAGATAGTCTCAAGTAGTAAAATCAGAATGAATCCTCATTGGGATATTATACTGACCAAGTCGATCATAAAAAATATACATAATTAATTAATATAAAATAATTAGTATTATCTAGAGATATCATAGCTCATCCTATAGAATTTGTCAAAAATGTGATTTAGATTATTTTTACAATTTTAGAATTTCAATTTCTATATCAATTTTACAATGAATACATTATCATATCCAATATTCTTTTATCCATTCTGCTGGATATGAATCAGGTTTTGGCATTCTTGGGAATGTAACAATTCTTGTATTTTAAGGCACTTACTGTTTACATTCAAATAGAAAATCAGATATTTAGGTAGGGTAAATATCTTGTAGAAAATCTGCATTTTCCACAATCATTTCTAACCAGAAATCGAATCTGACAATGAATTTTTATATATTTTTCCAATTGGAATCTAATTCTGTGAAAATTCTTTTAAAAACCTCCCTGTTATTCCAAATAACTATACTACTGTTATATCCATTTTTATTTTATTTTTCACATGCAATCTCATCTGTTTTCAAAATTCCAAATGCTCCCTTATAACTCATGATTTCATCAACATTTCCAGTAATTATCATATCAAGATCAATAAAAAACAACTTCCCTGGGGGATACTCATAATAATCCATAAACAGAGTTGCTTTGCCCCACCAACCAGTCCAGCCCTTTTTCAATTCCCTAGTCATTATTCCCTCTTACAAATCCTTTGGATCATCTGTGACGCAAATGAAATTAAATTATCGAGTGCAGTGTCTCTTAAATCCATTATACAACTTGTTGACATAGTCAGGTCCATATTTGGTTCCCCACTTCATGCAGATCACATTGACTAATTCGTTTTCTTCAATAGGGGTTGATTTCACATCTATTTTTTTGGGTTCCACATAGCCTTCCTCGCTGATAGAGACAATTTATTTCCATGTATGATCAAGGGCTTCCTTCTGTCTTCCAAGTTGTCTTAGCAAATCGCCAAAATTGATTTAAGCTTCGTAGTTATTTGGTTATAGCTGAATTGCCTTTAAGCAATATTCGTAGGCTTCGTCTGGTTTATCTAAGTTTGTTAATAGGCAAGCAAGATTAGTGTGAGCATCAACAAAGGCGTCGAATGAGTTGATGTTAGAACAGAAGTGAAGGATGGGGACTTTTTGGGATTCGTCATAGTAAGGCGATTAGGTGATAACTCTCTTGTAATATTCGACTGCTTTTTGATGTTATTTTTGTTAAGCATAAAAATTGCCAAGATTCATTAGGATGTTAGTACTTTGGACTTAATTTAGAGGATGAATGTACTTTCAAGTTGTTCTTGGATGGTTTGGTAGGAAGTCTCGAAATGTTTAAGGGCCAGATCGAATTTTTCAGCTTTGAGGCAAACACAAGCAAATTTATTTTCTTCTAGAGCTTTTGTCAATGTTTCATTGGATCTTTTCTTGTATTCTTGATCGGCTTTTGCCAATCTCATGTTGTGCTTTAATTCTGAATAAAAATTCATTATAATTAATGAGATTTTATTCGATTGGTTTATAAATGATTAAGGAATCAAAAATATTTAGAAATAATTTTTATTGTTAATTATTAATGTCTGCATCAAAGATCTTTTACTCACCATCACGTTCGAATGTTAATGCTTCAAATGTACAAGCATATGGAGGTGACAGAGCTCTATCACCAAGCAGAGCCAAAATATCGCAGCTATCAGAAAAACTCTCCAATCTCCAACATCAGATCGATGAAGATCAAGCTGTAAGAGTGTATCGTTAATCCTTAGTTCAAGAAGGAGACTTTTGAAAGCAAGATCAAAATCTTAGAAGACAGAGCAACCAAGTAGGCTTAGGGAGATGATTCCAAGTTCAAGTTGTTGAAGGAACAACTCCAAAAGGTTGAGGAGGGTGCACAAAATGAGAAAATCATTAGAGAGGTATAGATCGTTTTCGAAGTAGGCTGGAGACGAGAAATTGAGATCGAAAGATTTAAAGGGATTGGAAGGATTTTTGAATAAGGAATTATAATCCGAAAAAATCAATAGAAAAGATTTTGAGGGAAAAATAATTAAGAATACAGATGACAAGGTTTACAGCTTAAAATTGGATTTGGCCAGATAGAAGAAGTACAGAGAGGAAACCGAAGAGAAGAATGCTCAGGAGATTGGGGATCGTATTTTGTAATTGTAAGAGGAAGTAGAGGAAGAGAGAAGACAAAGGTACACAAAATTACATAAATTACAATAGGGAATAGCAAAATCAAAACACAATTAAGAGATTGGGAGATTCCATCTTAAAATTGTAAGAGATCCTGACAACTGAGAAGAAGCAGAGAGAACAAGCATAAGGTTAAATGTTCAGAATGTTGGATGAAATGAACCATTACTTGAATAGCGAATTAACTAGTGAAAAGAATGAGAGGGAAGCCACTGAAGAGAGTTTGATCAATTTGATAGATCAAACATGCAACAGAGTTGAAAATTCATTAAGAAAGTGATATCATACGATCTTTATACATTTAATTTTAAATAATGTTCAATTCTCCAGTGCCAGGACTCAAGGCTAAACGAATATCTGTGTTTCTTTGTTGCTTTCTTCAATACGCCATGTTACATTCATGTCGTTCGACCTGGAGTTACACTACTGGAATATTAACTGCGAAAAGTGATAAGTATGACGATGAGAAAATTGATGATTTTGATAAGAGTTATTTGGCAGACGTTAACTTTGCATTTCTATTTATATACGGATCCTCAATGCTATTGTAATCCATCTCAGTTATCAAAGCTTAGGGCAAATCGGAGACAGAATAGGACCCAAGAGATTCATGTTGTACGGTACTTTTATGACTGGAATTATATAATTTTTGATAGCAGTTCTCTTTCACATTGAGCAACACAACAAATGGGTAATATTGATGTTAATGATATTTAATGGAGTCGCACAAGCTCCAGTTTGGCCAGGCTTAATGGCAATAATGAATAATTGGCAAAGCAAACCAAATAAGGTTATTGTGATGGGATATTTTACAGCATGCACAAATATCGGAAACATCCTTGGAGACTTCTTCGCATATATCCTCATAGAAAAATTAGAATTAATTGTTATGTCACCCATCTATGTTGCTGCTTCTGGAGTTATAGTAATGTCAATTATCAATGTCTTTGCCATCCCAACTGATTCAGCTAAGGAATACATTGCATCTTTTCGAAACCCTAATACAAAATCGCTTGTCTATAAATAGGCACATGACGAGTACTTGAGTAGATCAGGATCCAGGACTAGTTCAGTAGTATCTAATTAAGATTTAGATGTTTCAAAAAGCAATATCGATCAATCTCTATTGACAGTGGCTAGAAATACTGTTGGAGAACCCTAATTAAAACCCAAAAAACCCAAGAAGAATAGTATCAACATGTTTACTGCATGGAAATTACCCAACGTTGCACTCTATGCTTTTGCTTTTGGGTGCATTAAAGCAGTATTTTACATTTTAGCATTTTGGCTCCCCAACTATTTAAGCCAATAAAACTTAGAAAACATTTCATTGATTACTCAAATGATAGAGTGGGGAACCATCCCAGGAGGTATTCTTATATGGTATCTCTATTTTTTCAATCTAGTTACGCTGGAGTTTATTGGAACATTCGGGCATTTCTTATAGTTCCAATTCTTTGGGTTGGTACAGTTGTGATGATATGCATTGATCAGTTGCAAAAGATCCAAAGTCATCAGCCTTACTTCTTATACTACATGTTAGTGTTTCTAACTGGTTTGTTGATTGGAGGAGTGTATAACAATATCTCTGGAGCCATTGTGATAGAACTAAGTAACATGAAAGAGTTGAAAGGTTAACTTTGTAATAAATTCTCTTAGGCAATAAGAAATCAACTGCTACAGTCACCTCTGTTGTTATGGGTTATGGTGCTACATTTGCTGCTATTAATTAACTTATTGTGCCACATTTGGAATCCAAAATATTCTTGTACTGCGGATTGAATGCTATAATTGCAGGAATGTTTCTAATTCCATTAATTGTAAATGAATACAAAAGAATAAAGTCAGAGAGGTTAAAAGTGTAAGATAAATGATATATCTAATTTTAACACGTTATTTTTTCACCTTTAATTTATCTAGTAGATTTGTAAAGTTTATAAATGTTAAAATTCAAAATAAAATTAACATCATTTTTAACACATAAATTTTCAACTAAATTCTTAAACCAATAATACTAAAATAGTAATTTAGAAGATATATCAAAGTCTGTGTTGTAATTAGAAAAATAATTAAATTATTAATAACAATTTCTAATAATCCTTTTGATTAGATAATCAGAAATAGTTACTTATTTATAGAAGAATTCTTGAACAATAATAATCATTAATTCTTCATTTTCATTCTCTCTTTTAAGTATATTTTAATAATGGGTTTTCTTGTTTTTTTTATGGGATATTTCTAAAAGTTTAAATAAGAATTCATACTGTTTAAAACGGGAAGGCTTAATTTGGGGGGAGGCTTAAAAGTTATTTTACTATTTCTTTTAAGTCACTCCAATGTTAGAAATACTGTCTACACTGTCAGTTTTACCTGTCAGTAGAGGTGAATTCATTTATACTTAATTAGAAGAATCAATATTCTTTTAATGCTTTAATTACTTAGTAGCCAAACCTGGAGAGGATTAAGGAGAATTAAGCAATTGATTTTTTCTTGCAGCATCAAAAATGGCAGATCTAAATTAATTTAATAATCACTTACTCTTCATTTAAAGCATTCATTCTCATTCCCAAATCATTTTCCTCTCCTTCATCTATGAAATCATTTGAATGGTCATCCAACATTATTTAATTCATTTCAGCTAAATAAGGATGTTCAAGACATTATTTTGCAGTTATTCTTTTTGCAGGATCCTTTTCAAGCATTCTTTTTAATAAATCAATGGCAGTTTGAGGTGCATTTTGTAAGTATTTTATTGTGAAATCAATTGTAGCCTCTCTATTTTGTTTGACAACAGTGCTGTAACTCTTTCCAGGGAAGGCAGGTTTGCCAGTTAACAATAAATAAAAGACCAACCCGAAACTGTAGATATCACAAACAGAACTATAATGGGCTTTCATATCCTTGATATTTATAACTTCAGGAGCAACATACCCAGGAGTTCCACATCGACAATATAAATAAGCTGGTTCATTGACATGAGTGGCCAATCCAAAATCTGCCACAACCACTGTTTCCATTTTCCTAATAATGAATTTATGAAAATTCTTACTTTGGTTATTTGAATAAAATGTTTTCTAACTTTAAGTCTCTATGCATTATATCTTTTTCATGCATATGACACAATCCTTATAGGACACCTACCAAAATTTATTACATTTGTTTTGTAGTTAATATGACTTTATCTTTGATCAGATCATACAATGAGCCACCTTCTAATAACTCAAGCGCAACGTAGAGTGAGTTTTGCGTTTCGTAAATCTCATGCATTCTCATAAGATGATGGTTGTTTAGCTTTCTCATAATTGTTAGTTCATTCACGATAGCCTCTTTTCCATGATCTTCAGCATAGGCGGCTTATTTTGAAAACGCTTTTATAGCCATTTAAGCATTGTCCTCTATGCGTTCTCCCAAGTAAACCTAAATTAAGGGGATTAATTACAGAGGCAAAATTGCCTTTTCCAATTTTCTTAAAAACTCTGAAAAGATGATGAAATTACCATTAATTAATTCTGGGCTAAAAAAACTCTCTCCATTGTGCTATCACTTTTTCATTTGCTGATAGTTTATAACTAGGCATTTGATCTTTCCCGTGATCTCTCATCAGAATCATACCTATGATTGTACCCAAGGAATCATCATCTTCATCCTTCTTTTAAACTGCTGTTCTGACAACCTCAAATTTAGTCTCAAAGTCTAATTTGAGATATTTTGATGGAGGATCCTCAAGTTTCTTTATTATAATGTTAATTTATCATACTTTCGTAATTAGAATGTAATGATCATAACCGATCAAGTATCTGGACTTTTTGTTTGCCTTTTAGAATTCGGATTTCAATAGAGGCTTGTCATTTTTCCACTTCAATTCATTAGGAATAGCCACCCATAGCTTTTATTTCATGTATATTAATATTAAAATTTTCAACCAGTTTAATCATACTTTTTAATTTAAAATCATTTGAATAAATTCCTCCATATATGAACTACCTTCTCGCCAATATTCTCAAGTTAAGATTAAAAATCATTAATTTTTTACCAGTCTCCCCCTAAATTAATATTGATTTACGATGTTTTTTTAAGGGAGATTTTAGAATTTCTTAAATAATAAATATAATATTTATTAAAGGAAAATTCTCATTCTACGTAGAACTATGGATTAATTTTAACATTCTTATAATTATTAGTTATGGATTCAAAACTCAATATAAAAGACTAAACAAAATTTTATTCATGTTATTGATACTTTATAAAAGAATCAAAGGCATTAAAGTAAAAATTAAAAATTTTGCTTTGAAAAATTAACTTAAAAATAATTTAAAAATTTGAAGTTCGATATATCAAGGTAGAGATTTCTTTAGTGGAAATTAGCAATTCTTGAAGAAATTGAAATCTTGTGAGTAATTAAGAACATCGATGATTAATTGTAGATTCGTCATTAGTTATAAATTAATTCTCATTGTTTATACTAATAATATAAGGTTATTATATAAGAAAGATTAAATAAAATTACTTTCCATTGATCGGAGGCCATAATAATTACATTATAAAGAACTTATTTATTAATAAATATATTCAATATTATTCATCTTGCTGCTAAGAAATCTTTAAGTAATGATTGCTCAACCTAGCCTTATACGCACTATGATCTAATGCATTAGTTAACCAATCCCTCAATAACTCTATTGCATCTTACTTCTGCTTAATATAGAAGTTCAGTTGTTCTTATGGCCAATGTATATATGCATTGGCTTTTTACATTAATTCCTTTATTTTCACAAACAAGTTAGCAAGCATGAAACTCTTGTTATTGCGCTTATATATTAATATCACCTAAAAAAAGCATTTTAATGGTAATTACTTTAACCGCAAGTTACTAATCCAATCAATAAGGTCAATATGATCTTAGAAACCATTTATAATATATTTATTAATATATAGAAATTATATTATTTGAATATATTAAAATAAGAGATGAATTCATAACTATGTTGAGATCATATTAATTTATGTGCAATACGCCTTAATTACTTGATATTATATTACAGATAGATATATGTAAATATTATATTGCACTCATTATAAAAAAGGTGAATCTGGAATTAAAACTTTAATCCTGTTAAATGTTTGAGTTAATTGAGCTTATTCTAACACGCTAAACTCATATTTCTTTTTTGCACAGATAGAATGTATTTTTAATAATTCAACCTCAAATAGCCGAACATAAATAACAAAGGACTTGGCTAGCAATAACAAGTCTTGTTTATGCAATAATAGTGGGTCGATTCTAGTGATCACATTCCTGATAAAGTCTTTATTGTCTATCCTAAGAGCTGCTGAAGCAACAATGACTTAAACTAATTCTTTTTCTATTTAAGAGTGTTGATATATATTTACATTCAAAATCATTCAATGTGAAAACTTGAGATCTGTTTGATAATTCAATCAGTATTTTAATGGTTTTTTCTAAATTGATGCTTTAATAGTTCTTGTTCTTGACTTTAGCAACAGCCAAAAACAATGAAATGTATTCAGAGATATTCAACTTCTCGCTTTTGGCATGACAAATTCTTAACATTTATTTAACTAATTATTCACCTTCCTCTTATTCTAATTGTAAACAAGAGAGTATCAAATCAATCACCTTCTACATTGAAATATTTAAATTATGTTTTAATGTTGATTCAATCTTCTTTGTGAGCAAATCAACCATTTCTTTTACGTACTCCGTATTCTCATGATTGGTAATTCTCAGCAACTCCACTAAAACATTGACGAATTGATCTTGCGTCAACAAATCTTATTAAAATTAATCAGTGAGCTATTCAAATATAAGTTTTGAATTCGTAAATGATCCCGCAGGTAAACTCTTAATTAAGGTGATCAAATTACTAGGAGTTTGTATGGTGATGTTTAATTGGGTTAGTTTTGAGATCTTTAAGATTAGTTCATTCTTCTCTTTCAGAATATGATTTAATGAGAATGCTAATGATGGTAGTGTTTCAGGTGGTATTTTTTCTAGGATGATTTCTGCTTATTATTTTATGATGAATTATTTTGAGTCATTTAGGTTTAAATCTCCCATTTCAATCTGATATGTGGAGAGAGCCCAAACAAAGGCACAAAATTACTCTGGGTCTAACTTGTTTATTTCCAATAAGATTTTGGATGCAATTTGTTAAAATCTTTCTGAATGACTTTTCATCTATTCAGCATAATCCTCGTTTCTGAGACAACTTGTGAAATAGAGAAACAAACTCAACTCATTACAATTAAAGGGAGGTTGAGGATTTTTTTCATCTAATTACTTTGCCACTTCCTTTGAATAAAAATCAAACACTTCATCTATGTCACTCATCTGCATCAGTTTAAATGAAATCAATTATTCCCTTTCTTTAAATACATTTTCCAAAATTTCTATGGTTTTGTTATAAAAATATTACACTCCTTTTGTTATAAGAACTCTTAATAGTTCTCCTTCTATTAATACAATTGCTTTAATTTTTCAATGTCCTCCTCTGATATTTCAAACTTATCCTTGCAAAACCTATAAACAGGTATTCTGTAACAAACTCTCATTAGTCTTGAGCAATATTTAATCATTATAAATTATTTATTTAATATTATTCATAATTAAATTTTATCAACAATAAAACTAAGATAATTTAGCCAAAAATTGATTATTTTAGATCTCAATAAATTTGAGTGAAAATTTAAGATCCTTTGATGGGTGTGGTCTAATAAGAATATCAAATTTAAGATTCTTAGGTATAAGTACCTTCATTTGTAAAATCAATATATAATGTGGAAAGTGTTTGTTCGATAAACTCTTGTAAATATAGCTATTTCTATTATTAGTAAGATTTATATCTATAATTCAAATATGAAACGGAAATAAATAAATATAATTAAAATCTGTTAATCTCCGGATTAAGATTAATAATTGATAACAAAAGTTGAAAGCAAAAAATAAATAATTAATTTTATATGGGTTAGTGTACTTCAAAAAAGTAAAAAAGAATAATCTTACACAATTAACATCAATCGACAACTTCTAATAGTTAAACTCCAATCTAACAAAAAAAATAATTGGCTTTAAATTTACAAAATATCCAATCTTCCAATCTATAAGAGAAGAATGAAATTAAAGATGAGGAGAAGGCCTCACCTCCACCTAAATTATATTTTGATGGGAATTAACCAACGCCGCGAAAAGAGAGCATTTTTGGAAGACCAAAAGTTGAAAGTGTTAGACTCAACTAAAAAAACTTATACAATCATAAGGAAGAAGTTATCTTTGGTAGGAAAGTTCATCATTCCCATCCTCATTTATTATAATGAAACATAAACAACGCTTTTGAAAGATATTATATACTCTATATTTACTAATTATTCGATTTAAATTCATAATACAAATACATTTAAATGATACCATAGCTTTCAATAATTTCATTATGCACTCTATCTCAATATTCTTGAATAATGATGAAGAGCCGATTTTATGCGGATAAGATCATGTAAAATATTTAAATGAATATTAATTTGGATATTGAGATGAAAATTGAAATTATTGAGATTATTGAAATATTGGATAAGTATGCCATAGAATTATAAGGAAAGAGATGCCTTTCTATACTATCAATACTGACCCGAAAATATTAATTTCATTTAAAATTTGTAATTATAATTTAATAATTAGAGAAAATAAAGTTAATAAATTAAATAAGGAAGTTGAAATTAAAATACGTTAAATTTATAGGATCTCTTCTTAATGATGTAATATGTCATTGTTTTCTTTCTAAAATTAATAGATAAATATGTAAATTAGAAATCAAACCAACTAGATGAAATAGAAAAATTGACCATATACATATATGAAAAATTAATGTTGGATTATAATTGTAGTGATGTTTCCGTTGTGATAATAAAATATTGACCGGATTCCTTTATATGAAATAGTAATCTATTTAAATTTATTGGAGGAATTTGAATATAAATTAATTTCATTTCCTATTCAAAATACATCAATTCCCTAATAATATTAATTGAACTCTAAAATATCTTGTTTTTGAATACTATTGCCAGATGATCTAGATGTTTATTTAATTTTCGAGTATTTATTGGAAGGAAATAGGATGTACATGTAAATTAGATATAATTATCAATAAATTAAAATTTAAAAAATGATCTTAAATACTAATACATGATATGAAGATATTTAATTAACAAAATATACACTGAATTCTATCGTCATCAGTTTTCTTCCTAGATTATAATTGAGTCTTATTAGAATGAAGGTTGTTCTTATGCTTTAACAATTTGAAAATGCTTAGTTTATCTTCTAAAAAGCATTCTTTTTTAAGCTTGACTTGAAACAGATGGAACAAAAAAGTTGTTATTCCTTTTATTTTCAGAGATGTTGCTATTAGATTATTGGGAAGGCATGTTAAGCATGGTTTATTTGACCACTATTGTATTTATTATAGATCTTCGCTATTAGCTTACATTGACTCCCTCCAGCGTTTACCTTTTGAACTCTTCAACACTATTTTTAAAATAAAACAATAAATAAGCATCCGATTAATTTTCTGGTTATTAAACTGGAGATACCACAGAGTCATTATAATGATACCATTGCAAATCATCTCTGTTTTTGGCATAAGCAGTGTAATGTCCAGATGTCAATGTTCCACTATGATTGATAACTGCGTAGAGATCATAGGTAGGTTTTTCCATTTGTTTTGTGCAGACAAGATTTTCAAATGATAAATTCTATAATGGATACCTGACTAATGACCTGATTTTAGCTCTGAATTAAGAGTTAAATTTAAATCTTTTTAGGTGTATTATCAGAATGTTTGGCATACTCCATAGATCTATCTTTTTATTGCTATCTCTTCTTTAAGCACACTTGGTGCAATTCCATCCTTCATCTCCTGTGAGAGTTTCTGTTTTCAGGAATTCCTCTATGCATTCCAATACATCACATTCTCTACTCAACACAGGCACACTCAAATACATAAAAGGTTCAAAACAATATCTAGAGGACTTACATGTTAAACAGGATAAGGTGTCAAGCATATGTCCTTAAAATAAATCAACTATGATGGATTAATTTCTGGATAAGTATTTTGTCCATTCTTGATGTGCATCCTCATTAGTTGGGAGTTTCGTAAATTTAGTTTATTCTACATAAGGTTTCTTTTTTATTCTATTCAAATCTTCATGAATCATGTCTAACAAAAAAGCAATAAATTCATGAGCATCTTCCTAAGTGCCTTCTGCAAAGATTGGATTATAATTTCCGATTGTTGAAATGAATTGTGTCGGTTTCAAAGCCTATATATCCTCAAGGGTATATTAATCTACTTTCTACCATAGTAGTCTAATCAGTTAGGCAAATGATATGACTACGTTGCCTTAACTCGAGAGAGGATTTTCAGGGTTTATCTCTTTGATATGGAGTTAAGACATGAAATAATCAGTTAATGGTTATGTATTTGATAAGGCTTAGATAGACTATATAAGTATTGGATAATACTGAATTTAAGAAGCACGTATTTCCAAGATTGGTCAATCCAAACAATCCTTAAGATTCAGTTTCGAATTGATTATATTATTGGACTCTTCTTTAAGTAGCCTATTTTCTAAATTTATTTGGGATCTATTTGTAATTTACATCCAAAACGCGACTAAGTTTAGGTTGAAAGCGTTGTTCTGTATTCATTTTTTTAATCTTCACTGTGGGTTCATTGACTTGGGGTCTACTATTTAAGCAAGCTCCCATTGAATATAATAATAATTATTTATTCTTAAATATTGGAATTATAAAAAGGTCAAGACATAATTGGCGCTGTATCAACCTCTTACTTTGTGATTTTGGTTGGGTCGGGTGCTTACAAACTGAATTATTGCTCATCATCAGCAGGTCTTCTGTGTTTCCTTTCCTTCTTTGGTTTCTTTTCTGCAGAATTAACCTCATTTTCATCTTTCTTCGGTTTGGATTACTTAAATTATTATATCTTGATACCTGCACTTTAGAAGACTTAACTTTTCTTTTCTTCTTCAAATTTTCTGGGTCCTCCTCAAAGTCCTTGTTTAGAGAATCGTTTAGATTTTACATCTTGTGTTGATCCTCAATCCTCGAACAGATTTTTCTGCTCATGTCCGACCAATTTGTTGTAAAGGTCAGGATTAGATACAAGATAGCTAGAACTGCATTCACTATACCAAAAGCAAGCCAAATTCCATAGACTTTCTTGCCCAATCCAAAGTCATAAGCAAAGTACACAACTAAGGGTATTCCAATCAAGTAATAGACAAGTAATGTAGAATAGGTTACGAAATCTTTTCTCTCGATTCCTTTCAAAATACCGGTTAATGTCCCTTGTAAACCATCGATAACAAAAAACCCAAATACAAAGATGGGATATACTTCCAATATCAGATCTGTGATTTCCTGTCTGCCAGCCGAATAGAACTCAGCCCAGGTTTACTTGAAAAAGGTTAAAGCACTCAAAAATATTATTGTGAATCCAATAAATAATAGGACACCCACCCATGAATATCTTTTGGCTCTCTTGATATTCTTGGCACCCATCTCATTGCCGACGAAGGTCATCAAGGCTAAAGATAGAGAAATGGGAAATTTATAATAAAAATTCGAAGTGTTTGATAACGCCAATTAGGCATTCAATTGATCAGAGCCAAATCCTACAGCTATAAAGTTCAATAAGAAGAAGACGAAGTAATCTGCATATATATGTCCAATAATTGGTATAGAACCTCTCAGAAAACTTGAAAACAATTTCTTCTCCTTTTTTCTCATTGTGAATTTAAACTTATAATCACTAAATACTTCCTTCTTATATTTAGTTCCACATATAGCTATGAGACAGAATACACAATTCAGAACCTCAGTACAAATGATGGCCAGTCCTGCTCCTGCTATGCCTCCTCCAATGTCCAAATAATCGATAAACAAATAACACCACAAAGTGTGGAGTGCTGCTGTACCTAGTTGTATGAACATGAAGACTGCAAAAATCTAGATCTTAGTTTAAATGTGTTACCTTATGCGCTATCATATAGCTTTTCATGCATTCATACAATATGGCAAACAACGTTGATGGTAATAAATAGTATAGATATATCTGGGATGCATCTGATGTAGCATCTCTATCATCTTCATTAATGGTCTTAGCTATCAGGGGTTTAATCAGAATCAGGATGACTATTTGATTAACTAAATTCGAGTACTTGAAAAGGGAATAAAGTACATCAAATGGATGAAGACTGTCAATGTGAAGTAACTCTGGGCTAACTTTGGCTTCTTAGCTCCCAAAGCCTACGCTGAATGCACATTCAAAGATTAATTCGTTCCTTGTTCTCAAATTTTATAATTACCTAAAGCCATTGGGATCAGCAGCACATTCACTGTTGTAAAGGCTAATCCTAAACCTGCAACTGCATTTGGGTCATTATGTTGGGCAATGAAATGTAAACTGATTCCAAATACAACATCTAAACAAACATAGCCAATAACTGTATAAAATGTAGACGATAGCAAGTCTGTAAAGACATTTGATCCCAAATGATCAGGAGCCTTATTAGGGTTTTCTTTATTCAATATTGAACTCCCGTGGACTTAAGACATATTTTAATAATAATTTGATATAAATTGCAAGTCATAAATAAAATAAAAACCAAAAATTAAATGGAATCCAAAAAAGAGAATTTGAGAATTATCCTAAGGTCATTATATTCTCATACCTCAATGAACTATATGGGTTACTCTCGAATATTTATAACCTTATTTGAATGGTATGCTAATGAAATATTTAAAAATTATAGTTTTATTCTCAAAATCAATAAATCATAATTCATAAATGTGTTTATTTTTATTAATTAATAAATAATTTATAAAGTTTTTCACTTTTTATAAAGAAAGGATGAACGACTAACAAAATACTGATTCATAAATTCATTAGAAATTAGAATTGTTTATAAGTTGCAGAGGATTAGCTAATATGGATCTCTTTTCAAAAAGTGATCCTTTTGTTATTTTGCAAACTCAACAAAACCACAATTGGTTTGATTTTTGCAAAACTGAGATTGTGTATGATAATTTGAATCCAAACTTTACGAAAACCTTTATTATTGATTACTTCTTTGAATGTTAACAGCCTCTAAAATTTATAGTTAATGACGATGATGGAGATGGAAAATTTGATGTACAGTCATATTACAATTCAAGTTTATTGGTAGCGCAGAGACTACGTTAGGTTGTATTGCAGGTTCTCGGGATCAAGTGTTAATTGTTGATTTAAAAAGAGGTTCTAAAAAGACAGGGAGCCTAATCATTAAGGCAGAATAAGTGAGATCATTGAATAAGAAATTAAGAATGCAAATAAGTAATTGTCTTCATTAACTTCTAGATGGAGATCAATTTCCAAATAGAAGTTGTATCCCATGGCTAAGCTTGTGTCCTTTTTTTAGATTATATCGACAGAGTTAAGATTCAAATTAAAATTTATTAATTTATGAAAGTGAGCATGTCAAATTTAGTCTCGATCCGAAATGGAGAAGATTAGATATTACTCTCTAAAAACTTTGTAATGGAAACTTAGATAAACAACTCAAACTTGAAGTCTGGGATTATTTCAGTACTGGTAGTCCTGAATTAATAGGTCATACGTAATTTACTGTCAATGAGATTATAGACATGAAACAATATCAAAAACAATTACTTAATAGGGATAACAACTAAGCAGGTTTGATCATATTTAATGAGGTATTATTGTTCATCTAATTTAGGTTAAAATATATGAGCCTCCTACATTTATGGATTATCTAAAGAGTGGAACCTAAATTAATTTGATATCTGCCATCGATTTCACAGGATCAAATGGGTCACCCAATTCACCTTCGTCTTTACATTATATAGACAACTAAACTGGAAAATTAAATTAATATCAGTAAGCTTTACTGGCTGTGGGAGAGATTCTGCTTAATTACTCATACGACAAAAAGGTTCCTATGTATGGCTTTGGATGTAAACCAAATCTAAAGAATTTTAAGTCTTCTACAACCTTACATTGCTTTCCCTTAAACGGCAATCCTTAAAATCCAGAAGTTGAAGGCATAGAAGGTATTATGCAAACCTATAGTGATGCGTTAAAGCATGTCAAATTTGATGGGCCAACCTATTTCAACCCATTACTTCAAGAAGTAATTAAAATAGCAACATTGAGCCAGGATATGGTTAAGGATTCATACTACGTTTTATTTATTTTGACTGATGGTGAAATTCATGATATGAGAGTAACTATCATTATATATCTTATTTAGTAAACTATAGATTCAGTAGTAGCTTCATCTCATTTACCCTTATCTATCATAATTGTTGGAGTTGGAAATGCAAATTTCAGCAATATGAACATATTAGATGATGATGAAGGAAATTTAAAGGATTCTAAAGGCAATCAATCATTTAGAGATCTGGTTCAATTTGTTCCATTCAATTAATTCAAGGATAACCCAGAATTATTGGCTAAAAATGTATTGTAGGAACTGCCTGATCAGATTGTTGAATATATGCAATTAGTTGATCAAAAGCCTAGTAATATTATTTAACACTAATTTAGAATTCCAATCAAAATAACAAGATATTTCTCATTCTGAATTCAAGTAAACTCCAACCATAGGCAACTTCAGCGGGTTATAAATTTCAGACGAATATATTCAATAATTCAATCAATAAGAAAGAGTATGGAGTTCTCAAGACAAAAACTATAAATAATCATAGGATCCTTATATTAATGAAAAATAACAATTTAAATGATAATTAATCATTTTTATATAATTAAATTCTTTATCAGAAAATGTAACTCATGGGTTGATTAAATTAATCTCTAATTGGTTATTGCAGAGCTAATTTTAGATGTCAATGCTAAAATTATTGTTTAAGATGATATAACATTACTTTAAAACAAAAATATTGCTTAATACGCTTTGTGATCTTATAAGCAGGTATTTGTCCCTTTTTCTTGAATGAGACAAAAATTAACATCTTAATTAAATCTCAAAGTTATTATAATTGATTGAATTAAAATTGACATTCAATTAAAAGTAAATACTAGAAAACATGATACTGTTGTATAAATCAGAATTAATTGGATTGCATTTTATGAAAAATTATACATAAACCAAGATAATTCAAAAATATAATAATGTGTATTTTGATCCATCTCTTTAACTTGTTCTTATAAATAAATAATGTTAAATTATGTTAGTAAGTGGGACGTCCTTCATAATTATCCCCGATTAGTATACTCTCCGTTTAGACTATTTTGATAAAATACTTAGTAAATATATTGAATTATAATTAAAATTTGATAAAATAGTATTTATTGTTTGAATTAGCTTTAATAAAACTTTGAGAAATTCTCAACAAGAATGTCTTATTCGGTGTTTATTAAATTCAAAGAAATTATACAAATTAGATATCAATCATATTCCGTATTTGTAGAGATAATAAGCATCATACAAAATACTTATTTTTATATTTTTGCAAAACCTTAGTACATAGTTTAGTTGCCCTTCTATTTGGTAACCGTATTTAAATTGGACTCTCAATTTTATCGAAAGTATTTCTCTTTAATTTCAAAGGAGAAACATATAATCCGCATAGCCTTTTTGGAGACTGACTTTTTGGAAACTAAGGTGAATTAATAATGTTATTGTCTTGATAATTTTTTAATTAGTTTGAGCTGCTTGATTCTATATTCGTGCTCCTTTTATTGAAGGCGTTTCGACTTCCCTTTGGCTGTATTGTATAGATTTCTTCTGGAGTGGATGGAGGTGATACTTGAACAGGCCTCTAAAAAACTATAGAAATTTCCTATTTGTAAAGCTTTTAAGGTAATCAATAATTAATACATTTAACTTTTGCCCTTTCATCAATTCGGAACAGAATAAATAAAAAATATTTAAATAATTCTCAGAAATTCTTTCAATTTTAGAATAAAATTAATAAGTTTTAGAATATTCAAAGAGCTTCCATTTAAACTTCGCGTAGTAAAGTGACAGATTTATGCAAGGGTGAAAGTTAATTCCATCTATGGTGTTTATTTGTATTGGAAAAACACTTTAGAAGGAGATGGAGTGATTCTCAGTGTAAAATAAGAAACCAGAATGCATGTGAGAGTTTGGGAGTTCAATAATGATTAGTGTTATATAGGGTTGTGTTATAAATAAATTTAATTTCATATATATTTTTATTATGAGTCAAGACACCAAAATAATTAAACGAACTTAATTTACACCTTAGGAGTCAGATATAAAAAATATCATTCCAACCCAAGGGAAATCAAAAGAAGAGATGCGTATCTTCCTTTTCGAGTTTTTTGGAATGGCTTTGTTTGCTTATGGGTAAAATGGGCATTTCTTAATATTAGAATAATATGCTCACAAGGGTCAGATGAGTTTTTGGCGTTGTTTTTCTTTGCCTCAGTGTGCTTGGCTGCTCCATTTTCAGGAGCACACGTTAACCCTGCGGTTACTTTGGCAATGCTACTTTCAAGAAGAATAAATTTCGGATAGGCAGTGTTATATTGGTTGGCGTAATTTACTGGGGCTTTATGCGGGGCTTGCTGTTGTTATTTGATATTGAATGAGGTTGATAGCCCATAAGTGAAGAGCTAAGAATACAGTTGGATACTCTCAGATGTGAGCGGCGAGGCATTTGGAGCATTCACCTTTATTCTTTTTATTCTAATATAAACAGACTCAGAAACAACATTAACCCCAGGAGGCTAACCAATGACAACCTATGTTTTAGTAGCGTTGGCGTTGTACTTCTCGAGAGGATTTACATTTCATTCTGGAGGTACAAATATAAGTTTAAATCTACTAAAGGTTGTTTGAACCCTGGGATGGCTGTGTCGTTGTAACTCTTTCAGTCATTTTAAACGGGAGATAGGTAGAGAATGGAATTTTTGTGGGTGTTTGTAGGTGGTCCAATGGGAGGAGGTTTCGGTGCAAGTGTATTTTTTGAACTCTTTTATAAGAAATAAATAAAGAGACTGTGAAATTATAAATAATTTTAATCAAAATAATGGGTAGTTTCAATTTGATTTGAAATTCATTTGAATAAAAATGCAATTTACTATGTAATTTTAACCTAAATAACACACAATTTATAATTGATCATAAGAATTATTTTAGATACTAAAATTGATCCTGACTTCTGATGAATTCTTCGTAGATGATGTAATTTACGTTGCTTCTTCTTCTTAATAGTTTTTACATTCCTGTAAATTAGAATTGGCCTCCACAATCTATCATTTCATTTACAGATATGAACTAGAATGCTATCTTATTATCAATCAATAAATCTGATTAGAATAAGGGAAACAAAACATTCTTCTGCACTTAGTAACCTTGTTTAGTAAATAGGTCTGCTGCTTATTGGATGACTTATTGGGGCAGATACTTTTCAATGCCAACTTCACTATTTCTTTAAGTAGCCTATTATCTCATTTGAGTTAGTAACAATTGCAATTCCCCTTATTAGTAGTTACATTGAATTCTAGACAATAGAAGCAAGTATTTTTGTTCAATATATTACGGATCTAGAGCAAGGATTAATTCATTGTATAACTATTATCCGATTTCACACTTTGGAAGTGAAGTGATAAGCATCATCAAGAAGCATTTACTGGTTTGATCTAATTCTGAAATTTTTGTGGGATCAACTTTCTCCAAATCTGAACCTTGTAATTTATTAAAATAGAACATGGCTTATAAATAGAATAGAACTCCTTAAATGGATGGATTGGTTTGCTGATTAAATTTGGAAACAACTTAATCCAGGTTGTGATCCAAAGTGTTTAATTGGATTAATAGGGGGAACAAGTACTGTGTATCTTGGACTTGCTGAAGTGATTATAGGAAGGCATCCTTATGGATGTGGCCGACCGTTATTAGACTGTGAAAGAGGATGATCAAACTCTTCTCTGAGAACATTTTATCATATGATTGCAATAGATTCATTAATTTTTGATAGGGAACATGGTTAGCTGATTTGTAACTATATGGGTATCTATGAAATACAGTTTGAAGCAGTATCACCTCGTTTACTCTTCTAATGGGATACATCATTTTGATGTCTATTTGACTCAAGGATGATGTGATCATAGCAATATCAAATTCATCTTACTCCTTTTTCCTGTAGGTTAAGATCTCAACAAATCTCTTTTTAGTTTATTAAACCAAATCATGAGATCGATGAACATCTAACTTAGATAAAAGCAACGAGAATTAAGCCAGATGTCTGCATTCACAAGACTCTATTGCTGATTAAAGATTTTTGGAATTGCTCTTTAATAATGATGAAATCTATTTATTATCCTCTAATTTTAAAAGAGTAGATGACAAGATCATTAAAGTATCTCTATCAATTTCTAAGATTGAATTAGGTTGGCACAATAGAGTCTGAGTTAAATTATATACAACAATACTGAGACTCTAATCATTTATTAAAGGTCTTGATAAAAATGATATGAATGACTCAGCCTCATAAACACTTAAATTATTATTGATTCTATTTCTTATGATATCCTAAACTAAAAGATTTTAGAGTTATAGATTTTTTGATAATGGCAATGAATGAAAATTCCTAACAATCATTGAAAATTACGAGTTCGATAATTATTAGATTCTTGGAATCAGCTGAGTTGCTAAATTATCATACAAGTGATACGATAGCTTATCATAGACAGTTTGTATTGATTTAGGTTGTAAGAGACTCAATGCAAGGATGGTTTAAGCCAAGGTTTGATCATCATACTCGGATCTAGCAATGTAATTCAATAAGGCTCTGTATCTATCGTCTGATAACAGGGCTAGCTGATCTTTTTTGACAACCACTAATTTCTATAAGATTGAGGATGCGATCTTAGGAGTAAATTGATCAGGAATTTAATCCATAGTAGAGATCAACCTCATTAGGATTTCAGGTGTGCTTATGTCATATTTAATATATCTGACGCATTCTTCTTCTGTTAGATCAGCAAACTAGATCTATCCCCTTGTTCTCATTTAGAGTGAATTATTGTAGAATTTATCCATCAAATAATTTTAGTAATCCTGAATCACATTTACACTCGATTGATGCTGCGAAAAGGTAATCAAAGAGTTGTCTCTCTGTTGCTACATTCCTACATAAAACTATTTGACAGAATCCCAATCAATTAGACTAGTTCTTGAATCAACTTTAGATTTCAGTTCATCTACAAATTCATCAACTTGAATATTCTCTAATTTTGGAAGATGTGATTCAATTGTTTATTTTAGGCTTGGATACTAAACTAATAATTGGCTTTTGATTAAGAACCCATAAGGATTCCTAACATTTTCCCTCATTTCTGTAATTCTCTAATTGTGCAATTGATGCAATGTTGACTTATATTATTGATGTTGGGAATTCAATTGCAAATATTCGGCTTCACCTTACTCTTGCAAATATTAAGGAGGCAGATGATTATGAACTCGATTATCTTCTTATTTAAGGAGTCTGAGACGTTCATTTTTTTGGAATAACAATTTTTCAAATTTTTTCACTTCTTCTGTCATATATGCATTTTCCACCCATTTCAATTTTTTGTCTTCCACTTCTTGTCTTTCCATTCTATTGACTTCCTTTTCAACCACTTTATCGATGGTCTTCTTGTATTGCTATTTGATATATTTATTGAAATTGTAGGGTTTAGTCAAATGTTCAATCTTTTATGAAGAATCCTGTATATTGATGTACTTTTTAGACATATCCTTAATCTTCATTTTCTAGAGTTGAGTTTTATACACTTTCGAATAATCTTTATCGACATCTTTAAGTATTTTGGCTATTCTCCTCCCTGTTGAGGTAAAACCATATTTAATTATCATTAAAATTAATAATACTAATCAAACTCTGATTTTATTTTTAGTGTAAAATAGATATATATATATTTAAATTCAATAGAACTTGTATTTTAAGGGTTAATTTTTTGTTGTTCCAGGAAAATACTGTTAATACTTTTAATTGCTTCCATTTTTGGAAGTATGAAATGACTATGATAGAATGCGCTTGTTTTGTGGAGTGGTCTCATTATTAAGATTCCCGTAGAGAGTGAGAGTTATATCTTTGTCCTTCGATTTCTTCTAACTATAACTACTGCTGGATTTCTTTTTTTCCATTTCAGGTTCAGAGATGTGATGATGACGAATAGTTTCATTATTTTTAAAGAACACTTTTTAAGTCATCTGTTCCGATTCTAAATACTTGATGTGTTGTGATCGTATCTCTTTGGGTAATCCCTCCAGAATCCATTAATGCATCAAGGCATCAATGGGTTTCATTCGTTATTGAGGATCCCAATTGAAGCAATTCTCCAGAAAGTCAATGAACAATTTATCCTGACATTTCAAGACTTATTACAGGTCTTTTGATTTGGGCACTCTTACCTTACCCCTCTTATTCTTGTAAGGCAATGGTTAATAGGGTGTACTGGAGGAGAAAAAGTGTTTCTTCCTGGTGGCTTTCTATGGAAATATTTGGATGAGATTATACCTCTATCAAGGATTGATCTGGAACTCCCTTGACTTCCATGATGAAAGCGATTTGTTCCTGTTCATTCTCACCAGGAAAGATAGGATAACCGATGTACAACTCAGCCATTATACATCCAAAGCTCCACATGTCTATACCCATGTCATATGGAATGCCAAAAATGACTTCGGGAGCTCTGTAATATCTGGATTAGATGTAACTATAGATTCTTTCATTCTCAAAGCAACTGCTGCCAAAATCAATTATCTTGATGCCACTCTTGTTGGGTTACTTTAAGAGTATGTTCTCCGGTTTGAGATCGCAATGGATAATCTTATGCTTGTACAGAAAGTTGAGGGCATTGAGTATTTGAATGGCAAATCTACGGATGAGTTCTAATGATAAGCCTTGGTAGTTGTTATTTTTAATGAGTTCGTACAAATTTAGTGACAAGAGTTCACATATTATGCACTATGAAAATATATAGATTAATGGTTGTTACCACGTGATTTCTGAAGATCACAAAGTCCTTGATTTTGACTATGTTTGTGATGTTCTCCTCATCTTTGTCTCTAATGAAGGACAGGATGTTCAATTCAACCAAAGCTTGGTTCTAGAACTTCTTCTGATTTCTAATGACTTTCAAACAGAGGACTTGTTGTCTCTTGTGATCAAAGACTTTGAATGCTTGTCCGAAACTACCAGATCCTACATGCTCCAACAATTCATATCTATAACCAATGTGATCATGCAATGCATAGAGGTATTCTCCTTGGGAGTTGTCGAATCCGTCATTGAAATTATTTTATGTTTATGATATTTTCTTGGCATTTATTCCTATACAATAAATCTAATCATACATAACAAATCATACTCTCTTAAATGTCAGAATCTCAGTCTTTTCAAATTCCGTCAATGCGTAACCGTACTTAGCCAAACAAACCTGCGGAGTAAGGGGCAATTAACATTTATTCCATTCAAACTCACTTCTAGTTATACTAGTTTTTTTTGTTGTCAATTCTGAAATTGTTGTTTTCTCCTTAGACAATGTGCCTTGTCGTATATTTACCCTCTCTGTGGAATCACTCGTTTTCGTATCCAATTTATTTTAACTCTCTCTCTTGTTATTCTGAACAAAATAATTCAAGTTGTTCGCATGCTTATTACTCAGTTGTGTCTGTTTCAATAGCACTTCCTTTAATGTTTCTATTGATGATCCAGTTTTTATAGAAGCAGTAACTTTGCATTTCTGTTATTGTTGTTCCTTACTTCCCACTCTCTTCGCCGAAAACAACCTCTTCCTTGGCGATCCCGATGGAGACGAGTGCTTGTTGGTCATCGGATAACGCATTTTTATTTCAAATGAAATGTTATTTTATTAAGTAATCTTCCCTCTCATAAGTTGTTAAAAATTAAAATAATCATTTCTTTTTCTTTTACATCCCACTCTTTCCACACTCTTTCGCTTTTCCCTCCCGAAATACTCCATCTTTCCTAACCGCCTCCACACTAAACTTCCTGCTGCAAAACTTGTCTTACTCCATATCCTCAACACTCTCCACAGCCCCACTCGACGAAACCTCCTCTCCCAAAGGCTACCCCTTGGCCTGTCTAATTATCGCTCTGAAGGCTTCACTCTAAGCCTTCCAATTCGGTTTCTCATTTTTCACCTCCCCTTACTTCTACCCTTCTTATGTTGTCTGCATTTGCATCAGCCTCTTCATTGGAATTCCTCTCCCTTGTCCACCATCCTCCACTTCTAACACTCTCTACTTCTATGAATTGAACACCTTTCTCTTCTACTGAAACACCTTCTTGCAAATCTATAATATTTTATTTCTTTTCCTCATACCTTTGAGTGCTTTTACAAAGCCTACGCATTAAATGATCTTCCACACCCCTCTGTACATTCGTAAAGCTTATCCTAGAATCTCTAATCCCTTTTTTAAATTTGTTGTTGCTATCTAGTTTTGGTTGGTTGCTCGTATTTTTTATTCAAGGCCCCCTATGACTTAGTTTAATGGTTTGTCTTTGTCAATTAATGTTATTAAGTGGGCTTTGCTTATTAATCTTATTGGATTGTCTATTTCAATTATAATTACGACTATGTTGCTGTTTTTGGTCTACTTAATTTTTATTATTATTAATTATTCAAAGATTTTGGTTAATTAGATTAAATTTAAAGCTTAGCTTATTATTTTTATAAAACAGGAACCTCTTATTGATCTATATTCTATTATGATTTTAAGTCATTTTATTCATTTGTAATTTGTTAATCTGGTTCATTACTTTTTACTTAAATTGGCAATTATTATTTTATTGATGGCTTATCAGATTATTAAAATTCCCCTGTCTACGCTGTCTTAATACTTCTTAAGAGAGGAGATTTTTCTTTCTCATGAATTTTTGGAATGGGTTTCTCATCTTAATTATATATGCATGATTTATTTCGATGAGAGTTCTTTTGAAAAGTCTATTTTAAAGGGGATTTTGCTTAGGTTTTCTTCGTTTAATCAGCTTATCTACGAGTTGGAACATTGGATATATTTTGGAGGGGTTTTGATATTCTAGACACAACATCAAACTTTGGTTTTTAGGTTGCAGAGATTTATACATTGAATAGTTTATTGAAAGAATTCAACGGGTTCTAAGGATAGAGGGATGGACTTACTTATTTAGATTACTTAAACATACAATATGTAGGTTTGGACGGTTTGAATAAATTTAAAACTATATTATTTGGTTAATAAAATAAACTTGGCTCAATAACTGTGAATTAACTAGATTCTATCAGCCGCTGTATTCCACCAGAGATAGATTCTCCACTTCTTTTCCTTCAATTTGCTTTCCTTATCCAACCCATAAACTACTGTCCGTTTGCCATCACAGACTTCAAAGTAGTTGTTATCTACATCCAATTTAACAGCCAACAATTTTGGAGGCATCTAAACTGTTATTTAATGAGTATTACTTTAAATACATTATTGAAATCAGTTCCAATTCTTACATCCAATCCTGCTCCATTTTGACTAAACAAGTCTTTTCTATACCCCTTACCATAAGGAGACTTGTCCTTTTACTCTTCCTCTACAACACCCACATAGAAATTTCCATTTGCTCCAGCTCTCTTTTGATCAAATTCTTTGAATAGGATTATACAACCATGTTGTCCTTCACTAAAACTTGTTTCTGAATAAATAATTTAGGATTGAAATCCAGCTCCAGCACATTCCTTATAGTCATCTGCAAATTATTTGATTTGGTTGGACTCATCGGCCTTTGAAGGATTGAATTTCCATTGGAGCCTTCCGAATTTATACTATTATGAAATTAATGGAATTGAATACAGGCCATTGTTAGATGCTAGACTAAATTTTTTCCCAATAACTTTCTAAGGACTGCTTGTTGGATGCTATCTAATTGAATTCATTTTTTCCAGACATGAGTCCCTCGAACACTTTCCTCATGTTAAAGAATAAATCAGATCTTCTTTTTTCATTTAAGTATTCATTGATTTTGGCACTCAAGAGATTTGGATCACTCTTAGCATTTTCTTTGATGAGTGTCTTGATTTTAGTAAGATCATAAATGGCCTCATAATTTTTCTTTAGGTTTTCAATGCTTGGTGTTTAATCCAATTTCTCTTCTATGTGATGTAGTGATCAAAATTACCTTCTTTCTTAAGATCTTTCTTCTCTTCCTTTTTGTCATCCTTCTTTGTATCCTTCTTATCATCCTTCTTTGTTTCCTTCTTGTCATCCTTCTTAGTCTCCTTCTTTTCATCCTTTTTGACATCCTTCTTCTCCGGCTCCTCCTATTTAAGTTTTTCATCCCTAATGAATTATGTTGCATTGAGTGCTTCCACCAAAAGTTGTTTGACATTCTCCACTTATTCATTCAATTTGGCTTTCATCTAAACGAAGAAATCTTCAACATCCTTCCTTTATTGTTCAATGCTCTAAAGAAAGTTACATTCAATAATTACCTTATATTAAAGGAGGAAGTCCTTGACTTTGTTACCTTCATCATCAGCTGGCCAATTGTATACAGAATAGGCATTTCCTTCCATAACTTCATCCAGATCGCAAAGTTTAAGTTTGCTTACTATTTGCGATTTTGTAAAATCTGCACCACTGGCATCACTTTAACACTGAAAGCAGAACAGTCTTTTTGCAGCCTCGTTCTGAAGAGTAATCGATACAAACTTTTTTTTGTTATGATCAGCAATCGTACACCTAAGATCTTACATAAATATAATTAATATTATTAAAGGAAAAATAATTTAACATTTTTATTCTCCAATTTCTCATTTATTGTTGTCTTTCATCAGTAATTGTGTAAATTCTTAGAATGTCACCATCCCATCCCCATTGGTGTCCAATTCAGAAAAAACATTTTCCCATTGGTTTTCCTACAAGGCTAATCCACCGAATATCTCTTGAAGTTCCTATTTACTAATGGTTCCATTCCCATCCTTGTCAAATAGCTTAAAAGCCTTTTCAAGCTTCTCTTGAGCCATTAAATTTGACAACTCCGAATACGCCACAATAAACTCTTGTTATTATTAACCATCTTTACCGGTATATTCTATGGTTCCTGAGCGATCGACATCCGAGTACTTGAAGATCTTATTCACTATGTAATTGCATTTTATTTCATCCTGATATAAATCCATGTAACCTAATACAATTGAACTTATTGTTTACATTAAATTAATTCTTCTTTACTCAATTTACCATCACCATTTTTATCAATGGCACTAAACCCTTGTATCAATTCCTTCTTCTCCTTCGAAGTCATTATCTGAGTTGAAATCAATTGCAAAATCGCTGAACCCAATTTGCTACTATTCTTAATTACATTAAACTAGTCAAAATACATGAAATTAAGAAAGATTTTCTAAATTTTTTATATTGATTTTTTCCTCTCTTTTATTGCTTACAATCCAAGGATCTTTTAATGCTTGTTCTGCTGAAATTCGCTTGGCAGGGTCTACTACTAAGAGCTTAGAAATAAAAGACTTAGCATCCTACGAAACATCTTGCCATTCCGAACCTACTCATCTTTTTATATTCTAAAATTACCAGTAAAATCAACAATTCCACTTTTTATACTTCGGTATAGTTCTTCTATGTTGGTTCCATTAAATGGAGGCTTGCCACACATCATGATGTACATTATTACTCCACATGACCAGAGATCGCACTTGTTGTTGTAATTCTAATCTATCACTTCGGGAGCTATATAATAGGGTGTTCCAGTCTTTTGTTTCAGTTGAGTGTTCGAGAGGACCTACTTGGCAGTCCCAAAATCAATGATTTTAAGGGTTTGTTCGGATCCCCTTTAAGCAAACAATATGTTCTCTGGTTTTAAGTCCCTAATCCTAATTTACTTAGTACCTATGAACTATGTTACTCAAATGACAATAATTCACAGCACTTAATATTTATTTCATATAATTAGCAGCCATGCTCTCATTTAAATTGTTCCGTTATTAGATTCGATCGAACAACTCTCCTCCACTCAAATATCTTGATTAATCATCTCTATTTACTCAGTTATCAAGTAATAATAGCGTTCATCTTGATAAAGCTCATAAATATTCACTATGTTTGGATGATCAAGACCTTTCAATATATTTACTTCTTGAATCATCTTTTCCCTTTGACTGGCTAAGATCCTGTCCTTAGCAATCTATTTCATCGCCCTGAGAATTTTGGTTGATTTCTGCTTAACCAAACTCACTCGCCCAAAAGTTCCTTTAGATCAACAATCTTCTTACCTTCACCTAAAGTAGATTCTATCTCATAATATTAGCATATATCCCCAGCTTTTTGGGACACAAATATGCTTGGAGCAACCTTAAAATCTGTTCTCTATTTCTTAAAACTTTTGTTTGATTTAATTGTTGAAACCTCCTGAGTCTTATGAAAAGTAGTCAGACTCTCCGTTTTTTGATGAGCTGCTCTCTTAGGTTAACCACTACAAGAACCCATAAAATTATATATTAATTTATGTTTGTTTTTTTGCCGAATAATAATAACTCATTCAGATTATTTCCAATTACAATCAATAATTCAGAGCATGCCAATTAACTCACACTTATCAGGGTTAGAACTAGTCTCCCTTTTTAGTGGGCCATCAACTGGTTGAGGTTTGAGTATTGTAATCTGGGCACTCTTCTTCAATGCTCACTTTTCTTATTATAATATTGCTTTATTAATATAATTTATAAATCTTAGTCGGTAAACTTCGATTATTAAATGAATAGTAAGAGTGAAACCAAAATAAAACAAATAGGTGATTACGCCTTTGATTTAAATAAAGAAATAGGATCTGGCTATTCCTCCAAAGTGTATTTGGGAGAAAATTTAAAAAACAAATAAATTGTGGCAATCAAAGTTATTAGTTCTTAGACATATACCTCTCCAATCTAAAGATCTTTGCTAAAGAATGAAATCTCCATTCTCCTGAGAATAGATCACCCGCATCTAATGAAGGTGTTTGAAGTTAGTCAAAGTGCTAATAATACATATATAGTAACTGAGTTTTGCAATGGAGGAACCCTGGAACTACAGATGAAATAAAATGAATTGCCAATCCCCAAAGTCTTCTAAATCCTAAAACAAATCTCGTTGGGAATACAAGCCCTGCACAATAAAAGTAATAACGAAGAATTTTACTTTAGAAATCATCCACAGAGATCTGAAACCTGCCAATATACTAATCCACGAGAATGTGTACAAACTAGCTGACTTTGGATTCGCACTCATCGAAGATCAAATAGAAAGCATAATCAAAAGATTCAACGTTGGCACACCACTCTACATGGCTCCAGAAATTCTACTAAAGAACCAATATTCTGAAAAGAGTGACATATGGGCACTGGGCATCATGACCTATGAACTTATCTTTAATAGCATTCCTCCTTACAAATCTGATATCAAGATTTTCCACAATGACATACTCAAGAAAACTCAGAAATTAGATCCCTAATACCAAAGTATAATAAAATAATTGCTGTTTGCTATGATATAAACAGAACCCAATAATCGAGAGAACATTAACTAGATTCTTAACTATATCACGCAAGATAAAGCGGAAACTGTATCTCCAAGAATTCAATAGCAATTTATCAAAGTATCATCCTATGGTGTGCAATCCAATCTGAGTTCCCCACTATCCACACCCAAATAATTAACCACTCTTGAAAGTAACAGATAAAAGTACCAAAAAAAGGTTTAAACTCACACCAAAGCATAAACGTTTGATTCTTTAAAATTTTTGAGTTTAAATAAGTTCTAAGATGTACAAACCAAGATGAATTCCGTGTCTGATTTCAACACAGTAGAGGATCAACCCAAAGTATTTTCTCAAACTTCAACTAAGAAGAATCGCGAAGTCTTAGGTTAGTAATCAACTGAATGCTCTTTTTTAACTGCAAATAATAATAGCAAACCAAAAACGACCAGATTAAAAATGCAACAAACTCAATTGCCAGCGATAGTTTTACCGACATATTATTTTTGTCTATTTTTGGAAAATTTAATCAAAACTATGGATTGCTCTACTGAACAGAAACAATAATGTAATTTTCTATTTAGAAAATTGTTGGCAATCAAAGCCAAAGCGTTTTATTCATTTGCACCACAGACCATCAAAGATTAGTTGTCTCAATGGATGAATTAATTAAGCGTTTACTATGAGAAGATAGAACACACACTCAATTTTAGCTTGGATAACACGTTTTAAATCTTTTTCAACTCCTTGTTGGAAGATTAGGGTAAGTTGTTGAGTATGTATTTGGTTAGTTTGTTGAGTTAAGTGATTTCAAAGGAATAGAACTCAGACTTTGAAACTTTGATTGACATTCTACAAGAGAATGTGAAACATCAAAATGACCCTTTTTTATTTGCTAGAAAATGGGCACATAATCAAATACCGTGAATTTTTCTATTTCTATTTTTCTAATAATTTTAGTATACTCGAATTATTGAAATCGTGAAAATTCTCGATTAATTATTTTTATTAAAATGGGAACTTGTTATTCTTAAAAAAATACATGCAATACTGTCAAATAAATTAACCAAGCAGAAGTTATTTCTTAGTTCACATCTATTAGGGAATTGATGCACTTCTTTGATTAGATTAGTTTAGAGAAATTGAATTTCCCAGATTTATCTGCATTTCTATCGAAGCACATCAACAAAAATAGAGTAGTTAACGAGGGGAAAACTTGGGTTGCCATAAATGAAGTTAAGACCATCTTACACAATAAAACAGCCATCTTGATTAGGAACTTTAATCAAGAAACCGATGCAGCCATCTAATTAATTTACTTGCTTAAGCAACTCATAGAAATTTCAATGGGGGCTCAAGAACTATCAACTAGTTTTAATGAGAATGCAGTCGAACTTTTTCATTATTACCAGGCTCAATTGGTTCAAGTACAATTTGTGATCATCACCTTAGGTCTCGATCGAAGTGCTACTAGCAGTTAATACATTGGTGAGAAAATAGGAATACTGGTGGAAGGATAATTATTTCAATTGGAGAAGCATTTACATACAAACGATGTTTAAAATTTAATAGCCTATTGTAGAAAAGATAGATTTGATTGGGCCATTTTATGGATTTATCGCTTTATTAAAATAATGCGCTTAACTAATTTGTAACCAGTAAAAGTCACCAGATCTTGTTGAAATTGACATCAAGGCTCAACAAGAAGTCCTAGAATAGTTCTACAGTTAAATGAGAACAGGGTTTTTGTAAAATCAATCAAGTCAACTCGAGAGTATCAATTGGGAACGCTAAATTGCTTCAAAATCATTAGAATAAAAACTACAACTTTATCATCTCTATATAAATAAGAAAAACTATACTTCTTGATTCTATCAATTAATTTAAATATACTATATTTAAGTAAATTCTCATTCATTCAAATGAATCATATAACAATCAATTCATTCTTATAACAAATACTCAACACTCACAGGATTGTCTATCATTTTGAACCCCTCCAGAGACATCCTAAGGCTGCTCCTTATGAATTTATATTATTTCTTGATCGCCCGATGCGTAGTTGTTAAAAAGCGTGGAAGATTTAAACGGAGTGGGCTCCTACCTTTGTGAAAAGATTTATTTAGTTGATGAATACTGTTGATTAGGAGCAAGCAATCCCAAATCTTAAATATTGTATTAAAAAGTACTTATGGCAATTTGATCGAACACCTAATTCATTTTGTCTTTGAATTCAGGATCCTTATGATTCGTTGTTATAAAATAGGATATTTCATATTTATCCTACAAATTTTAAACTGATTCATTCAAATCAACTTTTTGCAAGTCTGTCTTATTCTAGATAAAATCACTCAAATACTCCTATCAAAATCATTATTATCTTAGTTCCAACCTAAAATATTAATTCCTCAATCCATTTGTCAATATGCAATAGTGTTTCCTCCTTTGAGCTATCGTAAATTAATAAAGCAGCCTTCGCTCTCTTATAATGACTACATTTTCATATAATAAAGCATAAAACCTTGAGACAACTGATCTATATTTTTCTTATCCAGCCGTGTCCCAAATTGAAAATTTGATATTATTTCTAGAAAAGGAATGATGCTAAACTCCAATTGTGGTTTCAGGTTGTGAACTCATATCTAGGAAGCTTGAGTCATTCAGTAAACTTACTTGTGCAGAATTGTTGTTTTGCCTACTCCACAGTCGCCAAGTAAGATAACTATCTAAGTGATTGAACTTACTTTTATTTTAAGACATTGTTAGAAATAAATTATCAAATATAATTAATCAAATTATTGTGTTTTCCCTAATACTTCAATCTATTAAGCTATCAAAAGCATAATACGAAAGCACAACTCATAGAAATAATAATAGGACACAGAGAGCAACGATTTATCGATTAATATTATAAAAGCTTAAAAATGAGTGATATCAAATAATTTTGATTATGTCTATTTAGACAAACTGATATAAATTGAATTCAAACATGTTCAAACAAATATAGAAGGAACAAACATAAAACTTAAATTATATTAAATATAATGAATAAATAGAATTATTGTTTTTTATTGAAATATCAAATAATAATTATCCATTAATAGTTATAATAATGTAATGAATAAGATGAGCTAGTTTTACTCCATCTTAAGAATTAGTCATGCTAATATTTTTATGAGATATCACTGAAATTATAAGAGATTTAAAAATCAAAAATATATTGCAATTACAATAATGAAAACCTTTTATTGATAGTCTAATTATTCCAATCGAGGAAATCAATAAAAATAATATCTCGATATAGAGATTTTCATTATAAGATCTAAATCTAGATGTAGGTCAAGACTGATTATTATTGATCATAATTTGGGATTAAATAGTATAATTTATTATTAATAATGATAAATGAAAAAGATGAACAAATTAAAATTATGACTGATTTTCTTCAGAGCAAGATCTTCATTGAAAAAATGAAGGGTGATATGCAAAAGAATCTAAAAAAAAGATCTATGCTAAAAGCGTAAATCAAATATTTTTAATCATTTGATAAAGATGAAGAAGTATTATTAGAATCAAATCATAGTTAATGAGAATTTGCAACAATTTAGATTGTTGTGTGAATTAGGCTTTGAAATGTGTCTTAAGAGAGAAGATTTAAAGTCAATCATTGAAACCATATTGGAGAGTCTTGTCAAATATAAATTATAATCTAAATAACAATTCATACTAATATAGGAACTTATAGAATATTCAGCATTTTCCATCTCAATTTTAAGAAATAATAAAAAGAGATATCTTACGGACTACTTAGAATGAAGAGGATCGAACAAAATTGAGCAATATTTTAAACGCATATAGTATCCGCAATGCCTAAATTGGATATTGTTAAGGATTTAATTATATAGCGTATTATTTCCTTCAACATTTCAGCGAAGAGGTATAATTTTGAATCATCTCTGTAGGAAACATTCTGGTTCTTATGTTTTCTATTTGAAACACTCTTACCACCAAATTATTACAATCATCTGTATGGTGTTTAATGTGATGATTTCATTATCAAAGATCTCCTATAATTTTTGAGACCTTAATTGATTAGTCATATGCAAAGATTGCAGATTGACACAAGCTTAATTATAATTTAATGGCTGGTTTGCTGTTTTACTCTACACAATCGATTGAGTGAAACAATTATAGACTTATTATTGCTGGATGGATCCAAAGCGTTGATAAAATGCGTTCTCACTTATATGAGTTTATCAGAGCCCATGTTATTAAAATGCGAAGAAATAGGCACATTTATTATGTCCATAGAGAACTTCATTTAGAGTTATTAAGATAGGGAATAATATGTAAAGGAATACAACAGAATCTATATCAATAATAAAATACTATAATTTGTGAGATAAGAATATTCAAAAAAGGTGGTTCTAATGGTTTAATAGAGAAGTAATCAAAGTGCTTAATAATTGGATGCATATTTACAAGTTCTTAAATAAAAAAAATGTAATCCTGAGTCACCTGTGTGTCAATACATACTTGAAGCTTGGAATAGAAATAAAAGACATCTTGATTTTATTATTATTCAAGAAAGAAATATAAAAGTCATTTAAGATTATGAACAAATCCAGAACAGGTAATCCAATTTAGAGAATTATGATTAAATGATATTAAGATAAAATCATATATGTCAATCAAACGATATCATATTGATTAGAGAAATCTAATACTCTGATATCTAAGATGTTGAAATAGTAAACATGAAATAAACTCAGAAAACTAATCAGGTTAGTAAGAGAACCAGAAGTCCCATAAAAGATTTTCTTCTTTTTCCATTAAAAGTATTCAATTAGAAGGAGTAGGAATAGAAATTAAAAATGAATCCATAGAAATATAAAATAGAACCCTCGGACTCTGTTTAAAGAATGGTAAAAAGTGTCCAAACTCAGTAATCTCCAAACTCTTCTTAAAACAGCAATAGAGGCAGATCACCATAATAAAGAAAATCTTAATAAACTGATGATATGAGTCAGAATCCTGCGCAAATAGAGAGAACTTAGAAGGATGAACTGCCAAAAATTCGAGAATCGATTACAATATAATTCTTGACAGAGTTATAGAAAAATACTGGATTAATTAATCTAGATTTGAATATTAAAGATGTTTTTGAGTAAAAATCTTGATGTATTATAAAATCATACTTATTGATGTAAACTATACTAAAAATATTTTTATTTATACCTATTCGATGTTTGAATAATCTAAAGGAAACTGTGATTATGGGATATTTGAATATCTATAAGGAGAATTTTGTTGACTGTTTGAAACTGAGTATGTGGCTGGAGCTTTAAAATAGGAACGAATCTTACAATAATTGTTGTTCTACACATCTGTGATGGCCAATTAGGGTGTATTTTTGTAGAAATATTAGTTCTGATCATAAAAATAATCTTGAAATTTATAAAGGGACAAATACATGGTTATTATTTCTAGGTGTAAAACTGGTATTGATTATAGGGGAATACTTAAGGGTAGGGTGTCGATGCTCCGCTTTCTGAGCAGGGTAAGGTCTTCTATAGGTTTGGTTCATCTTAACAAATTTTAATTGCTTCTTTAAAATTAGTTACTGTTTTTAAAGATTAATATATACATATATTTGGAAGATTGGTCAATACATTTGTGAGCATGAGGGTCACATAATCATACTTTTTATTAAATTCTAATTGAGTTTAATGAATTTTCTATATATATATGTACTTTCATACTTGCAAAGTAATAAAATTTTATTTATTCAAAGTGGTTGACTAATCTAAGGATTTTGCCAAGTTCTTTTGAATTTCTTTATGACCTGTTTGAAGATCTTGAATCAATATTTTAATATTTTCATGTTCTTGTTTATAAAAATCAAGTTCTTGATTTTGTTCCCTCGTGTCTATTTTTTAATCTGATTCCTCTTGATTTCTGCGTCGGATATATTGTATCATGTTCCTATAAATAGGGATTTAGTTTTTTATTACTATTAGCCCCTCCTAAACCACTTGTGCTTAAATTCACTAAATCCATATTGATTTCTTGTCTTTTTAAAATTGTACATATTTAGTTGTCTATATTTATAATGTTTCTTACCTCAGAAAGCTGGGATAATTTTTATGCTTGAAATAATTGGCTAGGACTTGGGATGACAATTCATTTGGATTATAGACAATAAAAGCGGTCCCTTCACTATTCCAGGATATGAGATTTGATAATGAATCATTCTTAATGATGAATTATAGTCAATATACTTCCAATATTTCGTATGTTTTTATCAAAAATGAAGGCACGCTCACTTTTAGTTGGGGATAGATATTGGAATATAGATTTGACATATTATTTATTTTTTTAAGGAATATTCAAGATTTATTTCCAATTAAATATCACAAAAATAGAACAAAAAGATTGCTTTAAAAAGCAAAATTTAAAGTTTATATTATATTGGCACAGATAAATGAAATTAGTGAATATCTTCTTACATAAAATTAACACTGCTTTGTTTTTCAAAATTTGATAAATTACAATTGCCATCCTATTCAATTGTGTCTTAAGAATGAAAATGATTAAAATTGATGAAGATGAAATTTTGACAACAAGGGCAAATTTAAAAGAATTAATAGTTTGGGTTGTGAAGAAGTGTGTGAGCTTAAATATAATTGACTTTAGTCATCAAAACATTGGAGAAATATATTTAGAATTAATTTTAATGTATATAATATATTTTAAATTGACATAAAATGCATTATAATAATCATATTAACATTGCAAATACAGATATAATAATTACAATGTCATTAATTTCTCTTTATGCACTGCATATACCATCAGTGTTTGTATCAAAACTAGCTCCAACTATGATTTATAATTGAATAAATACGTGCAACTGTAAATTTTGAATCATTATTTTATTAGATGATGCAGCTCACACAATACTTGAATGGTTTGTCGAGTTTGCTCAAATTCCTATTTGTGTAGTCTAAGAGTTGATTACTCCAACTAATAACCTTCTCTTTTGAGTATATTAGAGTGGCTGGAGGATTCTCACCTTCTTTCAATTGGAATACAGCATTAATGCCATCATCAATAGCCTTAGCTACTTCTTCTCCAATATATTCTCCTTTCTTACAGCATAGAGAAGTATTTTTACATCTGCACCACCATCGTCTGCCATTTTAATTACTTATTGATATTATAATATTAAAAGTGTAAAAATGCTAGTATTTGTAATATGAAACTCTTATGAGTATATAAATTTATTAGTATTTATATAATTCTTTGATATGTATAATGAAGAAGAAGTGGCTATTAAACTTGGAATTGTTGGAAACTAAGCGGTAGGCAAGACATCCCTAATTTTGAGAGTAGCTGAGAAAAAATTTTGTGGAAATTAGAATTGTGGAGTTGCTTTGGATTTTAGATCGATAAGAAATTACAAGCTAAATGGAAAACTTGTTAATCTCAATATTTTCGATGTGGCTGGTCATGCTAGAAATTCTGATTTAGCACTTTCATTTATAAAAGGTGCTTCTGCATTGATTCTGGCATTCAGCTTAAAAGACTAGGAATACTATGAGAATTAAGGAGATTAATAAACTGAAAAACTCGAGTTACAAATTCAACATTGGACTGATAAAATTATTGAAAATTCTTGTGAAAACATTCCTGTTCTTATTGTGGGATGCCAGCTTGATTTGGTTCAAGATTAAGAGAGATTAATTCCAGCCCTTGATGAGAAATTATAAGAAATTCTAAAATCTTGTAAAAAACTCAACATAATCAACAACACAGAAAAAAACATGATCTTCTTTCCAACTTCGGCTCTTACAGGTTAAGGAGTTGATAAGTTATTCTAAATATGGACTTTAGAAGCTGCTAAAACCTAACAATTTCGTGGATCAACTCTCAAAACGAAATCTCATTTGAAGAAGCAAAATTAGAAAGATTAATGTTGTTGAATAAATATATTATAAATTATAATCAAATCCACCTAATGAAATAAACTCGTATTTTGCTTATCGGAGATCAAAACACTGGAAAGACTTCATTAATCAACGCACTTTGCAACGAATCAATCGCAACCTTTCCTACTGTGTATTAAGAATTTAGAAAGATTTAAATAGACAAACTACAAATACTAATCTATGATTGTCCAGGTAATCCGTCAAAAGAATATAATATTCAGTAAACTGCTCTTGTTGCTGTAGTTGCCATCAACTTAGAACATCAAAATCCTTTTTTGTATTTGGAATATCATCATCATCTTGTTAAGGATAAGCCTCTAATAATTTTTATAGGATGTAAAAGTGATAGAACTCACCATACATATAATGTTATCAAGCAATAAATTTCGAAAATACTAAATATCTAAAATGTTATTTTATACTTTACAAGTGCCCTAAATTAGAAAGAAATTGCTAAGTTTAAAGAAGACTTATCCTAGCTGCTTTATTAGAGTGGTTTAGTATTCGATGATGATTTACAAACTCAAAATCCTAATGTGTCTTATATAGAAGAACAAGACTCATAATTTTTGAACAAATGGGCTCAGTTTTTAAACTGCTGTTGTGCATGCTTAAAGAAAGACGAGTGAAGCAAAGATATTATTCTATTTATTTCTGATTATTATCAATTCATTTTTCCTTCAACCAATCAGCTCTTAATACGAACTATTTATCATAATTATTTTTAGACTTTTGAATTTAAGGTTAGCTTAATTTTTTATATTTTCAACAATGCTGATTTTAGATGAATATCATCTCCCATTAAAAAAATTAAGATACAAAAAATCCATGTTCCTATATTGAACCGATAAATTCTTTTGAGCTTAGAACTCTTTTTAACTCATATATATGTGTTTATAGAAATTAAATATCTAAATGAGATTTGCATCCAAGTAAATCAAATTCTTTTGTAAATTATTTCAAAATTTTGATATTTTATTCATGCCTTTTTAATTGATTTTAAATTTCTAACAACTAATGGTTTCAAGTTGTGTTTTTTTAATAAAACCCAATAAATAATGCCATAGGAAATCCAAATGTTTAAAAACATATAAATTTCATTAATCTATGAAAAAGTCTTAAATATTTATAATGCTATTAGAACTAATTTATTCATATCTAGTTATACACATTATTATAAACATTGTATTTTTATAATAATTGGAACATGATATATAAATGAAAGTTAGTATTTTCAAAATAGAAATAGTATCAATCAAAAGAGCTTTATTTTATTGAAATGTTTACAAAAATAATAATCTTATTGAAAGATGTTTGATGTCCATTTCATATTGGTTGAAATTTTAAATATGAAAAATCAATTATTTTCATCTCAAATAAAAACTTCTATTTCTGATTCAAATTTAAAATTTTGGCCAATATTGCCTTAAGTTTTAATTAAATTTATTGAATTATTTGTATCGATAATTACTATAAAAAGATTAGACTTCCAATTCTAATATCAACAGTAAAATAACATCCCTTCAAAGGCTAATATTTAAAAACATTTAGCATATAAGGTGACTAATTGGGCTAAGGGAGTCATTAAAATAATAACAAACAATATAGAATCACTCAAGTAAGAATTTCGATATTCTTTTCAATTGAATTTAATTCAAACTCTTATTAATTAATTATGAATTGAAATAATCTAATTTGTATAAATAATATTTATAATTATCAAAAAAGGATATTCTAGTAAACTCTTAAATGCATCTTTATTAATCAAAATCAAAAATTCATTATTATATCTAATTTTAAAATTATTCGTATTGAGACCTTTCAATAGAAAGTAATAGATCACTTATTTGCCTAAACGCTCTCAACAATTATTAAACCTCAAATATTTTCTAATTTTACTAATAATTATTAGAAATTGAATTAAATCAGTTTGAGAAATTATATGGCATTTGGAGACCAATAAAGCACATATAAATGTGTATGTTATATTATATACATTATTCTTATTCCAAAATTTACTTTTTCTAAGAGATATAAATTCTATAGTTTGTTAAAAGATTGGCTCATATTCTCATTCAGATCAACCCGAAATTTGTAAAATTATTATTTATAATTCAAATTAATCATATTATTTAATATTAATTAGGATATGACTTATTTGCAATAATAAATAATTTGATGTTTTTTTGAAATATAATTAATTTGTATTTCATATTTTAATATTTATTTTTAATTTCTAGAATGGCAAAACTTATTTTCTCTACATAGAAACTAAATAATATTTTTAGATTACCACATAAAAAGTAGGAATTTTATTAAAGTCTTCATTATTAGGAATTTGTGCTTCTGTATTAAAATAAAAAATAATTAATGGTTGTAAATTCTAAAAATTGTTTCGTAGGTTAAATATAAAGATTGCGATCGAATGAACTAATCATACCTAGAGCTAATTTAATAATTCAATAATAAGTGTCAAAATGGATTATTCATTTGTTTATCATTATACTATTATATTTATATATTAAAAAATTAGCAAATATTCTTTTCTGTATATTTGCTTAACTCTTCATTAAAAAGTGAATGTTTAATATATAATTTAATTCAACTGTTTGTATTAATGAAGCCAATAAACTGATTAAAATAATTTTAGAGGATAATTTAATAAATAAATTATTATGGGAATCTGTCATGGAAGCGCTAAAAGCAATAATGGATAGTTGAAACAAGTTATGGCCAAGGCAAAAAAATCTCAAGATATAGAAGTTATTTTAAAAGAGACAACTGATGTCTATACTACCTTCAATCCATATAATAATCCCATTCTTAATCGCCGTTTAAGAGAGTAAAATACTCAAACCCAAACGAATGTGCAACAATGATTGAATAATTATTTTTTGGTTCATTATTGTTTTACTAAAATTGTTTAATAATGATAAGCATTTAGTATTTCAAAAATTAAGTCTAAAATAATTTTTTCTTAATTAAAATATCTTTTCCAAAATTGCTTATGATTATTAATAAGAATTAGCACGTTTTTTATTTAAAATGATTCCAAAATCATCAAAATGTTCTAACACCACATATGAAATAATATTTTTATATTAAAGATTCACAATTCAAATAAGTTTTCATACATTTTATCTTAAATACCCTGAATAAAAGATTAATAGCATAAAATTTAATGTATTTTAGGTTTATCTTAAATAATAATGTTAATAATATAAGATGAAGTTTTAATAAATTTAAACTGATCCAATAAATAGGAAGTAGAATTCCTCATGATCTATATGTAGACGATTAATTTATCAATATTAATGCTGAAAGGTAAAGACTTTTCATTTAATTTTATGTTTGAATCTAAATTTATGTTATTCAATAATGTAAATACATAATTTATTTTTCAATTTTTATAATATGTCATTTTTCATCTTCCTCGTCAATTTTATCTGTGTTTCCAAATTTACTATTTTTTTTTTCATTAGGACTTCCACTAAGATCCACATGATCAAATTCAGTAGTATTAAATTTTTACATTACTTTACCATGTTGAGGTTCTTTGAATCCTTTGAATGCACTATCTTAGGTGACAAAAGATCCTTTTTCAATTTACTTGTTATTTTGTAACGAAGGCGAATCACTTTAAAATTCTTAAGTTTAGAAATTCTTTCCTCCAGAAGAAAAAAATTATTTTTTTTGAGAAGAAGTTTGTTAAAGTTTGGTTTCTTAGGTGTGACTTTTTTCAAAAAAAGGTTCCTATAAACACGCACTGGCTGATATTCTTTTGGTAGGATCTTTCTCAAGCATTCTTTGAATTAAATTAATGATAGTAGGATCTATTTTCTTCATTTACAACGGAGTTAAATCAATTTTGCATTATTTATTTAATTTTAAAACTAAATTAAATCCTACTCCTGGAAAGAGATCTTTGCCAGTCAAACTATAAGCTCATATTAGAATGAAGTACAATTTAAAGAAAATAACTCCAGCACTGAAGACATCGCATACTTTGTCATACTTTTCTGATTTATCAATTAAATTTGCAATCTCAGGGGCAACATAGCCAGGAGTACCACATTTTGGAAATAAATATCTTGCATTATATTACCGATTGATTACTTTTCAATATTGCAATAGGTTGCCAAACCAAAATCTACTATTTTCAAAGAATTCAAATCAGATTTTTTTTATAACATAATGTTCTCTGGTTTAAGATCGCGATGCATTATGTTTTTCTTATGCATATATTCAATTCCAGTCAGAATTTACTAAATTTAAATTTTAAATTAATGCTACCCACATCACATTACGCACTATCTCTTCAGGAAATCCATTTTTATGGTTATTTAATTCATCATGCAAACTCTTTCCCTCCAACAAATCCATTACCATATAGAATGTGTTGTCGCCTTCATAAACTGCATGTAATTTGATGAATGAGGGATGATCCAAATCATTATTAATAGAAATCTCCTGAAACATCGATTCCTTAAATTAATAAATGCTAATTACAATGCCATTTTCTGTTTCGTTTACATATGACTTATCAACACATTTTGCAGCGTAATAGAGTTCTGAATTTTTGTGTCTCACCAATAATACTCTTGAAGAAGCTCCTTTTCCTAACGTTTAGAGGGGTGTGTAAAAATCTTAAATTCTTTGGAAGATTATTTTATTTCTCAAATGTTCTTTTAATTTAGTAAGGGTGGCATCATCTCCATAAAAACAAGTAACCTTAGCAATTTAAGAGTCTCTTATTTATTTAATCTTATAATAAATGCCACAATTTACTTATTAAAACTTGAATGACACAATTTTGTAATGCTTCTTCCCATTAACACTCTCTTCCTCTACCTCCCATTTGATGTGAGTTTACAATTAAATAGGTAACATATATTTCGGAACCTTGGCGTTCTCCTTAAATCAATTAAATTAACGTAATACTTTGTAGAGATCTAGTAAATTGTTATTTAATATTCCTTTATACTGTTTTGTGCCCTTTTATCCCTTTTTGTAACAACCAAATTCAAAAACTTATGGAGCTTCTAATTGCATAAAATTTTAATTAATTTTATAAAATTTAATTAACATACTATATCAGATCATGAATTAATTAACCTCTTCTTAGTGATTACACTTCATTCTACTATTTCTTATATGATTCATATTTCAATTATTAATAATTATATATGTAATCTAATAATTAAATATATAGCCTAAGAATTAATCTAAAATCATTACATTATTTAGTATTTTTAACTATGTGTTTAGATTAAGAATTTTAATTCATATATATATCCTAAAATGGCAGAACAGTAATAAGCAGACTATTTGAATCTCAAAGTTAAGTCTCAAGATGGTGAAGAAGTGTTTTTTAAAATTAAAAAGTAAACACAATTTAAGAAATTAATGGATGCATATTGTTCCAGACAAAATGTAAAACAGTACAATATACTTAGTTACAAATCTAAAATGTGCGATTTCTATTTGATGGCGAAAGAATACTAGAGACCTAAACTCCAGCAGATGTAAGATTATCAAAATGAAAATGTTTTTTTTAGATTGGAATGGAAACAGGAGATGAAATTGATGTCGTCATAGAACAAGTGGGGGGATAAATATGATGAGTTAAAATAAAATAATAAAGTTATATTTCAGTTATGTTTTGTTTAGTCTCATTCAAATCAATCAATTTTCTTTAATCCATCGAAGATATACTTGCAAGGATTAACAAGTATTATAAAGATCCAACGGAATAAGTGATTATATTTCTCTGGCCCTTCTAGTTTCATAATAGAATTTAGTTTGCAGTGGAATCCAACTCACAAAATATACTAGAATTGATATCACACAAAAAATCATGAAAAGCAGAGTGAATTATAGTTCCAAATTGGAATAATGCTAACTTAAATAACTTTCCAATTCATTTGATAATTACATGTGGCATATTCGGATAAATACCTTTTGCATTTTTCTATTTGCATTACCAATTCTTGTGTTAAAAATATTAAGAGTGTAATTTCTTCTATGATTTGTGCTGATATTAAAGGTTAAATTATTATATACAGCATTTTTATCATAATAAGAATATTATTGCAATATGTTTTCAGCATTTTCAAAGAAATTTGTTATTGCGATTGATAATCCTTCTTACAAAATGTTTTTGTTGAATGACAAACATGCAGATGAATTCACTGATGGATCATACGCCAATATGATATCGCATGGGTTTTGGATGTAAATTTCATTGAATATCTATTTATATTGATCTGATAGAATCTATTCATTTTCTTAATTCAACACATGAAGTTGAGCATCCAAATTTTTGACCCCTTCCAATTCCGCTTGTAATTTAGTTATTGAATTAAGCTCATCAAATAAGACTGCATTTTCATCATAAAGCATCTCTTTAATACTATTGTCTATCAACCTATATTGTATAGGCAGATAGGATGTTAAGTTAACCAAAGGTACTAAAGAGTTCGTTTAATCAGTAATTATCTAATTTATAGATTAAAGATTTTACAGTCGCTGAAAAGTATAGGTAAGAAAAAAAAGAATACAGTAGAATCAAAAATGACAAGGAGATAAATTGTACTCTTTTGTAATTGTTAATTTCAAAAACTGATTTCTTTTTTTTATTTCTATTTGATTATCCTAAATAGAATTCTTACTCATCTTAAGCTTCAGGTTCTTCTTCAATCGATTCAATCTATTTAATTAACAAATTCAATACATCATCATTTTCATTCATTTATAACAATTATATAAAAGTTTAAAATTGATTTACAATCTTTTTAACTTATTCTTCTCTGATCATTAAATACAAAGAAATAATCTCCTTAAGCTCTTTTTGATGAAAATATAGGTATAATTAAAAAAACAATAAAATCAATGTTAGACAACATAACTAAATAGAAAAAAAGGAGATTTCTTCAAAATAAAGATTATCAATTAAACTTAGAATATTTGAATAGTAATAAGCTTATGAAACTAATTGAGACTTTGGCAATGAGTTAAGTGTATTGTGCAGATAATAATGAAAGTCTTCATTATCATCGACAAAACTTGACAATGCTGAGCCATTTAATGTGATGGCCTTTGCTATCATTTATTAAATAGCCTATGGGTAAGTAAAATTGTGATATTAATTATCAGTTGTAGCCATCTATACAAAAGCTGATTAAAACTAATCTAAAATAGGTTAATATTTTTCATTTATCAGAATATTGGCTGATGTTAAAATGTAATCATTTGCTAATAAAATATCTAATTCATTACTAAGCTCAACAAAATTTATTTCTGCAAACCTACCGTTTGTGGCTTTCATAGTATATTGCTCAAGATTTAAATAGGAGCCTCTTAAATCCTAAAGATTTGATTAAATCTTTAGTATAGATGCAAATCTTTAATTAGAGGCTGTTAAAAGAGTGATTGCAGCCTAAAATTCACTTTGAGTCTGATTTATTATCAAGTACATCGCAATAGCAATAACAAACATTACAATCATCAAAGTATTTAGAACTAAGATGAGTTTCTTGAGAATTGGAGAGTAAGGGACATTCAAGAGACGAATGATTAACTCTTGCTGATTTGATATTTTGATTTATTAAGACTGTTCTTTTTATTCTTAAATTTCTAATTTTTAAGTTTATTCTCTTATTTATTCCTCGTCTTCATCATCTTAATCTAGATCAATTATCTCCTTAATTTCTCCTTGAAACAATCTTAAAGTCCTGATATCATGTCCTAATCCTTATTATGTTACAATAGTCACAGAAGCTTATTTTCTATTTTGAAAACTTTATTGAGTGAATACACAAACCTTTGGTTCATCTTAGACTTCACTATCATTTTTGATAGATTCATATTTGGATGTTTATTAACCTAAATGTTCAACTAAAATAATAAAGATAATAGAAAATACAGATATATGAGTTTTATTCAATAGAATATTTAAATTAATGAGTAAGGATATTCTTCTTGATAAGATATTTTTCCTTGGGTGCTAATGGTTCATTTATTTAAACTTTTAAATAATATCCATAGATCTATTGTCTCAAATCCTATTAAGTAAATTAATAATTTTTAGCAGATATTTCATATAATTATCCATAATATATTGAAGGAGTAATCTAATCATTTTACTTTTCATCAAAATCAGAACTTTTAGTTAGAGAAGTTATAGAATTTTCAAAAACAATCACATTCATCTTATTTAGATAATCATCCATGTTATCCATAAGAATTGGGAATAGTTTTTATATTGTTAGTTGTCGAATTTACAACTGTCGTAAGTCTAAATTAAGAATAGAGATGCAGGATGCTGAAATGCTCTCTATTTTGCCATCAAGATTAAAAATTAAGAATGCACAACTATTGTAACACTAATCTTATCTCAGTCTGCAAAATTAAAAAATCCCTTTATCAGACATGTAAACTGAGTTAGTGCTGAAAGTCTAAATAATATAATTAGTTCTAGACACCAAAAATTATGATCTTTCTTACGTTTCATAAACTTGATCTGATCTTAATTAAGAAAAGTAATCTTCAACAAAAACGCTGTGTAATTTACAGTATCTAAGTTACTTATAATTTAATTACTTGTCTTACAAAATCTGTGATATAGGTTTGCCAATGACATCAGTCTTAGAATACCCTAATAACGAGTGGAAAGCTTAATTCACATTTCTTATTATTGATGGTTGATTGGCCTTACCAAATAATTCCAAAACTACAACTGGATATGAATACTAGCTTAATTCATCTTGATTTTTCAAAAATTAACGTTCAGACTATTGTTAGATTAATTTCTTTTTATTTGCTTTTTGTACGACTTTAAAGGATTCTAATTAATGAACATGCCTATTGAATTTCTCTAATAGTTTAAATATTGATGCATCTTAAGGATTACTTCTTTGGAACTTAAACAATTATTTGTTCAATAAATGAATCGATTAAAGAATTTAAGTACCATATTTTAGTAGCATTGCTAAATTTGGATTTTCATCCAGTAATGTATTCCAAAATGAGATTTTACGATAGGCGCATTCTTCAGTTAACTATTTAATTTATTGATACTAATATTTCATGCTTCTGTCTATTGTTTAAATGTAAGTAACTTCTTTTGCTGCTATTGAAGATTTTAGATAGGATTGATCAATAGTTTTCCTCATCTTGAATATCAAATATTGTTATCCAAAAGACGGACAACAAGCTTCTGCTTTATCCAATTAAATTAATGCCTTCTACCCTTATTCCAAAGTGTCTAATAAGTAAGAGGAATAGTGGAGCCTTATATCAATGCTTTGAGGGTAAATCTAGAGGGCAACCTAATAGGTTTAATCAATAATCTCTTTGAGAATCATTCTTTAATCTGTATATTTACTGTTATCCTTAAACTTCTTAGACAATTCAAATGATGTCTTAATTGCACATTAAGGATTCAAACAAGTTTGTTTGTGGACTTCCAAAAATCCTAACATTAGAATTTCCTAATTTTAATCCTTTTCAAAACTCTCACATAGTTCTATCAAAAATTCCGATAGCCTTATTATTTCTTAACTTGAGAGCTATTGAATCAAGTTAGCCTATAGCAGATTGATATTTTATCTTTATTCTTGCAGTAGAATCACCAAAAGCATAGGAGCTGTCATCAACCAACCCTTAATGGTGCCTATTAAGATCAAATGCTCAAATGTAAATGCAGTTAATAGCATAAAATTAGTATAGAAAACTAGGCCACTAATTGCAGACCAGAGTTTTTAAACAACCTTGTTGTAGAATGGTCTTTTTAAACGAATTTTGTAAAAGAATAAGAAACTTGTTAGAACTTAGATCAGAATCACAACTAAAGAGTATTTTGGTTATTCTAGCAAACAATATATTAACATCGAGAGTGACGCATGCACAAACATGAATGTGTATGTTTATGCTTCTCTTTGTGAAAAGGCATTCTTTCTATTATTTCTAATCTCAATAAAGAGTTTTGATCCAATTACTACTATGAGGAACATGATTGTTATTGAAAATATCACGACGCAAACATGCATTATGTAACCACTTGTCCAACATTCCTAGTCTGTTGTGTACAACATTTTTAAGTTACCATTGCTATCTCGCTTACAAACTAAAAACTAAATTTATAAATATATATGAATAATACTCCTAAATGTAATCTCAAGATTTCAACAAATCCAGCCGTCATGAACAATTTCATCGCTATGCTTAGGATCACCCTCAAAAGTTGGTTATTAATTAGTTATTTGAGAATGGAAGCCAATATTACAATCACTGCAATTAATAGGACCACGCTAATAGCAATATACAAACCAAGCAAGTAAGTCGAAGATTTTTGTTGGTTTAACATTCTTAATACTGTAAAATACTGCAGAAACTGTTGGATTTCGCCTGATAAAACCACATTATGCCATGCCGATTAAAGTTATATTTAAAAGGGTAAATATATAAGCTGAATAAACTAAATGAGAGATAATAAAATTGTGGTTTATAAAGATTGGGTGTTTTGGCCTACAATTTAATAAGCGACACTAAGCTTACATGTAATGATTTTACTTAAATATTGATAATTTGAATTAATCCCAAAGAGTTTATGAAAATTCTTGTTTATGACTCATATAAATTTGTATTTACTTATTAATTATAATGATAAAGAAATTATTTTTAGAATTGCAAAAAATTAAAAAATTATATTTAGATAAATTTTTTATCAAAAAGAATGTTCAATCGTTCTTCTTCTGATGTAAATATTTCATAAATAATCAGATTAATCAATGAAATAAAGTAAAGCATATACAAGTAAATGGATAAAAATATATATATATAGAGTAATTTACTTAATGATGAGATGGGAAGAAGAATCACTTTATTTAGCCATCCTCTTTTCAGTAATGCAATTACTATAGTTATCTTATTTGGCCTTCGGCCCTAAGATAATGTATGTTTGGAACAATCAAAATGCAGCAATGAATCTGAAAAGCATTTTTAGGTAAGAATATTAATAATAACTAGCTATTTCATAATAAGCTCTCACTTGATAGGACAGGAATTTCAGCTTTACTTAACCATATTCTACCTCTTCTTCGGTTTGGTGCTTTTAGCAATAGTGTTATTTGTCGTCTTTGCATTCGCTTTAAAGGTACCTGTACTGCCCTTATTGCTACTAAAAGTCTTGTTGAAGCTCTTTTTAACCGTAGGATTTCTTCCAATTATGCTATTATTTTTTGGAGTACATATTATATTTTCTACATTTCTAGCTTCTCTCTTGTCAAGTGAACAGTGAAGGAGCGAATATTTGGTTTTATAATTCAGACATAGAATGTTGGGGAAATGAACACTACATCCACGGTATTTTTGCAATAGTCGCCATCTTCATCTTTCAGATTCTGACAAGTTCTACCTGCTTAATTTACTTTGAGAGTAAGTGTGCTTATGGAAATGCTTATGCTCAGAGATCCGGAAGACCGTATTCTTATTACCACATCAATGTTTTCATAATCATAATGTCATACCAATTACTTGAATTACCCAGATTCAGTTCCTTATTCTTGACTATCTACATTCTATCAAGCTTTTTTCTATTTTATTAAATCCATACAGAAAAGCCCTTCTACAATAAGGTAATTCAAAAATTATGGTCAATAATTACTGCTTTGAATTTTTGGACTTCCATTATGCTATTATTTGCTCATCTTTTGGAGGGCCAATACTTTAGAGATGTCATTTGGGGATGGATAGGCGGTGTACCACTAATTACGTTGATTATAATAAATGAGCAAATTTTTGAAGTTGATCTATTGGGTTCAAATATCAACAGAGCAATATCAGGACAGTAGATAATTATTCTCTGCGAGTATTTGCTATCCTTGTTGGATAAGAATGATCAGCATTCATTATTAATGTTAGATGGGTTCATTGAAATACACAAACAAACCTGTTATAGGAATGATTGCGTATTGAAATCTAAAAAGATTCTGAATGAGAAGAATAAGCATTCTTCTCTTTAGGATATGGAAAGATACACTGTATTTATAGAATTAATTAGCCAAATGTACTATGATGGCATTAAACAATTCCCATAGGATGTATTTTTAAGATTAAATTATTCATATTTTCTAATTGATAGATTAAAATTAAAATAGTAGGCCTTGACTGAATTGCAATAGGCAGAACAAAGTGGTCCAAGCTTTGATCATGAATTCATCATCTATCGGTATAAGCGAATACTGGAAGACGATTTGCAAGAACAGCAACAGGAGAATTTGAATCAAGTTGATTTAGTCACTGAGATAGCCTTTCAAAATCAGAGCAAGTAACTGATTCAACAAATAGAGAAGACATCACTTGTATATATAGATTTCTGGGCTCAATTACAGGAAGAAATCCCTGATATTGGGAGAATCAAGATTTTGGGATTTAAAATTCTGGACTCAGTAAACTTAGTTTAAGAATAATGGAATAGATTAAGGAGATTGAATTAGAAGGCTTCAAAGTTGAATCGCTTGATGGGGAAATACTATTCCCAAGTATTAAATGATGAAGAAAATGGGATTAAATTGATTCAATTAAGTAGAATGAATTAGAATGATAAGTTTAAGGCTATAGATTTGGAAGAGATCGCAAATGAGTGTCTAGCCACAATAACAATTTTGACTGATGTAGATAAAATTGGAACGATTAGCAATCTTAATAAGGCAGCATGCAGTTTGCTTGGCTATGCTAAAACTGATTTAGTGAACAGGAAATTAAATTTGATATAACCAGATCTGTAATTATAAATACCTAATCAATAGTTTCTCGAAGTATCACGATCACTTTCTTGAGAATTTTCTAGACAAATATTAAGACAGCTATTCGAATTAATAGGTTAAAGAAAAATCAATTTATGTTAAAAATAAGCAAGGGTACATAATCCCTTGTCAATTACTAATAAGAATGATATAAACCATTAATTCAGGTGTTTTTATGTGTGGGACAATCAGACAGGATATATACCATAAACCCTTGGGCATATTTTTATGCTAAACCAATGGAATAATAGAAAACATCAACTCTACTTGCATAAGAATGTTTGGATTGGAATTGAAATCGATCACAATCAAGCCTATCAATATATTGGATATCTTTCCAGATATATTAGAACGCAAAGAGGAATTGCTATAGAAGGCAGGTGGGATTGTAAGTTATACATTTAGAACTCGATCATCCAGGAATGATGCATCTCATAATTCCTTATAAGATTTGGATATAGAGCATTCAGAAGTATTTGAGAACTCAAGTAAATAATAAATATTGTATTAATGCTTTTTACAAGAAATTAAATTTTAATGCATAGAGGATGAAATCATCTAAAATAAATTACAAGGCTATATTATCAAATTTGAGAAGCTGAAATCACAAGAGAAAATCTAATTGCACACTCAAAATAAACCAACTTAAAATTAGTTTTAATTCAAATTCAATTGTCAATCCTTAACTTATGTGCTTGATTGCGCAAATGGAGTAGATTCTTAGGATGTCACAGTAAAGGTAGATTAAAGTATATTTTGGGAGGATCAAACAAAAATATCGTAATAAATAACAAATGATCCTTAAGTGCAAGGCAGTGATAATTAAAAGAATTATGGAGAAGGAATCAAGATTGTCAGATTGATTGGAGATCGCATAGTTGAAATAGAAGAATCAAAGTCTGAGGAATATGAAGATGATAATATGCAAAGTCTGATTGAATAGAATGAAAACCATGATCAAGATTAAAAGAATGAGAAAGAAACAGTGAATTTATATAGATCAAAAGGTCAATTAGATCATCTGTTATCTCAATCGAAACTACCTAGAACTGCAATCAATTTGATAGTATTCACAAATATAATAAATACAGTTTTGTTGCTGATAGCCTTCTTGGAATATTTCTTAAACCTAGATTACTACTAAAATCTAATAGACTCCATACCTTTGGTCTCCTAAAACAATCAGAGATCAAGCACTTTAATGAGCATTTAATCAATCGTTTAGGATCTGAAAGTGCTGCATTATGACTAATACCCTTTGTTGAAAGACCCTTAGGCTGGGTATCTGAATGTCGAAAAGTAATTTAGAGGGTGGTTTGATAAAGAATTATAATAGTTGATAATGTTATAGAAGGAATTGACTTTGGTATCAGCTGAGATTAATGAAAATTATTTAGAGTTTGAAGATCAATACAATATGTAGAATATTAAAATGGCGTCTTTAGAAGGAGGAGCTTAAAATTACACTTTTAATGAGGCAGTCTAATCTGCAATAGCTAAGGCTTTGTAGATCAATAGTAGTTCTCTTGAAGAGATCAGCGATCAGAATAGTGATGTTTATTATATAGAGTACAATGTTTTCAATTCTTTAACTTAAAATTTAATTATTCCAGCTCAATTTTATAGATACAACATAATATCAAGAAGTGAAATCTTAGATACGTCAGCAACAGCTCTTTTAACAGCAGCATGCATCGTTTTATTTATATTGTAACGTTTTTCAGATATGCTAGGATATGTTCTAATTTGCTGTTCATAATCAAGATCGAAGTAGTCAATTAAGCTGCTTTGTAACTATTTTTGGACTTAGATGAGAAGAAGATAAAATCCATTTATTGTAAATGCGAGAATTTCATCACAAGTCTTCAAGTAGGAGAAGAAGATGACGATGATGTAAGATGCAATCATTAAATTATATAGTTCTTCTCAGACAATGATGAAAATGAAGAGGAAAACGAAAATAAAGAAAAAGATGATGGTAATCACTTACTAAATGGAAGGAAAAAGAAGAAGAAGTTTAGAAACTCCAATTAATATTATAAGCATTTGATATTGGCTTTGCTTATTGTAGTTGCAATTATGAGTGCTTATTTCACTTTCTAATTTGTTTCAGTTTAGGTACATTCTACTTAATTATTTTTAAGTCTGAAACTTCCAGCATCATAGACTTAATACCAGTTTTTAATTAGACTTCTTTTGCTGAATGCTATTACAGATTCTCTGATAATGCCCTAAGAAAATCATTCGAAGTTGAATAATACACTTTTGTTGGCAACTCTTCAATGCATGTTCTGAACTAATTGATTTCTGAATTGTATAATTTAGATGCAGCCATTCATTAAATTCATTCTACCAATTCAGACATTCTGGATTCATCATACTTAGATGTAAATTCCAATTAAAATTATATAGGTGTTCAACGAAATTTTTATCTTAACTCCTTGTGTTTACATTGTTCAAATTGATCAAGAAATTGATTACGATACTTGTTAAAATTTTAATGACGGGGTTTTATAACAGGGTCTGTCTATTGGAATGGCAAAGTATTTTGAAAGTTTTAGACAACTTTTGAACTCTTATAGTTCCTTTAATTAATCGGATGATTACACTCTGACCTATTAGATTTCTGAAAATAAGAGATTGAATTACATGATGAATTTAGCTAATACTGATTAGGCTCATAATATGAGATTGATGCAGCAAAGGTACATTAAGGCTGCTTACCAATACATAGATTAGGCATTAACTTAATCAGTGTAAAAAAATGCCAACAATAATAAGAGTTTGAAAGTTGCACTCTTTATTAGTTTCAATATATATCTCTTTTTTTTATACTTTTTTATTTGGATTCCCCTTATATTCCGTATCTTAGGTGACATGCTCAAAAATCGATTAACCCTAACAATAATACCATTACAAGTAATTCATCGAACTGCATCAATAAGACAATACATAAGGAAAATTATTAATCATTGAAAATTATTATTATATATTTAATTAACTATCAAAAATTAAAAAATATGAAGACTACGCGAATTGAACGCGCGACCCCTGGACCTGGAATCCAACGCTCTACCCCTGAGCTAAGCCTTCAATGATAACAGATTATATGATAGTTTAATAATATACTCATTTGTTTTAGTGTTCTTCTGTAAGAATTTATACAATATAATATTCCTTGATTTAAATAATTGAATCTGGTAACCATGATTTAATTTATAACATAGTTTATGCATTAAGAGTATAAAGAATCCTGACTTAATAATTATTAGATCCCAATTTCATATCAATTATCAAACTTCGATATTAACAGGAATTCTCATTTAATTTATGAATCCATTTTCTGCGCTCCAATTCTTTAATTCTTTAATTCATCCAATAATCCCCTTCTTATCAAAGAATTCACCCAGCAATTCTCACTTAAATGAAGGGTTGCCAATATCAAATATTTCTGATTGCAATAATACATCCTTCAATAAATTCACAGCCAAATATATGCCCTGCTCCTACTCTAACATTATATTAAATAGTTTTTATGGGAATAAGCAACAATCAAATATATGATATCAAAAAACTGCAGAAAAGAATATTTTTAAAGACCTAAATGCAATATACAAAAATGAATAAATTGTTAGTTACTCATATATTAGGAAAATAAATCCATATAATTTGAATAAATGGATAATAAGCATAATCATCATAATATTATATTCACTTAAAATATTCCATTATGAAAAATCCATCTAATATATATAATCTGGTAAATGTCTCTTAATAAATTAAGTCTGGCTCAAGATGATCTTATTCATACAATGCATTAAAGTGTTAAGACAATTCCACTTATAAGTTGAAGATTTATTGCTAAGTAAAAAATCAATTCTCCGTTGTAATATCACTTGAGACCATAACACGATATTTAAAAAGGAGCAATTAATAATCTATCATTCAACATTTCTAAAATTGAAATAAAAATTATAATTTTCCCATTTATAGATAGGCTCGTTCAGCAATGTGGTATGAGTAGTCATTGATGATTAATTTAAATTTATTCAGAATTGCATTATTGGAACTTGAGATTATATCAATTAAATGATAAAAACATGTTTTATAAAATAGAAATCAATTAATTGATTTGTTACATAAAATAAAATACAAATTAAAATATGCTTTAATAATTATGAGTTTACGCATTATTTTAATTTTATTTAAAAATTTCGTCATTAAATTATATATGATGATATATTTAGAATAAACAATGACGATATTACGTATTATTTTATGAAATATCATAATACTCAATACTTGTAATCAGCCACGAATAATGACTCATTTGATGCTCCTCCTTGTCCTCCTTGGTATTTACCTAAAAATAGTAAAATGAATCTGCTACCTAATTAGGCTTCACTATTGGCCTTGGCTCTAGTTAAGAATGCTTGTTAGGCAGCTTCCCAATTCTCTTATTTTCCAGCCCAAGTCTTAACAGCTGTGTTTTGAAGAGCTCTTCCATAAGAAAATGTTAACGCCCATGGTTTTCTAACAGTTGTCAATTAATTCATGGCATTCAAGTTCAAAGATGCTTCTTCTTCTGATTATCCACCAGAAAGGAACTATTTATAGATTATAGATTCATACTGTAACTCCAACGAGTGCCCCTGGAACAGTTCTGCTTAAGGCTAGAGCTGTTCTATATCCAATTTCTTAGGGAGTGACCTTGCTTCTATCAGAGTTTGTTGATCCCGGAGTGACCATATTTGGTTTAAGAAGACATCCTTCTAAGAAAACATTGTTTTCATTCAGAGCTTTGAAGACAGCAGCCAAAACCTTTTCAGTGACCTTTTGGCACACATCAATAGAATGATCACCATCAGCAAGGATTTCTGGTTCTACAATTGGAACAAGTCCATTTTCTTAGCATATGGCAGCATATCTAGCTAATCCCCATGCATTTTCCTTGATGGCTTATTAGGATGGTAATCCATTGCCAATTTTCAAAACAGCTCTCCATTTGGCAAATCTGCAGCCAAGTTTGTAGTGTTCAGCTGCCATGTTAGCCAATGTATCCAAACCAAGAGTGGCTGATTCATCTTGAGTTCCTGGAATTACTCCCAAACCCTTATCCACTTTGATACCGGCGATTATTCCTTTTTCGTTCAATAACTCAACAAAGTTCTTGCCTTCCTTTGTGGCATGTTTGACCTAAAAATGTATCTATTTTTATATTACTGTCTCTGAGAAAAGAATGACTCCACTAATATAGTTTTCAATTCCTGGAGATGTGAATAACAATTCTCTGTAGGCTCTTCTGTGCTCTTCATTGTTCTCCACATTGATTGTAACAAACTTCTTTCCAATAGTTCCTTGGGACTAAGAATTAAATCAGAATATACTTCATCAGCTGCCAAAATTCCCTTTCCTGGAGTACAGATCTTTTATGCTGTTTCTGCCAATTCCTTTCTGAAGTCTGCTTTTTATTACATATGAAGATATTTACAAAGAATTAATTTATTAAAATTTTATGTTCATTAATACGTTATCAATATTCAAAATTTAGGCTTCTAGAATCTACTTAATTAAAATGATTTATATTTTTGAACTCCGGTGTTGAACATCTCTTCAAGAATCTCTCCCATTACTATGCAAAATTTAAATCCATCTATCATATATAATATTGTTAATACGTCCAGAACATGCACTCAAAATTATTGTATTCTTGGATCTGGGATCGAAATCTATTGTGAAATTATGATCTCTTGTGCTTGTATAAATACATGTCTCCACTCGAGACACTGCAGCATCTTTCAATTCTGGCATATACTTAACCAAGAACTATCTAATCTAATTCACTGTTCCTTGCTCACTCTTTGTTTGATCATATAAATCAGGATGTTCTAATGAAGGACCAAAATGATGCAATCCAATTTTTACTTCCCCATTCACTCTTGGAAACCCATACACTTCTTATGAGTTATTCTCACTCATGAATACTGGCAACCTATCAAAGTTCTTATTATCAGTCTTAAAGAAAACAACTTATTATTTGTAAATGGCAACATCCAATTAATATGAATTTTAAAGTCTCTTTATTCCCATTCCGAGTGATAAGATTAGCTTTTTAGACCTAAATACTCCTAAATCTGTGTAAACATGAATCTCATCATCCTTATATATGTGATTGATATAACGACAGTTATTAATAACCTTTCCTCCTTTTTAAATACCCTAATTTATAAAGATAGATATGACTAATTCTGGCCTTACAAAACCTGCTGATTTATCAAAGTAAAATTATTACTCTTAAGATGTCTTTATTGGAAATCTAGATTCCACTTCTTGATGTTTTAATTATTGAAGGTTTGGATTATTAAATTATGTGTAATCTCTAAATTGACTATCAGTAGGGTGTCCGAATAATATTCCCCCTGAGTTCACATAAATTTACTCACTCGTGGAGTCTTATAATTTCTACCACAATTCAAGCGATCTTCTAGCAATATCGACATATTCTCCAGAATAACCCATTTCCCTCACAATTCTAGTTTCACCATTGTGAGACCCTTTTGTATGAGGGGAAACATATTGCTCAATACCAAGTACCTTCATTTTGCCAGAAAAGTGGGAGAAACAATTACTACCATGAGAACCTAATCCTACAATAATTAGGTCAAATAATGTATCCATTTTATATTATATTTCAATTATAATACGAACATTGTGTAAAATCATATAAATCCATATAATTAATATCATTGAAAATCCTTATCTTAAATAATTTGAATCGTTCTCTTTCTTACGTGCATTCTACAATACCAATGGCTAATTTTTCTGTACAGTAATATCTTGCTTAATATTAACAGTAATTTAGAGAAACTTATAACCAACTCTATTAAATATTGATTTAATTTATATGTGAGAAGAATAATTACTAATTGTACTCTGGCTTATTTATTGATAATTAAATTAAACATATATTTATTGATATGAGAATAGGATCATAATATTACAGCAATTTTCAATGAACTCATTATAATTATAATATCCTAATCATAACTTTATTTAATTTCTTCAACCCTGAAACCTTTATATTTGGAATCAAGATTTTTTATTGTAATTAATAACATAATAGCTGATTAATTTCTTGATCAATATATTAATTTTGAGAATTAGCACCAATTCACTATTTATAGTCCTTTAAGATCTGTAGAATTGTATTGAATTGATGCAAAAATTTCAATTGTAGAGTAGAAATATTAGAATAAAGAATTACATTTTAATGAAGTTATAGATTTATTATAATTTCAATAAAAGAAAAAAATTGTAAAATTCTCATAGTCTTTCAGTCATTTCAATAGATCGTAATTGAGGAGTCATCGTCAAATTTGGAGTAACCATGTCTCCATACAAACGGCTGGCTTTATTTTCAAATATTAGGGAATCATTCTTCTTTGACTTTGCAACTTTAATCAAAGTAACTTCATCGAGTTCAGATCTACAAGCTGGGCAAATTCTATTTTTCTCTAACCAATTGTCGATACATTACACATGAAAGATATGAGTACAATAGGTTAGTCTTACATAATCAGATTCCTTAATTTTATCCAGACAAATTAAACACTCATCTGAAGATGCCAGTCCTGGATATTATGTAATCAAATTTTTATAGACTTATTTAGGTAGATATCTTTATATATCTGTTTTTGGATAAATGGTCATTATAGGAAGTACCTAGTGATCTTCTTTCCTTCTTCTTAATAAGTAGTAATAGCAAACAATACAACAACAAAAAGTGATAGATACTCCAACTGTTGTTATTACAATTATCAGTATAATCCTCGTATCTTGATCATTTGATTATTGAGAATTTTCACAATCTGTTTCAAAGTAAAAAATATAATAAGAAAATTGTTGAGGATTCTACTTTTCTGTATTTATTTTCGACAAACATTACTAGACATCATTAATCTTTATTTCTTTTTTTTCAACCAAATCTTACTATAATAAATACCAGTCTTCTGCATAACAAGTTTGTCGATATTTACCCACTTGGGTAAATTTGATATTAAGAGAACAAGACTATTGATTGCATTCTTTAATATTATAATAGTAAAATGTATTCTGACGGAATAGAGATTACAGAGTGATATCTAGAGCAACGATACTGCAATCGGCTCCAAAATATCCTTCCAAACAGTCGCACATTCCATTTTTACAAATTCCGCTGTTTTAACATTACCTAAATTAGTGATTGTATTTAATACGAGGCACATTCTAAAATATTCACTGTGCTTATTGTAATTGAAAAATTGGAAATTTATTTTGAATAGGTTCCCAAGACCTATGGAGACTCATTAAATTATTTCATAGATAATAGCTACTCTTAATACTTTTCCAAATTCAAACCAGAAACTAGCTGTATAACTTAAGTATTCCTTTTCAAATCAAAAGAATTAATATCGTATATACAATTCTCTTTTAATAAGGTGATTTCTGAATCACAGATCAAAAGTTAAGTAGAATCAAAAATTTCTTATTCAAATTTGACTATTATTTTGGAGTTTGGTTCTGAGGTTGCTTAGAGTGTTTTTAAAATATGAATCCCTGTATCTAAATTCAAAAAGGTTTAGGTTTATCCCAGACATTCAAGGAAGAGATGCAATAAAATAAACATAAATCAATTTTAATGAATAATTAAGTTGAAATCACGAGCAAGAATAAATGAATTAATTTTATTTATTTTAATAAAATATATTGATGCCATTCATAACTTGTTTATTCTATATTATAAAGAAAGTTGAGAAAGTTTCTGCAGTAATTTATCTACTCTTCTCTTTTTTTAAACTAATTTTTTTGGCAAAAATCCAATATTTTATATCTATTCTATGCGAAGATATAATAGCATTTTCTATTACATTTAGATACATCCATTAACAATCTATTGATTTCTCAATTAACTGTTAAATCTCTATCAAATTTTCAATAAGTAAGGCCATGATCATGTTGGTAATCTGAAATATGGATATTCTTGAAAATTATTTGAATTGTTATTTTCGATACGTTAAATTTAATGAGTTCAAATATATTTACTCGATGTATCTTTGAGCTACAAATATTTATACATTTCATATTCTATCCAATAGATTTCAGCGTTAAAATTTTGATGACCATATCAAACAATTTTAAATATGATCTATTTTACTATAGAAATGCAATATCCTCTCCCTTTAATTAAAGATTAATTTAAATAAAGAAAATGGGCTGCCAAATTAACAAACCACATGCTTATTTTGATGGTCATCTTTCTTAAACCTTATAAAGACCCTAGGCAAAGGCAGAATTCATTGAAGTAAAAGTAAGCGATCCAGGAGCACCCATAAACTCATTTTTGGTGGAATGTGATGACTATTATATTGATGATCCTATACTAAGCAGTTTTGATTAGAACAAAACCAAAAATGATTCTTCAAATTTTGAAGATAATAAGAAGACTCAAAGTTCAAATAATTTACTCATCAAACCTCTCAAAGGTATTTTAAAAACCCCAACCAAACCGTCTCGTTCTTCTTCGAGATATTTTAATGAGGAAGCTAAATTTGTGAAGTTTCAACATAACCATAATAACTTATCGTAACCAAAGCTGAAAGTTGTCGGAAAAAATAGAAAAACCAGAAAAATCAGAACTGCTACTCTAATCTGAAATATCTGTTTTTATATGTTATTATATATAATAATCTAATAAAAATGCATTTTTTTCTATCTAAGGATCGACCTCTAATTTTCGCTTAATTCATTTCAAAATATTAGAACTGTCATTAAATTTCCAAATGAACAGTTACATGTAAGCGTCATCAAATAACCTGTCAAAATAGCACGTAATCTATAATTATTCATTCAATTATTTTTAACTAAAAGTTATATATCGTCATATTAATTTATGATTGTCATTAAAATTATAATTATTTACATATTCATTTATAGTAAATTATATAATTAGTCATTTATTAAATATTAACAAATAGCAATTTACAACAAATAAATTTGGAAAACTGTCAAAAAGTATTAATTTAATATCGGAATCGCAGCCATTTATACAATATGAGTCGGTCTGAAAATAGATATAAAAGAATTATAATAATTTTAAAAAGTTATATATAAGTGTCATTGCAACAATGAATAGTTTCTTTTCCTATTCTACCCGGTTTTGTAGGTTCCCATTTTAATTTGAACCTTCTTCTTTACCTCTTCATCGATAGTTATTTGGACTGGTATTCTTTATCTCCCTTGTGAGGTTTGGACTCTGTTGATAACATCTCTTAAGGGTAAGATTTCTGGTTCGAAAGGTTATTAATAGTCGCAGTTTCCTAAATGATTCATAAACAATTAGTACCTGATTTAAAATCAGTCATACGCTTATATCTTGCTAGTCGATGATTGAATTTTTCAGCGGCAATCTTTAAGAAATCGTTTAGATCTATCAATCTTTTGTAGTCATCGATTTTAATAATTTGGGCAGTTTAAGATTTACAAAGAATCTAGAACTGTTAAATCAAGCCACTCGTACATTCGTAATCATTGATTATTTCACCTTTGCTAACTTGTCCAACGTCAATATAGCTCTTATTCCATTTCTTCCTTATTAGAAATTCGCTTCTTTATAATAAATACAATACCCATCATAAATAACAAGCAGTGACTTGGAATACTCCTATTCATTCAAACAACTTTAGCCTAATTTATAATCTTCGATGAGATAGTTAAGTTTCACATTTTTTGCATCCTTAAAGCAGGGTAGGCTGTGTAGAAAATCAAGGATTTTTTTTTGATAGTTGACTTTGGCTTTGCTGAGCATTTCATACTATTATTCATCAATAATTCTAAATGCACAATCACTCAGACATTTGATGGTGTTTTGTACAAGGCCTATTGGAATATAGGATGTATTTTAGGATATTGATCCATTTTGGAGAACCATGAAGAACTTGTTCTCATCTCCATTCTTAAATATGACTTGGTCCTTAGTATACAACTAAACCTTGGAAATGAAATCATAGGATTGCACAATTTGAGGATCTACAAAAATATTTTTGAGTCTAATTTCATATTCGTTAAGCATTTCTAATTATTATTGTTAAAACTTATTAATAATAAATAATCACAGTCAATTATATTATGTATAAGTATTCTGGGAGTTATAAATAGTTTGTGCTGTGCGTTCTTCTACTAGATTATACCTATAGATTTTTAATTTCTCTGTTATTTATATTTATATATATAAATGAAAGCATATGAATTCGAGGTTGATAATAAAAGAAATATTCAAAGGGAAGAGCTATTTATTTTGACAATTGTTGAAAGAGTATTAGCAGGACACTTGCAATCGATATCCTTTGTGGATTAGGCTTAATTTTGTGAACTATTGACAAAAAGGCAAAAGGAGAAAAAGGCGATTCAACCACTGCATATATAGATTTTAGGAACAGTGAAACGGAATCTGATTAAAAATCAAACACCTCTACTTGAAAAAAAAGTACCTTATGAAATACGGACGGTTACTTCATCATCAATAGAAATGAGGAAGAATCATATTCATACTTTTAGCAATAGAAACCTTAATAACAAAGAATAACAGACTACAGAATAAGATGCCTAAATGCCTGGACAACTATAACCTTAATCAAATAGAAATAGTAACTTGAAAACTGATAAAACCTCCAATAGTGTTAAGTATCACACCAATAGGAGTAAACAGCAGAGTGATTCATCTGCTCGTTGCATAAATCCCTTCTAATTGAATAGTCCCAATAGTACACAAGCAGAAAATATTCTGAAAGACTTTCCATCTCTAAAATAGTCTACAATTAATGAGATAGGGCCTATTCCTAAGAATGAGAAGGCCATAATCAATATTGTAAGTCAGGATGGAGAAATAGAATAACAAGAAGACTTTATCATAAAAAATAACAAAAATAGTATTGAAGAACTGAGGAGAGTTGATAATAAAAATGATCTGGAAGCTTAGTAATTAGAATCATAAACAAACCAAAACCATTAGCAACTACTAAGAGTTGATAAGTAGGATTCCAATGTGCAATAATCAAAATAATAGTAAAGTCACTCCAGAAAATAATCGTAGAACTTACCCATGGGAAGTGATTCTAGCAAAATGGATTTGAAAGAGAAACTATAAAAATACTATAGCAATGAAGAGGAATTCAGTTCTCAAAGAAAACCTATGACCTAAAGTGATAGATTAAAAAATGCCAGTTATGGTACTGATCTAAATACAAAGGATATCAAAGTAGATAACAAATCCTAAATAATTTAAAGCGCCAAGTACTTAGAAAATGATAAGAAATCAGATAAGATATAATCAAAATAATAATTAGTCAAATTTTCATTCATTCCAGGAGGAACTTAAGAAATTGTATAGCATACAGAAAACTCTATTAAAGAAAAAATTAGTCCTAAGAAGAGCTTTGAAGAAGTGCATCAAACTGGAAATTTCCTTTCTCCTCCATAGTCTGTCAGATCGCTTATTTCTGCTAAGTCTACAAAAACAAAACTTAAAACTTTATAATCAAATGATTTAAAAGTATATGATCAATAAAACCAACTGGAACAACAATTTGAGAATTCACTCTCAAAAGAAGAGTCGCAAATCTCATTGTTAGAGCAATCATTGCATGTCCATCATGAATAAAATCACCTTCTACATTCAAATACATTACGACCAGCAACTACTCATATTGGAAGCAATAAACAATAAGATTACCCATTGTTTTAAACTCATGACAACTTGGATTTAATGAAAAAATCTGCTTAGAAATTACTGTAATAGTAAAGCAGTATCACTTCCATCATGCATGACGAAGAGAACTTTTAAAGTAATTAAACTTTAACTTAGTAAATTAATATTTAAGTTAATCAATGCGAACCAACTCAACCAACGAATAATATCATTATTGAAGAATCTATTGAAGGTTCTCCTAACTGCAAGATTCAGAATTATCAACCTTCTGCTGCATCTTTCTCTCTCCTAAAATTGGAGGATCAACATTAATTGCCAACTTAAACTATTATACAATAAAAGTAACCATTATCTCCAAGGAATGGATAAATCCCTTCCAACACATATATTCCCACATCCAACATGATACCAGGGGCTTAATCATAATCTAAAATGCTCATCCCCATCAATAATACGCAAAGCAGTATCAAAAATAATAGAGCAACCAATAAATCTAGATCTTAAATCAAAGATTAAATATAACAATAATAATAACAATAACAATAAAGATCTGAAGATAGTTAACCTGAAAGTAAATTGACCATAGAGTCTTCCCAAGGAGATAAATCAAATAGATCTAGAATTGTGAAAAATGCAAAGTAATTAAAATTACCAGCTGCTGCAGTTGCCTTAAATTTTGCAAGGAGAAAATCATCGAATCAGATTTCACCAATGGATGTAAATTGATTTAATTATTTTAAGCCCAAGAAGCTGGAACAATAAGAAAAAGAGAAATAAAGATAAATTGAATACTAAAAGCAAATTGAAAAAATGAAATATGAAAGGGAATTAATGGAATAATTCAAAATTCCAGATGATATGCCCTTATTATAAAAAAGAGCAATCATTGAATCATTAATGAAGGAATTAGAGACCAATCCTGATTAAGATGCTAAATATTAAATAATGTTATGTAATATGTCATGATATTTATTAGATAAGTAAAGATAAGAGCAAATTTAAAATGCCTCTAAAATTGAGTTAGTTTTTAATAACAATCTTACAAATTGTTATGAGGAATTATCTCATATTTCTGAAGTGAAATTAAAATTATTAGGAAAAGATACAGATCCACAAAAAATCTAATTTTTAAAATTTGAAGATCAAGTTTAAACTAACTTTCATGGATAATCGAAATCTTTTACCTAAGAGCTTGGATCACCAATCAAAAAGAATTCTAAATTTTTTAGTAAATTGGATCCTGTTGAAATAGAGAATTAAATGAACAGAATGAAAGAATTTAGATAAGAAACTGAAATTTTAAAATTATTTTCTTCTTTCAATAATCAATATGAAAAAGAAGTATTATACATTCATAAATTAAAAAGGTGAATTAATGTGATTTAGATTATCCTACCGAAAAAGATAGATACGGTTCAATGGATTTTCAAAGAGGATTCTTGCCAAAAGCAATTCATAGACGCAAAAAGGCTAAAACTAAAAGCACAAAAATAGTTATTAATACTTATAGAATGGACCCAAAAAAAATAGACTAAGTCATAGCCTAAACAGAAAAAATAAAGCAAGTTGGATAATTTTTATTGTGATTATATGATTTCTCTAAATATTAGATTCTATCAATATCAGTATTATTATGTTAAAAATCAATTAGTTGTAATAGAATAATGCATAATATTGTTGAATAATCTAAGTAAGTTCTACTTTTATTAATAAAATTTTATTCTAAAAGATTAGATTGAAACAGTTTCAAAATTAACGTTAAGAAACAATCACTACTTGCAATGAGTTCAATTTGCTCATATCCACACTGATGTCTATATTAATCGATCCTAATTATGTCATTAATATTCAACATTTTACAATTAAGATATAAATCTTATAATTTATTTTTACAGTTTGGATTAATTTTCTATTCTCTCGATGGTTATTCCATGTGAATAACGTAGGAGAATATATTGAAAAATCTAGAACTCCCTTCCCGAGCTTATAGAAAGGAAATCAAACCATTTTTAATCAATGACTTAATAAAATAAGATTATAATGACTATAAGATCTCAAAAGATTAAAAATAATATTTTCAATTTGTTAAAGATAGGTTAATTTTTATATTTTTGATTGGATCCAAAAAGTTTTTGAGCCCATTCAAAGTAAAAAAATTAATTTCTGTGAAAGTTATAAATTGAGAATGATATTTCCAATTAGTGTTCTAAAATTTCAATTTGATTTTTATCATATAATATTAATGAGAAATTCACCATTATATAGACTATCAGAGTAGCGATAATAAGGGAAGAATTCTTCGAATCTTTCTGATTTGACAGTTTAAGAATCGAGCAATTATCGTTTAAGATTCACACCTCTAGGGTCACCGTCGGCTAGACACAAAGGAACAATTGTGATGAAAAGTCATGAAACAATTATACTGAATATGTTGTCATCGACTCAGAGACAAATAGATCAGCCATTTAAGGCTTGTTAAGAATGCACTCAGGATTCTGGTATGGTTCACCAATATTGTCAGTGCAAGGGAATCACATATCACGAAAAGTGCATTCAGGATACAGCCAGAAGGAATGCCAAGAAATAGAAGGAATAGGCATTTATTTGCAAAAATGAATGTTCCTATCCATTCCAAATCAATGGATACTACATGTATGAAATGGTGTAGAATTAGGAGAGACATTAATACAATTGGGAAGTGGCTCATTCTTTCAATAGTGACCGCCTTTCTCGTGTTACTGATTTTGGTGATTGGTATTGTCCTGTTTCGAGATGCATTCAACAGTATTGATATCATTTTAATTGTGATTGCAATGATCGCACTTTTAATTCTGATTACTGTTTTGCTGAATAAACTCAAGCTCAATTATTATATATTGTACTGGAATCTTAAACCTTCTCCCATTAATTAAGGCCAAGTGCAAACTCATAGTAAAATTGAACTGTAGGATCTCTTGCCTTTTGTTTTGTCTGACAGAGACTCAATTATTTATTCACCATAACCGAAAGAAGAAGATTAAATAATTGAATAATGATTAAAGGAAATTCTTCAGGCAACATATGATCAAGTATTTATTATATATTTTTGTCATTATTAATGAAGTTAAGAGTTTTTAATTAAAAACTTAAAAATTTGAAATTCCCTTTGAATTAGTTCTAATTGCAGTTGCTACACTATGATTGGTGATATTTGTGTAAGAACAATCTAAGGTGTATAATTTATCATGATAATAAGTATAAGTATTACAAAATTATAATATTTAATTTTATTCCAAGTTGTTTTTTCTGTCCCTTCAGAGATGATCAAAGAGATAACAATGTATAACTATATTGAATAATACTAATAATTTATTTATTAAATACATAAATGGATGTAATAAATCAAACAAAAATATTGAACAATGAAAATGAAAGGTAGATCTCATCAAGGAGTGGGTATTAATTATCAAGTATAATCAAGACATATGAACATGTCTCCTCCTTTTTTAGAAGCCGTTCGCTCAAAACCACTTATCAAAATTGAAAGGAAAGAGAGATCACCAATTGTCTAAGATATAAATGATCTTGATTTCGGATACATGGAAGAGCTTGAAAAAAGAAAAATGTTCATGATGATACGTTTGGGACACATAAAAGACTCATCTAGATTAACTCCTGTACACAATTATAATAAAATCCCTGTTCTACCATTGAAAAAATAACGAAAAACCATAACACCTTCTCCAAAATAAACTTAAAATAAAACTCAATTGATAACAGGAATTCCTTTGCCTACGTTCAGTATGAAGATCGTTGAAGATCCATACTAAATATAAGGGCAACATAAACCAAATACGCAGAAACTTGTCCAAAAACAAAAGAGATTGAATATCATTAATAAAAGAATACTAGATAAATTCCGTGAATATTGAATTATATTTAATGAAATCTTGATCTCAACTTCTCTGTCATCAATTATTGAAAACAATTTACATATAATAATACGATTAATATATAATATTACTAAAATTATACTCCTAAGTGTTCAAACCGAATCGACATTAGAAACATTACTGATTTTATTCCCCTTTTTCATTGTTAAAATGAAATGTAATATTTTCTAAATTTTGAAATAGAAGTAATAATTCAGAACTCTTATTGATAAAAATTAAGAAACTAATTATTTCATACCATCAAATTATAAACTCAAAATAATAGCTATAATTTTGAGACTAATTAATGACTAATTTATACTGTTAAGAGTCTCTGGTAGATATTTTTGAAGTGATTAATTTAATAAAAATATATAATGTCAGGCATCTAAGGAAGTATTTACACTCATGATATGTCATGGGGGTCACTGCGAAGTGAAAAGTCATCATTAATTAATTCCTTTATTCTTTCTTTTTAATTTAACATATTATATAATTAAATAAATATGGGATTGTCTTGAAGTGATTTTTTAATCGCATATTTTTGGGGATTTTCATTAGATTTAAATCTCTAAAAACAATGTACTCTTTTTCAATTTTATTATGTCATATTTGTGGATTATCTACAATAAAGTAAAAAATAATTTGGAATTATCTAAAACATAATCACATCATATTTTAGTTGAAATTTGTAAGTGCTAAGGTCAATTGATTTCACAGCATATAGAGAAGACAAAGAACCATTCAACTTAAAGGAAGTTCTCTTAAAATAAAATTTATTATTTTTTAATAATTTTCTTAAAATGAGGTACTGATTAATTTAGCAAGTATTTACATTTAATTACAAATAATATATTTAAGGGTCTGAAAAATGTTTATTTGAAATTTGATAATAACAATATAATTGATTGATGTGCACTTATTGTTTCAATGAACATTCAAATTTGATCTTGGGGGTTATTATGGCTAAGCTTATTATTAGGGAGCCTATTGATATTAAGGATATGATGGATATTATGGGTATGATGGAATAACTCTTGATGAGACGATTGGGGCAGCATATTATGGTGCATATGTCACTGGGACAGTTTAGACTGGTTGAACAACACTGAGAGGTTATTAAACAACTTATTGAACAACTGGTTGAGGAACGACTTATTGAACGACTGGTTGTTGGACTACTTATTGAACAACTGGTTGTTAGACTACTTATTGAACAACTGGTTGTTAAACAACTTATTGCTAAAGTATTATGTAAATTTTATACATGAACAACTTATCTTTCAACTGGGTAGTATTCAACTCTTTCTTAATATCTGTCAACTGGTACGTACTCTAAATAATTAGTTATAGTTAATACCTGTGTATTTTTCTTAGAAGACTTATGGGACATATTCGGTCTAATATTCAACTGCATAATAATCTGTGACTTTCTTTTCTCTTGGAACATATTAAACGACTTCTTATTCTTCGTATTCCATAACAGCCTTTTAATAAGGAATATATTCGATTCTTGATTCTCCTTTAATTGTTGCCTTAAAATCTAGATTTGAATATACTTACATGGACTGGTTATTAAACGACTGGTTGAGCAATAACTGATTATTACAAAACAGGGGCTTGAACAACTGGTTAAGCAACAACTGGTTAAGCAACAACTGGTTGAGCAACAACTGGAGCAACAGGTCTGGCAACACTGTATGTTAGTGGTGCGATAGGAGCAGGAGCATATTGCTATGGAAGATATGTTGGTAAAGGAGCATATTATGGGGCTAATGTTGGAGCATATTATGGAGCATATTAAGGAGCATATTATGGAGCAGATGGGTATTATTATGGTTGAGGAGCTTAATCTAAGAATATAGATGTTAATATTACTTTATGGGACAGGTGGTCTTTGGGACATTGAAGATAAAAGATTTTTGTTAATTTTATTTATATATCCTTAACATAAATTTTATTGCTTAAATATCATTAATAAATAATTGCATAATTGTATTTACAAACTATTTCGAATAAATAATATTCGAAAAAATTAAATTAAATCAATAAGAATTCCAAACAATACTTAATCACCCAGAATGTAAGAGCTTTGATATCTTTGCATATTTAATAACAACAAAAGAACTACTCAAGTGATTAAGATTGGATATGTGTGTAAAATATAGATAGAAATTTTTATTAAATAATTGAAAAATTAAAAACTAATGAAATACATCTTATATACAATATTTTAGACCCAAATTTTTGGTAAAATTTTAATAATATTATTTTAGATATTTAATTTGAAATCTTCAAACAAGAAATAATTAAAATTTAATTGCAAATTCTTTAATTAAATTCTTATCTTATTGTTGATTCTTAAAAGATTTTAAGTTGTAAATCTTTTTTTAAAGCGTACTTAAATTGTTAGTGTGTAATTATACTATTATATTTAATTTCATAATATAATTCAAATAAATTTTATTTAGATATATATATAGTTTTTGTTAAAGTTCTTAATCTACTGTTATCTTTCTAATTGCATATGTAAAATAATTGATGTTTAAGTAGTAAATAAAAAGATTAGGCTATTATATTGTAGATTGTATAATAATTGATCATAAATATATTGATTGGAATTATCATGAATTTATTACAAATGTTGATATCATTATGTAAATTGTCTTTACAATCAAAAATATTTGTCATAGTAGTTTAGTTGATATTTAGTAATTTCTGGGGTTTAATGGTGTTTTAAAAATAACATTAAGGATGAACAGAATTATTGATTATGTTTGGTTTAATGTTGAAATTTGATAATTTAATAAGAAGTTATAAAATAAAAATTACAAGTATCTGAATGGATTAAGACAGAACATTTTAGCATAGTAAATCATTCAAAAGAAGATTATGCAGACTCAAAGCAAATAAAAAGCCTGAATCTTTTTTTGTCAATTTTAAGATAAGTTCTAGGTCATGATAACTATAGATTGGCAATCAATTCTTATAGTTAGCCACCCTCACCTATGTTTGTGTTTGTAAACCATTATTAATATGAAATTATCATATAATTTTTCTTTCTAAATATTTATCAAAATTCTAGAGTATATGGAGATTTTCATTTATGATCTGCTTAACAAATCCCATCAAGATGTCATATCTAATAAATACTTGTTTACGATGTGGATTGGGCAAGTAAGATCTCCTAGCTTGAGTTGTTTTTCGAAGTGTTATTCTAAAGGGTTTATACCCATCAGAGATCTCCGATTCATCTTAAAAAAGGGACTTTTTTTTTCTAAATGAATTCTCCTGTTTGGAAGGCTCTTCAAAATTCTAATTGGTATTGTTTAGCACTTTCTCTTTAGCAACTCGGGTAAATACTTGAATTTAATCAGTTTCAATGAATCCAACATCTGGTTCCAAGTAACGTTCATTGCCAATTCCTCCAAAGACTGCAATCTTAGAACTAAGCATTACAGAGGAATGAGCACACCTTGGAATCCTTTGTCCCTCTGCAATGACTTCTTGCCAAAGATTCAGATGAGGGTAGAAGATGTAATATTGATCGGATTCCAAGGTACCATTCTAAATAAAGTCTCTAAGCCCTCCAATGACTGCTATACCCTAGACCTTCCTTAGATACTCTATAGTATGATTGTGCATGGGAGGAGGAGCCTTGCCTGTACATTCGACCAAATCCCAAGAAAGTGGAATGTTGGTGAATGAGCAGTAAGTCAACTTTCTTATTGTGTTGACAGAATTACCTTCAGCATCCTTACCTCCAAAAGAGAATATAAGTTCTTAAGGCATTAAATCATTTGGAATCATGTCCTAGAATTTCCCTTAAGATGAAATGTTAACTATGGCATGACAACATATTGGAGGTGATTTGGCTTTGTAGTTTTTCCAATATTGTTTTTCGATATTCAATATACAAGTGTCAGATAATACTTCCTCATTTGAATTAATGCCACCGTGGATCAACATCCATTTGGATCCTATCAAACAAGCTCTGTGTTATCTTCTTGGTTCCACATAATCCCCTTGAGGATGCAATTTCTCCCAAGATTAATTACTCACTGTAAACTCAAAGACCTAATTTGAGCATTCTCTGATCTTCAATTTTGGATTGAATTATCCACAGCCTCCAAAGTATATAAATTTATTCTTGTATTACACAACAGATAAGCCTGCTCTTCCTTATTTCAAATGTTCTCCATTTCCATGTACAACTTACCAAATTTGGAATTCTAAAATAAAGATTCAGATACTTATGTCATATTTGAGCATTTGGTTTCTGACTCCGTCTCCTCCTATCCCTCCGTATAAATATAGTTAATCATTGAACAAGGTGAATGCAGCCTATTCTGTAAAGGAGGGCTTAAAAGTCTTGATGTCACGTATGAGTCGTTAAGATTCGAAATAGAAACTCAATTGGGCAGGACCATCAACACTATTCTCTAATGGTGTGTCTAATTAAGGCAACTGGAAAACTATTTAAATTGACTCATTCTATACCCTTCTATTACGGTTTTAATTCCACTGCTTTCTTATGATTTTGATCTCTTCTCTTTAACTTCTAATAATTCCTGTTTCGACTTTTTTGAGTCAGAGTTAGTGCTTCAAACATGGCTATTTCAAGTCTTTCCCGACTTTGGTTAATGATGGTTTCCCTTTGTTTTTTGTTATGAGAAAGTGAAGCCTACAACCGTTCCTTTGGGGAAGGAATCCTTGCCACTTAATGAGTAATCGCAGCTCTTTTTTTAGATAGCTAATTTACTTCTATTGCATTTCAGAGAAAGTCTTGAAAAAAGTACTTTAATTGAGAGAAACACTCTTTTCAAAATGTATTAGCTCAATATTTACAGTACCCATTGACTGTGATCGCCTTATTTATTATAATTGAGGCTAAATTTTCAATTTTTACATTGAGTGAAATAATTTTTATTGTTAATTAATGTTCAGCAACTCACCAATCATTCAAAAATCTTATTAAAGCAGCTCTTTTTCCTACTAACAATAAATGGATGATATGAGTTGCATCATAGATAACGGAGTATGTGGATCAATTTACTTGGGAAATATTGAATCTGCTTGTATGGTTTAGATAGATGCATAATTTTAGCTAGTTTGGAGAACCTGAGGAGACACAGAATCAATGGTGTATTATCGATTTGCATGAATAAGATACCATTTGATGTATAGACACAACTCCAAAATTATCAGCATATATACTTGGAGGATTGCGAATCTGAAAATATTAGTAGACATTTTGACAATAGCAATCAATTCATTGAAAAAGCCAGATAGAGTGGAAATGTGTTGATTCATTGCATGGCTGGTATTTCTAGATCAGCCACTCTTGTTGCAGCTTACTTAATGTAAAAAAGTAAAATGAGCGCCTAAGATGCCTTAAGATTGCTAGAAAGAAAAAGATGGTAAGTCTATCCTAATGATGGATTCTTAAGACAATTGCAACAATACGAACGAGCATTGCAATAATAAGTAAATAAGAGTGACAAAACAGAGGTATCGCCCTATAAAGAATCTTTGTTAAGAAAGTAAAATCTTCATTGAATATTAGCAAGCAATTCTAAACACCAACCAAAGAAATCTCATTCATGAATAAATATGAAGAAAAATAATAATATTCTGGAGTTAAAACAAGACCTCTGACAGATATTAATTATGAGAATTACAAAAGGAAATCTATTGAACCCTAAATCTATTGTCGTCCAGAATCATCCATTCAGTTTTCACTCACCAATCACAGACCTAATCAAGTTATTAATACTTCTCCTGATTTGATTAGAAAGAAGAACTACTTATAGGATGCAAGTATGTATCTTCAACTCTATATTCTAGTTCATGGAAACAAAAAGGATGGGTTGGCTTCTCTGGCATTAGAATTGAATTCCATGGATTGGTAAAACAGAAAATAAGACTTTGAAAATAAGTTTGCAAAATAACAGATTCAAACTACCAGCAAGACTTTTATATCTTAGAATAAACCATTCTAAGTCAATTAACAATAAAGTAAACTTGATGAATTATTAAATGCCTTTAATAGAAAACCAATACTTTGAGTATTATGATTTTAGTATTTTATCATTGTTCATAATGTTCTGATTAATGTTTTATAATTCTATTTAAAAGTACAATTTTGCTAAATTTATCAGCCTCACACAATCTAAATTAAGCATCCTTCTATTATTGAATAATCCTTTCCAACCTCCTACTCTGAATCATTTGAACAGTCTTGTTTTGGTCCTTCAAATCGTCCCCCCTTGTTATTTCATGTTATGAATGGACTGAGAAGATCTTCTGGAATTGAGGTTTCATCTTCACTTCGTTATCCTCCCGTATTTACTGCAATGCTTGAGCAGCTGTGGGTCTGAACTCAGGTGCTTTATTAAGCAACTTAAAAATGAGAGTCTACAATCTCTTCGAGTATTTGCAATTGATTGGCTTTGGAGATTTGTTTACTATGTTGTATCCCAAAGATATTAGATTGCTTCCTCCAAACGGAGCATCTCCCTGGCAAATAAAATAAAGAACACAACCCAATGCCCAAATATCGATCTTGCTATCATAGGGCCGATTTCGAATTAGTTCAGGTGCCAAATAAAGAGGAGTTCCAACTTTTGTTGTTTAAAGCTATTGAGTAGAAATCAAACTTTTAGACACTCCCAAATCACTAATCTTTAAGACATTGCTTTTGATTAAAATATTATTGGGCTTGATATCTCTGTGCATTATTTTCTATGAGTGCAAGTACTCCAATCCTTCTAACAATTGCATGGTCCACTACCAAACTTAGTTCTCAGCTGGAGATGGATTCCTACTTATGTAGTTGAACAGGTCGTTTTCACAATATTCCATAAAGATATTCAGCTTATCTTTCCTCAATTGAGAATTATAGTATGACACTATATTTGGGTGATTTAATGTATGCATAATTTGAGCTTCCCTATAAGCTTCGTTCTACTATTTAAGAGAAAGATTCTTAAGCGAGATTTCTTTTAACACCTATATCTGAGATGCTATTTTCACCTTATAAATCACTCCGTAACTACCTTTTCCTATTTAATCAATGATTTCGTAATCCATTTTATATATATTTAAATTAAACTCTTTATAAAACTTAATTTATCTACAGACATAAGTGTGCTCATTTATTTTAAGTCTGAACAGCACCTATATATAAATGAAGTGATGGATTTTCAAATATACAAATATATTACAACTTCTACACATTATTAATTAACTAAAAATAAAGTTTGATGAAATTTCTGAAGATTAAAGAATGTAAGTTAATCAAAGTAGAAATTCAGAATCAATAATTCTATTGCAATACTTTGATCCGAATTCTGTTAAAATTTGAGATGAATTATGATTAATTATAAATAATATCGTTTTATTACCATAACTAAATAACTGTAGAGACATAGTGATGGAATGATGAACAAATATGATTCAAAAAATATCAGGGTATGGACCTCTTTAATTGTCAAACTAAATTCCAAAAGTATTATGCATTAATTGTCTGATATTAATAGCTTATTTGCTTATGATATTTGAACATATCGAAAAATAATAGATATTATTTTCTGATTAAATTATTTTTATGATCAAGTATAATTGTGAATTAACAGAAATTGCAATTTTAAATTCCATATATTGTATGCTATGGAATTTAAAGAATTATCAAGTAGTTTTTGCAACATTAAATAATAATCTATCAAATGGATATTTCATCAATTGTGATCAAATCCTGGATCTTCACTGAAGTAGATATTTTGTGCATTTGATGTAATTTAAGCACGCTTGTGGAGGGGATGGAGAGGTTGGAGAGTTTTAGAAGAAACATTTATAAAATTGACTTGTTAAATTTGAAAAAAATTCATAGAATGTAGGGAAAAACTCATTCAATGAATTAAAATTAATGTGTATATTAATAATTAAAAAATGGATCGTTTAATCATCTTACTAGCTATTCTTTTGATGCTAGGAAACAACTATGCCTTTGATATTCCTCAAGCTCTTGAGGTTCCAATAGAAGAGGAGTTCCAATTGACTTAAACTTAGTTCAATTTGCTATACAGCGTGTTTGCAATTCCAAACATAGGTTTGAGTATTGGAGGAGGCATAATGATAGACAATATGGGGGGCCGTTGGGGAGTAAGAACATATTGTATAGTTTAGGTGTTTACATTTAGTCTTTTATTGGGCCTATCATAATTGTTTATATTTTTTGGAGGATGCTATCATAATTACTGTATGATGCTTTGTGGTAGAGCTATATTTGGTATTGCAAGCGATATTTTACACATTGCTGTGTTTAAAATGGTAGCCTAGCGAATGCCCAAAGATATGGGTACTGCAATGGGATTGATACTCACAGTCCCAGAATTGGCAGCTGCTCTTAATTCGTTTTTATCACCTTATTTATTTGAGAAGACTAATTCACTGAAAATACCATTGTTGTTTGGATTGTTCTTATGTTTTTTGGTACAATTAAGATTAATTTGAATAGTCCTTCTTATCGGGGTTAATGATGATTTACGTAGATATGAAATATGAGAAAGTAGAGACTATGAAATAAACCGAGCAGATCTCAGTGTTTAATTGTATTGATAGTAATCTGATAATTTAGTTAAACTTACGAAACCCTTTGTAATCATGAGCATAATAACTACTTTGATGTTGGCATCATATGTGCCATTCCTTGACAATGCTAATAAGTTTTACCATGAACGCTTTGGATTTAGTATAATGGATGCAGGTCAAATAGTTACTGTGGGATATGTGGTAGCAGGTAGAGTATAATTTGTGATTGACTTTTATAGCAATTACATCTCCGATTGTGGGAAGGATTTCAGACAAGTTTACAAATTATAGGCCCTTTTTTATTGTAGTGTCAACAATCATGTTTTTTATATCCCATTTGCAATTTTATTATATGCCTTTGACGACATCTCCCAATTATTATTCAGTCTTTGCGTAAATGTTAATAAAATAGTAGTTTGATTACATTGGGATTGTCATATTCATGTTTTTCAAGTGTTTTAATGCCTGCTCTACAATCTACAGTTCCTGAAGATATGCTCGGTACTTTATGAATACGATTGAAATTAGCAACTGCTTTGGGTTTGTTGGGGATAATAGAGAATTTCTGTATGGCTGTAGTTCCAATGATTTCTGGTTTTGTATATGCAATTGGTGGTGGCATAGATCCAATGAAAAATGTGGATATCATATATTTGTTCTTGGCAGGAATAGGAGTGGTTCTTTCAATTCATTTATTGATGGAGAACATTCTGAAACCAGCCAAGGCACATTCAAAATTGCCCAATGCTCTGGATATTTGAAAAAAAAATAAAATTAAAAAATGATGATTTTAATTTATTGGTACTTTTTTTTCTAAATTTTGAATATTTCTCTTTTTTTCTTTTTTTAAGCATTTATTGTCACCATTAATTCATATATAATCATTGTTATTTCTTCTGATACTTCTTGGCTTTCTCCTCTTCTTTTTTTCTTTCTTCCTCATCTCTCTTTTTCTATTTCTCTCTTCTCACACGTTCCTTGTAAGTGTATTCCTCATTATTTTTCCTCTGCCAATCTTCAGAATGCCAAACAGGTTTGGTATAAAATGATTTCGGTTTATATGGTTTGGCTGGTTTGACCTTGACAATCTTGCCAAACAACTCTCCTTCATCGTAATTATCAATGGCAGCCTCAGCATCCTCAATATCCTCATATTCTATAAATGCAAATCCCCTATTCTTTACTTCAATATTCATAATTTATACAGGTTTCACTATCTATAGGCAAATCTACAGATTTAATTTCTCCAAATGTGATAAACAAATGTTTGATTTATTCCACAGTCACATCTTCAGGAATTCCCCCCAGATAGACAGTATTGGCTAATTCTTCTGACATTATTTTAAATATATGATTATTAATGATTAATTCACTCTCAAAAAAGATAAATATATAAAGTGAAATCACAAACAACTCCTTACTCTAGCTATTGATTTTAAAAACACATCTTCATCATTTATGTAATCAAGTTCATTTAGACTGGTTACTAAGTTGAAATGCTTCTCGAATGCGATTAGGTCTTCCTGATTCAATTCAGATGCTACATTAGATCATTCGATAATACTGATCTTTTGCAATAATTCCTTAATTATTTCGATGCAACATTCTCTAGTCTTTATTGATTTATCCTTATGACATTGTTCAAGCACCTCGATTATTTAGAGAATTAAAACTTAATTCATTATTTTAATTAGTTATAATACTCAGAATCTAAATCAAATGGATGTAATAGGTTTGATTTTGCAATAGATTTTTGTTATATATTTACTTAATTATATTAAAAATGGAAAACAATAATGATATTCCATCTATCCTAAAATCTAATTTGCATTCCAATCGAAGATCTCTCAAAATTTCAGTAGTACATCCAACTGATGAATCCCTTACTAACGTATAAGATGAGGAAAGATTTTTGTACGAGAAACGCTAATGGGAAATCAGCACTCAATAAGTTTCCTTAGACAGCATCTAAAAAGAATAAATGGAAAAGTATAAAGGGGAATGGAACTGGGGTGTCTTTGTTGAGTTTTTCTTATACCATTAGGTAAGCTTTTGATTTTGGAATTTAGATTTTCTTCACAATATTGGGACCATTTATGGTTATATTGTTTAGTTTATGGCCAGGTTTGACACTGATGAAGAACATGAAATTTTACGGACACTCCATGGCCTTTTATTTGCAAACTCTCTTATGGTTCGGATCAGTAGTAGGAGGCCTAGGTTATTTTTTATGGGATGAAAGTTTAATAACACTAACAGAAATATTATTCCTTTGGTATGCTTTAACAATTCGAAGTGTAGTAATAGCAGCTAAATATGCCACTTTTAGCAGGAGCGTAATAAACCTGTACAAGAGTACCGTACTGCCTGACGAAGTGTTTTAATTTGATTTGATGATGGGAGAATGGAGAGAGTAATCTCCCAAGATTCTATTTTTGGAGCCTTATCGTTCACTTTAACGTTACCAATTCGAGATATCTCTATTCAAGATGGATTTTATAGTGTAGCCTCATTAAGAAACAAAAGTAGCCATTGCCAAAGTGGATATCAATTTTTTCAGGGACACAGGAATATCTTTGGATGATGATGAATACTCTGGCTTTAAATTATTTGGCTACTTAGTAAATCATTATCAATCGAAAAACTCAGCCAATGCCCACATGTACATATGTGTACTGGAGGCATTTATCCTTTCGACTACTCCAATGTGGTTGCGAATAGGAGATTTGATTGATTCAGTCTAAGCCTTAGATATGTTCCGAATGGGTATAGATACATTAAATATATTAAAGTGTTGAACATAGTCTCATCATTTATAGGATTTTGGGGTAGCAACATCTTCTTTCATTAGGCATTCTACGATTTCAACCGGAAGTTCTTTTTACTCGAATAGTTGTTACTGATAATAAAGGTAAGGCCAGATCAAATCGAATAGCTTAAATTACTACCAACTCTTAACTTCAATAACATTACTACATGGCAAGCCTGGTCGATGATGAGAGCAATTTCATTTGATTATGGTCAAACATACAATCTCAGAACATAAGGCTTCTATTCTCTCTGTTTCTTAGGATTTATTGTGCTGATCTTCCTATCATTATTGCTCATCCTAGACTTTGTTCATCTTGATCTATTTTAACTCATCTTATTAGGAGAGTTAGCTATCATGATTCTAGGTTTTACTGCCTACTATCTCGCCTTAGGAGCTAAATTGAATACCTATTTGGATCAATGTGAGGTGGCTCTGTAGGATGTTAAATCTATCTATTAAGATCTTCTGAGAATGAAGGATGTCTACTTTGAGGAGAACAAAGAGCCTTAAAATTACATTCACAAGAAATTCAAATAACTATTACAAAATGAAAGCCAAGTTGAAGAAGTCATTAAATCTATCATTCAAGAATTAGATGACAATATTAGGATCATTCAATATGATTCTAGAAACAACCCATTTAAACTGTATGGGATCAAAATTACTTTTAACTTACTCAAAAGTGCTGCAGTTGGACTCAGCACTATCTATAGTTATTCACTTTAGTAAAGATTTATGAACATTAAATGATTTTCCAAAATCAAATTTTTATACATCTAAATACATTAAATCTAAAAAATAAGTTAAATAAATTTATAAACAGTCTCACAAAGAGGTTCCTAAGACTGGACCAACTATAACTAAAATCAAAACCAGTCCAATCATTATGATACAGCACATTCTCTATAATCAATTCAAATATTTACTCTTCTAGCAGCTTAGTGATTCTTCTTGGCCTTGATCTATTCAGCCTCTCCTTTTTTAACGTAATCCCTTGCTTTTAACATGTTCTATTCAATATTATCAATCAATTCTCCTTGATTCTTAACCAACAATGCCATATCTGCAAATAGTTAATGTAAATATTGTACGCTCTTCAATTAGTAAATTTATATTTATACTTTCTCTAGCTTATCAATGTCTTTATATTTTTCTTAAATGTCTTATACGGCATTTTAAATGTTAATCGACGCTTATCCATAGATTTTCTGTTGATACAATTCTTACATTTTCTACATCAAATTAAATCATACTTTTGGATCTTGGCATAATTCATCTATTTAATTCTCATCAAGACTAGAATCCAACCAAGTTGCTTGTCTTTTTATCTTGTTCCTCATATTCTTTTTGAAATCTAATTGAGAATTTTGACACTCTGTCAATACAGCCTACACTTTCAGATTTACTGCTGCCCAGATATCTATTTTCATTCTCGTTTCAGGTTCGTTAGGTTACTCGTCTTTTGCTTTTTCAACATCCAAAGCTAGTTATGCTATTAACTTTTTCAATCTCCCCTATAATTGATTATTTTATTGTATTATCCTATCCAATTTCGAACTTATTTCTGTATAATTATTAAATTCATAATTACCAACCTTACTCAGCCTCAGATCTAGTTGCACTTATATATTGTTTTTTGAGTTCCTCAATTCTGACTATATTAGATCTGATAGTCTCTAAAATCTCCTGAACTCCATCAACATTCACTTTAAACAGTGGCATCAAATCTTGGCTATCGTCAATCACAATATTTTGATGATCACTTTTTTCATCAAATTCCATTTTGTTTTTTATAGTTTGTGATGAACTTATTATTTACAATATTGTATACCCAAACCCCTTTATCTCAGATAAGCAATCCTCCATTTGATAATGATAACTTTGTTTTCATTATTATTCAAAATTACATACTCTGATAATTCCGAAGAATACTGTGTTTTTTTATTCAAAAATTTGTATTTATTATTGAAAGAAGAACTATTAATCTCTAAATAAAGTCATTCTAACAATATATTAAAATTTATATAAAATTAGTTAATTTGAAATATGAACGAGATTTTGCTCAATTCTTAATCATCCAATTTTTTAAGTGAGGAAGTTATCAACAAAGCAGCAAAGGATCCTGAAACAAGAAACAATATCATAAAATTCGAATAGTAATGAAAATTTGTATCAATAGTAAACTGCTATCAGTATATGCACATAAATTTTCTATCATTCTATTGCCAAAAACTGAATAAATTACAGGTAATTAATAAATTAACACAATAGAATGGCATGGAATGATCAGCATATCATACGGACTGTACGCTAAGGGAAAATTTAAATTTGTATTGAACTTCCCTAAAACTTTTCCAGAATCTATTCCTAAAATAAGGTTTCTTTGTCCCCTCTTCCATCCTTTAATTGATGAATACAATAACGTGGATGTTGACACACTTATTCCGAAATGGAAATATGGGTAGGATTGCATGGTATATAATTTATTAAACAAACTCTATGAAATGTTTATTGATGTAAGTTATTATGATTGTGTGACTTCCTTTAACCCCAGAGCTGCTCAATTATTTTCAAATGATATCAACTCATATGCTGAGGAAGTCAAAAAACAAGTCGCCTTATCCGAATAGTAGCTCTATGATAACCGAGATGATTTCGTTCTTAAAGTAACTCCTTATATTCATTCAATAGTTAAAAGAACCAACCTATAACACCCAAACAATTCTCTAAAAATTACAAGACATCAACTCTTCAAAAAACTTAACATTTGAACAAAAGAAGAAGGATCTACTAAATTTCATACTGTAATAGAGTAAGGAAAACAAAATATAATAATGAACAATAAACCTTGTTTTTGGATTATATATAATTATTATTCTTCCTTCTCATATTTAATTAGAATATGAAAATAATGTTATTGCAATTTTAAATATTAAAGTCTAAAATAAACACTTCAATTTTTACGATCTTAAGCTGATAATTCTTAGAAAAAATAGGAAAAAAAGTTATATTTGATAGAATCAAATTTACAGAATTCAAAACTTGAAAAGATATAAAATATCGAATTGCTCTTACATAAATTCACAAATTCATTAAGTATTTATAGATTTAAAAATAATTGTGGGAACGTAATTAGACCCAGGTACTTATATATCATAATCCATTGCAGCAACATACTCAATTCTCTATTTGATTATTGTGTGATAGCTTAGACTTCTATTTATAGGATGATCTTTATTCTCTCAATCCGCAACTTTTGATATAAAAATTTATTATTTATATATGTAATTTCAATTGACTGCCGCATTCAAGGAATTGCTAAAGGGAGATAATAAAATTCCGAAAAGCAACTTGATACGTTAAGCGAAAAATTTGGCACACAAACCATCTTTGGAACCAAAAATAAATTAGACTCATCGCAGCGTAGAAGAACCTGCATAAAATAAATAGAGAAGTGGATAAGCCTTCCCAATTCTAATATAAAAAAAGCAACAATTTACACTAGATTGTGATAAGACGAAGGATATTCTTAAGAACTTTAATATTAAACTAATTCGCTAAAGAGTATGTTAAAATGAAAAAATCCACAGAAAACTATCTTAGCATAATATCCAAAATACTCAATAACTAAATCTTACTTTTGGACAGAACTTTCGCATAAGAACAAGACCACTTCTCTCGAGGTAAGATAACAGTGCAGATCTCAGAGACTCTCATTCAGCTAGTAGAGTAATGTCTCACTCGTAACAAAGATTAGTCAATAAACTATTTTAATGAATTATTATGAATTTTATCATATCTATCTTGGTCAAACTATATACCTCATGTTTTAATATTAATTAAGCTTTTTAATTCTTAGATTAATCGATTTCATATTTAAAATCAATCACTTAAAATTATTAAATATGCTTTGTTATAACGAATGATTTATATAAATATTGTAAAGTCTTTATTTTCGTAATAAATATTATTACATCTTAATTTTTGTTTTTATTTTTGAGTCCTCTTTTTGATAGTTAAATTTTTCAACCTAAAATTAAACCCAAATTAAGTTACTATTCATAAAGTTGAATTTATAATGATAAAAGTTTAAGGAACATACTAATAGGTTAACCAAATGTACATATGTATAATATGAATATTCTAATAAGGATTTAAAGTTAATTTTATATTCAAGATATAATAAGAATGTATTCATTATATCTAACTAGCAGTCAAAAAGAAACCATTCTTTGCACTCTAATATATAAAACATTCAACAAAGTTATGTCATTTTTATTGATTTATATCTCTATTTGTTATAATCTATTCACATAAATATCAATCAAGTTATATTTCTTTTCCAATAAGTACTAGTCTTTTATTTTTGTATTTCTGTTTGACAATTGCTAAGTATTCTTCATATTTTTGGTCGATTTTATCAAAATCAAATTATTAATTCGGTATTTATCCAGTTTGCACTTATGGATTATTGATTTATATATCTTAAATGGTACATAATGGAGCAATTGGATATTAAGCGCCTTGTTTAATAATTTTAATTTACCATCCTACTTATATATGTTTTCAAATGGAAGAAACCAAAAATAGGAGTAATTAAAAAACCAAGCTATGTTAGATAGTATTCCTCTATCGAACAAATTGATTTTTTTCGGAGGCCCACGATTTTGTAAACAACAACTATTTCCACTTTCACTGCTTTCCATTTCTTCCAATGTAGTCTAATTATTAATAATTAGTGAGGTATGATAAACAAATAAGAAACACAACATAGCACAAGTTGGGTATATAACCAAACTCGTTAAAAACCAATAAATATAAAAGAAGATCGATTAATGAGAAAAGAACCCGTTGCTACTTCGAAACAAATATCTAAAATAAACCCAAGAGGCAAAGCTGTATTACAATGCACCGATCTATTAATATATAAGATTTAATACAGTCATATACATTGTAAAGAGATAAAAGGATCTATGATTTCTTAAACCTACACAATTGTTAATCCAAGGGCAATGATGGTCCATTTTTAAATTGCATTTGCCACATAGGGAACAATGATGAGATCGTATAGGTTTCCATTTATTACATTAAAGACACAAATTAGTGTTTTTGTACAAAGGATCAATTCTTCTATTATCTTAAATTGGAGTAGCCTTCTCTATTGTGTAATTTTTTATTTTAATTGATTAGTAATATGACCACATAGCCATGGCATAAGAAAGACAAACTAAAAATCCATTTATTAATTCAGATATAGAATCCTGTTTCATATCGAAAAACTAATCTTTTCATAATTGATACAAACTATTCTAAAATAACACAATTGGTTGGCATTAGGACAGTAAAAAATATGATAAGAGGCCCGGCTTAATGCTTAAATTATGAATGTTTTTTCCTTCTATGATTATGATCGCTAGAATGAATCATTTATCAAAAAAATATATATTAATTTTAAATAAAAAGCAATAAAATGTCTCAGAATTCTAGTAAGAATATCGCTAAGGATTCCATGCCTGATGAAAATTATTGTGAAGATATAAATGAATGTTTCATTCGCAATCTCGATATTCTCCTTATCTTGATATTATGTTATATTGGAATTTTAGTTTTGATTTTCATATATAGTTTGTTCACAGGTTGGAAAGTAAAAAGATTGAAAAAAAATATAGTATTCCAAAGCTTTGAATTTAATCATAAAAGAAAGAAATATGAGATTAATTGAATTTATATTACTTTTACATTACTCTCTATCAATTTAGGTCATATCTCTGAAATTTGAATTTAATTTAATTTAAAATATAAATATGTAAGTGCTGATGAAGCAATCATTATTTTTCTAATGAAACTTGTTTTAAATTAAACATTTTTATTCTATTTTTTATTTTTTATAAAATACTAATTGTAAATGTATGAAAGATATATTTAAGTCTGAAATTATCAATATTTTTGTACCTATCTTTACAATTATTAATTTACTATTATTAAGAAATACGTAATTCAAAAGTGTATTCGATAAAATGTTAATTAAAATCATTCTATTTTAAATTTCCTTAATTCTAATTTTTACTCCAATAGGTGGATAGTTTTTAATAAAATAAAGATCATATAGAGTGTATTTATTAATTGAATATAAAATAATTTAATTTTTATGTATATATAAAAACAGGAAATTACATAATGTAGAAATTATTAAAGGTAAAGCTGGAAATAACAATTCAAGTTTATTTTCTCAAGAAAAATTTCTAATAATTCAATGATTAAAATATTGGTAAGTTTAGAATATATTTGATATTAAATTGAATCAAAAGGGAATCTTTCTTTATATTCTAGAGTGAGTTAATGATAAAAAAAGTAATAATTAAACCGTTTTCTCCAACCCTAAATATCTCTCAAATTTGAATGAAATGGAGTTAATTAATTTTGATTTGAAAATAATGAAATTAAGAAATTGATAATATGTTTGCTGTTTTATTTGCTGAATAAATAAAAACAAAAATATATATAAAGGATTTAAATTAATTTTATTAAAAGTGATATAAATAGTAATTATAATTGGAGTAAGATACATCATCTGTTGTATTGTTATCTATTCAATAGGATGAAAATTCTTCGCACTCAGAGTCTAAGGAAAATGATTCTATGGAAATACTTTATCTGAGTACTAGGATTTAATTTTCTAAAATTATTTAATTAATTACTTGAAGAGGCCGTAGATGAAAGTGTTCTCATAGATTGATTAACACTTATGTGATTGTCCTAATCACTCTCTAAATGATTAAGATTGACCACCATTGATTTTAAATCAGGTAATAAAACATAGTCTGATTTTGAGGAACTTTCGATTTGAGGGTCGTCTTCTTTAGGTTATAGCATTTATCCAATATTTTTTTGAAAGTACATCTTCATATTTGTAACTATGTGAAACTCTTACTTGGGTTTGCTATTTGAATTATTCATTTTTCCAAAATCTTAAAATCTTTGTTATAATTATTAAAATCCTAAACTCCTAAATGATGCTTACAACCTGATAAAACCGAAATTAATCTGGAGTTAATAACACCCATAAAATAATTAAGTTAAAAATTCATAAAATTAAACCACATTTTGAGTCTTAAGTATATTATATGTTTCATAAGATTGTCGATGATGAAATACATGTATTCCTATTTTTAGATTTTGAATTATAGAAGAAATTCACATTATAATTTAATAAAACAAAGTTAAATCATTCAATCAGAATGATGATTATATTCATAATTTCTATATTACAATGATTTCTGCCTGTATTCATATTAAATGAAGAGTAATTTAGATCATATGATCTATTTAAACATTGCGAGATTAGCAAATTTAAAAAATAGTATCACAATATTTTTAAAGATTATAAATTGATTACAGTTTAAGTTTCTGTATTTAATTCAAAAGATGATTAAATTGCCTTTATTTGTTATTTGTTCTTTCCAGTTTCATTTTTTCTCCTTATTTCCATAAATTATAATATAAATAAAATAAATCAAAAAATTAAATTTATTTTCTAAATTATTTTTAATCAAACTAAAAGGAAACATTAGCACCATGATATTGTTAAATCTTCTTCTAAGCTGGAAAAACTAAAAAGAAAATTTCTGGATATTCAGTAATGGGTCTGTCAAACTTATTAATTAAGCAAATTAATATCTTCAATCAAATAAAAAACAAATCAATTTTTAAAAGCTAAGGTTAATAGTTGAATTAATAATTATCTTATATTTTGATAATATTAGTAATGTGTCATAGCTTATTATATATTAGATCTGCTTACATATTTTATATAAATAAAACAGTTTGAAATTCTAACTTTTAGCTATACAATCTTTTACACTGTATTTCAAAGTTCTTACAAATACAATTTTGAACATGAATTTACATATTTAAAATTTAGGCTATTTTACCAAACAATATTTAATAAAACATTTGAAATGAATAATTTAGTATGTTTACTTACATTTCATTGCAACATATTTCAGTTTAATAAAATATATAATATATTATTTATATTAATTTTTTCGTTAAATAATTATATTTTAAAATGGCTACTCAAAAGCAAGAAAATAGATTATTCAATCTAACTCCTAATAAGTCATAGCAGATTCAGCAATCTACATTTTTTTAAAAAGGCTTTGTTAGTTCTAATAATTTTCCATAAAAGATTGCTCCTAATTATTAATTTACTTATGAAAGCATGCCTAAAGTGAATTGTCATTATCACGTTGATCAATACATTACTATGTTTTGCAGATGTCAAACTTGCTAAATGCCCTTATGTCCATAAGTATAAAATACTATAAAAAATTAGTGCGTTAAAATTCATTCACAAGAACATCAAGCCTATAATACATATGGAGATTTCGACACTCTTGAGAATTGTTTGTCGGAAGTGTATCAATCTGTGGCTGCCAATTGTAATAGGTTTGTAGATGAAATGGGATAATTGAATAAAGTAACAGCACTAAATGAAGGGGTAAACTATTATATGGATAAAGTGAAATAAGCAAGATAATAATGTTATTAAGTAATCGATAACTTCTTCAATACCTTGGAAGCAGAACTAGCCTAAGAAATAGAGGGAAATAGAGGATTTATGACTAATTAATCTCAAAACTTTAGTAAATACTTGTAATAAAGATGGAAGACTTTGATGAGTCTTTTGGAAAAGCTCAATACAGATAGATGTGTGAAGACTCTTGTAAAATATTACTCATCCAATCTCCCTCAGGAAAATGAGGAATATTATCATGAATCTAATTAATTTATGAAGCAGTTCAATAAATGTGTTCCTGAAATCTTATTAGATTAAAGTGCATTGTACGAGCTAAATATTGATTTGGCCAAGTTTGTCTCATTAAAAAAAGTGCCAGTTATGAAGTAAGTATCAAGAGGTTATCCTTAATATTCTCCCAATGAACAAATGTAGCCTATGTATAATTAATATATGCAACCCCAACAGAATCAAACTCTCATGCCTTTGACAAATACTGAACCTCCCATCGAACCTCCGAAGCAATATCCAGTGAAACAAGGATCGTTTAGATAAGAACAAACTCGTCCTGTTTAATAAGACAACACTCAAATTCATCCCTATTTATTAACTCCTCCGAAAACGAGTAATTTTTATTAATGATTAGTATATTTAATTTATAGGATATATTTAATAAATATAATATTTCACATATGTTTGGCCGAATCAACATATTTTAATTAAGTCGATATACAAAGGTAAATTTAACATGTGATATAAAAAATGACTCCACTTTCTAAAATATGGATCTGTTTTGCTTTTTCTATGATTTGATTGGCTATAAACCTATAAGATATAACTAATTGATAAAAAATTATATAAGCTAATGTTTGAAATCTAGAGAAGTTCACAAAGATATTAAAATTTGTAGACTACTCCTTAATATATCCTATATATAGACTATTAAGTTAAAGTATATTTCAAAAAATTTAGAAATAGCTTATTCTGTTGATAGGACAACAAAGGCTCACCATTTTAAATCAAATAATTTAGTAATTTGGTCTATATTTATGTAAAAATTAATGATTAATTTAATACCTTTTAGATATCCTTCTCTCTTTAGTTCCATCAATCCAAAAGCATTCAGCTAGAATAGACTTAATATCGAAGTTAAATTTAAAATATTGAAATCATGATAAGATGTAATGTTCTACCTTCTCTGTCAATAAGAGTATGCAATAAATGAAATTTTTTATATTTGTGGAAATCTTCCTTTAATTTCTTTCATGAATAAGTAGTGTCTAATCATATTCGATAAGTTTGATAAGATTTTATTAATATGTACCTATTTTTAATATGAAAGTTTTTTTGAATAAATGAATTATATGGTAATTTTTAACAAATTCATAATCATAATAAATTAAATTTTAATAATCCTTGGTAAGACTTTTGCCTTAGAATTTCAATTTTGGGAGCAAGTATATTATTCTAACTTAAGTAAATATCTATTACATAATTATTTTCAACAAATTATTCCAATGTTTCAAATGAAATATAAATTGGCAATATCAATATGCAAATACCTAAGGTTTCATTTAGAGCCTCTATTTTATGGTTACTTATTTATTTTACATAATGAAATTAATGCTAGAATTGGGAACACAGTGTGCTTCAAAATATTGATCAGCAAAAAATGTATTAGCCATCTACTCATTTTTTGTTTATCATTCGATGCATAAGCTATAGCAGCCATTGCGATTGGAATCAAATAAACTATTGCCAGATATAGAGTATAAAGGAGAAATTCAAATGCTTCGAATATCATTTTTATATATTATTATTTTATTAATAAAAATGGAAATGCAAAAGAAGAAAAGAGAGTTGACATAAGTAGAAGTTTAGAAAATAAAAGATGGATTCTAAATTTAAAAAGTAATTATGAAAGACTCAGAAACTTAATAAGTTTATTGGGATTCTTCTTCTGAAAAAGTAACAAAACATTAATTATTTAAAGATCACTCAAGATATTATGGATATTACTTTGGATCCTAAAATAATTACTTCAAAAGCTGCTACTCGATCAATCTAATTTTCTACTAAGGAAAAACTATAAGACTTAATATTAATTTAAGATGTATAAATCATTTTTAATGATTTTATAGGCATATTTACATGATTAGAAAATTGAGCATTTTGTATTTAAATTTGGTTTTGTTATGCCTGAAACCGTGAACACTTGGGATTCTACAATTGTTAACAGACCACCTGAACAAATGTTGTCCAAAGAAATCTAATCTGGCAATTTAATTGTTGATATCTAAATGTTTGAATAAGATCACCTTATCTTTAATGTGAAAGTGAGAATATTTTATTCATGAAAAAGTTAAAAAATTATTCTACATTATGGAATTATATCAATCATCATCTTCATTATTTCTACTTCCTCTTCAATTGTTAAATTGTTTCCTTTAAAATCTTCAACCAATTAGAAAGATTAATTTTTTAATTTCTTATTTATAAATAAATCACAATTGCTAAAATTTACATAATCGAAATTAAGCAATCTTAATTTAATCCTGCGCCTCAATTTCCAATTGTTTAAAGTATATTACATTTTGTCTTGCACCCTTAAAAACTAAATACTAATTCTGAACTATACTTCAGCGGACACCACGATTATCCTTAATTAATTTGGAATACCTTATTATATATGAAAGTATCTGAGTATTCTTTTTAAAAAATTTGAGTAACAATTCCGATAATTTTCTTAATATAATGAAACTACACCCATTGAACAAAATTTAAAAGAATTTCCCCTCCTAATATTTTAGAACTATTTAGATGATATATATATCTAATCGATTGAGTATCAGTGTATTTAATGTCTAAACGGAAATTGTGAAACTCTTAGCCTATTCCAATCACTTACCTTTCCTAATTTTATTGATTCTAATAGCATTAAATAACTATGATTCTATCTTGTTTAACTACTAATCAAATCCATCTCTTCATTCAATAATATATCTACCGTAGAGACATACTTATTTCTAAAAACATTTCAGTCTTATAGATATTCATAAAGCAAGAACTCTGTTTCTTTCCGTGCACTTCTTCTCCATACTGATTTCAATAAATCATCCTATTCAGTAAATCAATTCTATTTATCAATTTTAACATTATTGAATCCTGAAGTGCTTAAATTTCTGTTAATCCCCAATCTCAAATTTGTATCCTTTTTAGATGTATTTCATAGTAATTTGGCTTCTTTTTATTCAAAGTGTTCATAGCTATAAATAATATAATTAAAATAATAATCTTTAAATTATTCATGAAGAATTATATATGCAATCACTTAAAAATTATAGCCATTTAAATAGAATAATCAAATCTAATAATTATATAAAAAAACTAATTAAGACATCTCATGCATTATTTATAAATAAAGTATTGCATTTTATAAATAATTATTTATAACTGATATTAACATGAGAAATGCTTATGAGTATATTCATATTAAATATTTTAGTTAATCATAATGTTAACAAGTTCTTTAGGTTTACAATAACCCTTAGGGAATGCTAAATTAACACAATTGTTTCCTTGAGTATGATATCCCCATTTTTAATAAAATTCCTAATACAAAAAAAATTCAAACTAAACCTAAGGAGAATATCTTTGAACATAAAATTGGCAACGATACTGTTTCAACAAATGATTCAAATCAAACTCCTCTATATTGTTTAAATTGGTTGAAGCGTAAATATGGGAGAGATGTATAAATTAACATTCGATTTAGGACTTTGGTCAATTAAAAAAACAATATGAAAAGCTATTGTCAATATAGCCTGAATTAAATATTAATTATCAGATAGAAAAAGATTTAAAAAGAACATAGCTTGCAGAAAATAAATTCAATTAGATTAAAAATATCTTGTTAGCTTATTCTGTCTTTGATCTCTCAATTGGATATATCTAAGGAATGAATTATATAGTTTCTGTGTTATATATCCACGCAAAATAGGAATGGGTCGGATTTTGGCTATTTGTTTTACTGATTCAATAAATGGGAATTAGGGATATGTTTTAAATCTCTCATAATTCATTAAATAAATATTCCAAAATATTAGATTTCTATATTTTTAGATATCAATATCAATTATATTTAAACCTTAAAGAAAAAAAAGTACAAACTCAATTATACCTCTAACAATGGATTTTAAGTTTATTATTGCAATAAATACCATTTGAATATTCATAGATGTATCTAGATGGATTATTCAATAAAGGATTATCCTATTTTTATACGGTTGCGGTATCATTAATAAAGATGTTTGAAAAAACCATTATTGAAGGTGAATAAATAGAAATATTGATGATTCTTACTTAAAAATAAAATGTAATAAATTATAAAATGTAGAGTTTATTGAATTGGGCATTTATTCTATCTATTGATTGGGATATCGAGAAACAAGATATTAAAATGATAGATGAGAGTTTTGATAGCGAAAACAATATTTTTTAAATATCAAAATTGCAAGTTTATTAATCAGCATCACTCACCCACTTTCTTTAATTTATCAAATAATGATGAAAATATATGAAAAAGTTTAGTTATTTATAAACAATCATTTATGTCATTACGGATCATTTTTTTATATCAACAAATCTTGTTATTAGATAATGTTTTCCAATTTTTGAAGACTTTTATCTTTATTATTTTAAGGTTATTTAAAATTTTAGTATCTTTTATACCAACCTAATTTATCTTCTTTAGGAACATCAGCTCTTTTATTTTTTAATTCTATCACAACTTCTAAATGCTCTTCATAAGTTTTTGCAGATCCAAGTTTGGATCTCAAATCTAAAATTTAAGATGAATAGAGAGTACCAGTAAATATCTGTAAGCCTGTATACAGAAGTTTAAATAGATGTGCTTTGATTTCAGCTAATCTGGCATCATACTATTTGGCAAATTGCATATATTCAAGAGCCAAATCATTTAAATCTTTTATTTCACCCGAAAAAAGAGCAGGATTTTCTAAGAGAGCTTCAGATGACATGACTGCATCAACTTTTGTTTCTTGGAGACATCTTTCAACATCAGACCAAGTGTAGATGCCTCCATTAGCAAAGACAGGTATTTGAATTAGTTATTTTATTTCTGCTATAATAGTCCAATCGCATTGACCAACAAAATCTTTGTTTTACTCTTTAGTTCTACCATGGACAGTCAGAATAGAGCATCCAGCCTCTTAGATATCTTTGGTTAAATCTAGGGTTCTTTTTCTATCTTTGAATACCCTGATTTTGCAAGTAACTGGAACATTTATATTTTATTTTAATTCTTTCACAATGGTTCTATAGTTTAAATAAGTGAATTTACAGAACTTGTTCCCTCTTTTCCAAAAGATAGGCTCCATAAAGACCTTTCCTTGCGATTCCCTAAGGACATCCAAGATTTATGTCGATGGCATCACATTGACCCTATATCATTAATGCTGCCTTAATTAAGACTTGGGGATCATGTCCACATAATTAGGCAAACAAAGGTCTGTCTTCTGGACAAGTAGTAAAGAATTCATCTTTGTATGATTTGGACTCAGTCATGATTCGACTATGTAACATAGGAGTGTATGCTATTGTAGCTCCATATTTTCGAGTTAGCATTCTAAATGCTAGTTCGCTTTAATCAACCATTGGAGCACCTATGTTAAGTTGAGGGAGATACAAATGAATTTAGGAGATCCCAAGCTTTTGTAGAATTGCCATGCTTATTAAATATGATCATCCATTAATATTATAAATAATATGGCCACTGAATTACTATAGGGGGATTATGAATTCAATGCTCCGCCAAGAGTAGTTTAGAAGATGAAATATAGAGAGGACAGGGATGCTTGTAACATCATGTGGGATAAGAGAGTCATTAGAGGGAACACATATTCAAGTGTTTTGAATAAATCTGAGCCCACTATGCAAACAACTATAAAGAGGATTCAAAACACTAAAGTAGTGACTGAGAAGAAGGAAGATGAAACTATCCACGATGAAGAAACACAAACTGATCCCAATGTTGAAGAGTTAACTGACAAACCTCCCAGACATCTAAAAGAAACTTAAACAGAATTCATAATCGAGAAAGTTGTACCTAGATTATACATGAAAGAGAAGACAGGAATAGACGAAGAAACTCAGGTGTGGGATGATGGAGAATTGTTTAATTTTGAATATGAAGCTGAGCCCATTCTTTAAGTATTAGTAAGAAAAACTTTGGATTTAAGTCGAATGGAAGTATTATAAGAAGAGGAGCTTAGAGAGATGAAGGAGAAATAAGAGCATTATTAAAAATTAAAGCAAATGGAAATGGCTGAATAGGATAGGTTGGAGAAGAAAGAGTAACAGTTATACAATGAGAATATTAAATTAAAATAACAATTCCATAATTAAAAATAGAGGGATATTAAGACACATGAAAAATTAATCAGTCGTGCATCAGCTAAGAAATATCTATCTAAATGTGTTAATTTGGCCTAATAACAATTGGAACTTAGCGGATATTTTAGAGATCCTGTTGAAATATAATTAATATCTGAATACCTACCGTGGATTTATTAGGATGTGACAACTGAATTATTGAATTCAAATAACATCCTTGTTGAATACAACTAAATGTTAGATAACATTGATGATGACATTTTTAAATTACATACAAAAACATTATCTTAAGAAAGAAGTCGAAGATAATCAATATTAGATGAAAGAGAAAGGCAAAGAATAGCTAAAGAAGAAGCAGATAAATAAAGAAGAGAGAGAAGAAAAATTAGATTGGAAAAAGAAAGGAGATAGAAATTGAAAGAAACTGTTTAAGAATAATTGATTACCAAGGGGGAAGAAAAAGAATGGTTTAATCTTATATCTGATGTCGATGGCTATTATCAAGGAACTAATACTGTAGGTTATCTTGGAGGTATTATTGGTTAATTTGTTATCATTATTAATGCCTTACAACAAGTTGGAGAAGTTATTGAAGATATATCTGAATTGATTGCCAATTCTATAGCTGCATTACCAGAAGGAACAATCATTGAAATAGGATTAAGAGATTAAATTGATCAGATGTTAGCTGATATTGAACGTACCATAGTATTATTATCAATTTTAGCTGAATTGACTCTAGCCAACTTACCTGAATAGTTAACCCAAGGGATAGAAAATGCTATCAAATTTAATATTGTCTATAGTTTATAATAGCATTGGACTTCTTTCGAATTTCTTCAAAATATTAATCAAATTACTGATTTGGTTATTAAAAACCTATTTGAAAACAGACCCAAGGTCAAATGGTCAAAAATTAAAGGCTAAGTAGACTTTTAAAAGATTCCATGTCTTGTCAAATTGTAACCAGGAATGGAAAGTCTACGATTTCATCCTAAATCAGGGAAAACCAGAGTTGAAAAGTCAGTTGAAGAGGAAGCTACTGAGGAAGAAATAATTAATCCATAAAACCTTGGTGAAGCAGTTGTTGATACTAAGGCTACTGCATTTATCCCTTAAGTACTTATAATTTAAATTGCTTCTAGAATGAAGAAATTTAAACTGCTGTCATTCATAATGTTGCAGAATTCCACCTTAGAAATTTAATTATACAATAGATTGGTGAGCAAGACATTCCATGGCTTGTAAACTTCACTGAAAAATGCTCAAAATTAGAAACATAAATTATCGAAACCCTAAATCCTCAACTACCTTAATTGGAAGTTTATTAATATTGATTAAGAACATATTAAATTTAATCATATATTTATTGATAATTATACAACTTGTTTTGTTTTTAGCATATGTGAAAAATATCAAATACATGAAATGCAACTCATGTTAATTATGCCCCTTGAATTTCTAATAATATCTTCTTTTATGATGATTTAAATAAAAAAATATTGGTTCTACTCGAACCACTAAATTTTAAAAAATATCTTTCAAGAGAAAAGAATGTTAATCTTCAGAATAAAGTTCGACTACCTTAAATAAATAATAGCTGACAAAATTGTGAATTAGAAAGAATGGCTACGACTGTTCTTTTTCAAAAATTTAATGTATTTAAAAAGATAGGCTATTTATATTAAATAAAAAAAGGAGAATGAGCTTATTAATTATTTAAAATACATTAATAAGAATAGCTTTACTTTACTGAGTTAAGTAATAAAGTGAATATATAAAACTCAAGAGTTGATATTTTAAGTTTATTAATATCAGTGATCTCCAAAATTTCAGATCTACTTATGTTTTTAATTACTTATATATATAGCAAAAGAAGAAATTGCTTATTTTATGCTTAAATTGTTTTGGTTACTAGGGAGAAATTTAAAGAAATAATAAATTTTAAGATTCCTTTAGGGTTAGGATTTAAGAAAGGAATAAGCGAGCATAATCAAAGAGTTAAACTTCCAGTAACAATGAGAAAGTTAAATATACTTCTTTATTTTAAGACAAGTTACATATTAAAATATATATAATTATGAAAAAAATTATGCAATTTCTGAATTTTTATATTTGATTAGTTTAAGAAAAACCAAAGCTTTTAATAAAGCAGTAATAAAATTATGTATTAATTTAATATATAGATCTTAATTAAATAAATTTTTTTTTTATATGGTAACACTCGATAAAACAAATAATATTTAATCTTTAATCATTATTAAATTGTATTTGATAGATATTATAACAAATATTGAGTTTGAGGAAACTAGAAATAGGGATAGAGTATTGAAAATTGGGGAAAGCAATTCACTGAACTTATTGGTGGCATGTTGCAGATACTAATTGGCATTACATGTGGCTAGGTTTGACTGAAGCTCATCGATGGAGAGTAATCCTGTGATTAAGCTGAAACAATTGAATTGATTTTTTGTTCAGCTTTTGATAAATTCAATTGTTCTTTTTTTGGAACAATGTAATAAGGGTTCTTGATATTGAGATATTTATTTCGAAGGTACGAATAGAACCTATTCTTGATGCTATTTTCTGATCTACCTTGCAGGTTTTTTTAGATGACGCTCCATTTACCTCCTACATCTTTATAGATTTCTATAATTTTTTCATCCTCTTCTTTGCTCCAAGGTTTGTTGTTCAATCCTGGATGCAATTAATTAAGATAGTGTTCTCGAATTTATTTGCCTGAACGATTCGGTAGTAATTTGCTGATTTTGCTCCAATGATATCCATATTCTTTTACTAAATTCTTTAGTTTGTCGTCTTCCTCTTAAGTCCATTATCTCCTCAATTTGTATCCCTTAATTCTCTTCCATCTCTAAGCACACTAAGAAGGGTTTCTCCCTCCTATTCTTTTGGCTACTTCAATCCAATCGAAACATTTGCATTTCCTCAATTCTTGAAGCATTTGATCCTCTTAGATGCTCCAAGCTTTCCTTTGATTTTGTATCAATTCGGAATGAGACATTTTGTAGATAAAATTAATTTTGTTATGCTTAATCAGGAGATATTTCTATATAAACTTCAAAGAATTCAGTTATTTCAAACTTTTATTTTAATTCTTCATATAATGTGACTACGTTAGAAATATTTCAGTACTGAATCTTGCTTAACGAATCCATAACCATTAGCTTCTAACTTTAAGCAATTAATATCTTAATAGGTGCTAGATTCCTAAAATCTTTTACTCTATTATGAATCACTGCATATTGATAAAAGCTATTTTCTATTTGGCCTAATTTAAAAATTTATTTTTTTTACAATCTCAATCTACTTGTTTCTCAATTTATTAAGTTTCCTTAGAAGCCAATCGGAGTTATAAGCTAAATGAGTACTAATTAGGATGCTTTGATCTTTGCTTTAGAAGTATTTTGCAATTTGACAGTTGCCAGAAGTTCGCTCAGAATTTATACTAGAGTACACAAGAGACCAATTATAATACCGGTATCAAATAAACTATACAAAACTACAATATCATATTCCAAAAATTATAATAAAACACTTTTACTCAAATTTTATTTCCAAAGAAATTCCTTCCCGAATACTGAGAGCTTTATACCACGATCAAAATATGGTTTTAGTATATTAGTTTAATTGTTTTGTCCTAAATATGTTGCAAAATCACAGGCATTTTTTAGATACAACCCTATGATTAGTTTACATCAAAAACTATTATATGCTAGGTAAAGTGCTAACACAAGCAAAATTTCCATCAACTTTTGCTTTAAGAAAGCCTTAGAATTTTTGTGCTCCAATATTAGATTTCCATTACATCAATTAATCCGTTTGAGGGAAAAGCCATAATTTTTTAAGGATAGCTCTCCCTAAATTTAAGAAAGATTTCACATTTTTTTTAAGCAAAGAGAGTGAGAGGTTTTTTTTATCAACACTTAAAATCCCTAATGTTCAATGAGCTATAATCTTTATTCTCAATCTCTAAGATTCTAACAATAAGATCATTATTGATTCTATATTGAGAAATTTTCTTTTATAGAGGATCTTTAATTTTCGATTATCATAATATCATAGACAACAAATGTTACTGAAGAAGCGCTTTATAATCAATTGAGTCAAGATAAATATATAGCATTTAGGTAAGAAGAATATTTGTTATAATACCTGCTTCGGTCTTGTAATCACTACAACATAATTGATAAGGTATTCAAAAAGTTATTTGATTATACAATTAATAAAGTTCATAATCCCAATTCTCTTATTTTGATCTATGTTGTTAAATAAAGAGATTAAAGTTCTTAAATATCTTTAGAATTCTATAAAGTTTTATTAAATTTGGAGTTTTCTGTTTAACTTGTTTCTTAATCTGAGGATAGGAATCCATACATTTTATAACTTTACGTGATTCCCTTCTGCCCTGCAAGAGAATTCTAACCCCCTTTGTGTGGCATAAAATGAAGTACCTAAACTAAAAAAATTTTATATTTGGTATTCTTTCTGTTAATAAGATTAAAAGAAATATAGGTTAATGCAACCTCTCCACCTTATAGATAAGAAGAAATAGCTTTGTTATTCTTCGCCTATTCAATTAGTGTTATTATTTAACTGTGTAAGGATTTTTATTTTAGACTTTCTTTGAATATTTTATGACTAACGTAGTTATGTTAATTACATTACTCTATATTTTTCTATAAATCTCTTTTTAACAACTGTAACATTCCATAAATTCTATGCTCATTTAAAAATGTTAGGCTAATAGTTCCCTAATCCTTATTTTTAATAGAATACCTTACAAATTAATAAACAATGTAAAGTAATAGAAATAGAAATTTTCAAATAATTTATTTTGCTTTATGAATTTGAGAAGAACACGTTCTCTTGAAGAATAAAAGGTGTAAGATTTGTACGAGGTGTTGGCATTCTCAAAATATGTAAATGTGAAAGTATTCAAAATCATCATAGAAATACTTAAAAAATTGTCAATTTCAGATTCTCTAATTTTTTTATTACAAGTTAATAGAAACCAAAATTTTTGGGTAAACTATTTACAAGCTGACAATTTTTCCACTCAAGAAAAATGCTAGAAGTTAGACTAGATGATAAAAGAAATCAAATAAATTACTCAAATTATGATATTAATTCAGGGTCATGACTTCAATACCAGAAATTACTCCACTCAAGATAATCTAGAAACAAAATAATTTCTAATTGAGAAAATAGGGAGAGATGAAAATATAATTGAATTCTTAAAATATTTAGTACATCTCACTTCCGTTGATAATAAATTTATCTAAAGTGGATCAAATTCTCTTCATTTCTTAGTTGAAATGAAAATTGATTTGAAAACACATTCCTTTGAAAATATTAAAATTAGAAATACTTCACTTTTTGGAGGTAATTTTGCCAAATGTGATTTGAGTGGATCTGAATTTGACAATGTCATTATTAAAGGGATTAATTTAAATGGTTCAAATTTATTTAAATGTAAATGGGTCAATTTAAGAATGAATGTAATTGAGCTTAATAGTCATGGTGATTATGTAAATTCACTTTGCTATTCTCCCGATGGTCATTAATTGGCTTCAAGTAGTAATAAATCCATTATTTTGTGGAATCTTAGAAGGGGAAATATAAGGTATGTTATCAAAAGAAAGAGAGAAGTAAAATCACTCTGTTATTCACCTAATGGTAAAATATTAGGTGCTTGTAGTGGGTAATTTATTTATTTATGGAATCTTTATACAAGTAAATAAAAATAAAAATTAACTGGTCATACTAGCTAAGTGAAGACAGTCCGTTTTTCTTCTAATGGTCTTAAATTAGCATCTGTTGATGTGGATAACTCCATCTATTTATGGGATGTTATAAAAGGAGAACCTATAGCCTAATGGGATGATTGTAATACATTTTGTTTCTCTCCTGATGCTGCTATGATAGCATATGCTAGTTTGTAAAACAACATCTATTTATTGGATGTTGAGACAGGAGAAGAAATGGCCATATTTAAGAAACATTACACCGAAATTTTATCAATCTGTTTTTCTCCTGATGGTACTACATTAGCATCTGGAGGTGGAGATTGTAAAACTGGTTCATGTTCCAGGGTCTTTTTATGGGATCTTAAAACAGGAAAATTTAAAGACGAATTAAATTATATGAAATGTAGGTTCACTTCTGTCTGCTTCTCTCCTGATGGTACTAATTTAGCAGCTAGTGTTAATAATAATATAGTTGTATGGAATGTTGAGACTGGTGAAATAAAATACGATATAAATGGTCATCATAATGAAATTAATTAAATCTGTTTCTCTCTTGATGGTAGATTATTAGCATCTGGTAGTGGTTCCGATAGCTAAATAAGTAGTAAATTAAACTCCTTGATTCGATTTTGGGATTTTAAGTCAATAGAATAGGAGGTTGATTCAGTTGCTCATAGGGGAAGTGTTAAATAAGTTTGTTTTTCTCCTGATGGTACGACATTAGCATCTGGTAGTTATGATAGCTCTATCCGTTTATGGGAGGTTAAGACAGGATAATAAAAAGCCAAATTAGATGGTCATTCATTAACAGTTTATTCAATTTGTTACTCTCCTGATGGTACTACATTAGCATCTGGTAGTGATGATAACTCTATCCGTTTATGGGATGTTAAGACAGGATAATAAAAAGCAAAATTAGCTGGTCATTCTAGGACAGTCAATTCAATTTGTTACTCTCCTGATGGTACTACATTAGCATCTGGTAGTGATGATAACTCTATCCGTTTATGGGATGTTAAGACAGGATAATAAAAAGCAAAATTAGCTGGTCATTCTAGGACAGTCAATTCAATTTGTTACTCTCCTGATGGTACTACATTAGCATCTGGTAGTGATGATAACTCTATCCGTTTATGGGATGTTAAGACAGGATAATAAAAAGCAAAATTAGCTGGTCATTCTAGGACAGTCAATTCAATTTGTTACTCTCCTGATGGTACTACATTAGCATCTGGTAGTGATGATAACTCTATCCGTTTATGGGATGTTAAGACAGGATAATAAAAAGCAAAATTAGCTGGTCATTCTAGGACAGTCAATTCAATTTGTTACTCTCCTGATGGTACTACATTAGCATCTGGTAGTGATGATAACTCTATCCGTTTATGGGATGTTAAGACAGGATAATAAAAAGCAAAATTAGCTGGTCATTCTAGGACAGTCAATTCAATTTGTTACTCTCCTGATGGTACTACATTAGCATCTGGTAGTGATGATAACTCTATCCGTTTATGGGATGTTAAGACAGGATAATAAAAAGCAAAATTAGCTGGTCATTCTAGGACAGTCAATTCAATTTGTTACTCTCCTGATGGTACTACATTAGCATCTGGTAGTGATGATAACTCTATCCGTTTATGGGATGTTAAGACAGGATAATAAAAAGCAAAATTAGATGGTCATTCATCATATGTTTATTCAATTTGTTACTCTCCTGATGGTACTACATTAGCATCTGGTAGTGAAGATAACTCTATCCGTTTATGGGATGTTAAGACAGGATAATAAAAAGCCAAATTAGATGGTCATTCATCATATGTTTATTCAATTTGTTACTCTCCTGATGGTACTACATTAGCATCCGGTAGTTGGGATAACTCTATCCGTTTATGGGATGTTAAGACAGGATAATAAAAAGCCAAATTAGATGGCCATTCATCAACAGTTTATACAGTCGATTTCTCCCCTGATGGTACTACATTAGCATCTGGTAGTTCAGATTGTTCTATCCGTTTATGGGATGTTAAGACAGGATAATAAAAATGCAAATTAGATGGTCATTCAAATGAAGTGAATTCAATTTGTTACTCTCCTGATGGTACTACATTAGCATCTGGTAGTTAGGATAAATCTATCCTTTTATGGGATGTTAAAACAAAACAACATGCTACATCACTATCTTTGATTGACAAATAGAGTATATTTTGATTATTATTTCAGCTATTCCAGTTAAAATACTTCATATAACTTAAAATCCTATATTTTAAGCTTAAGGAGCATTGATATACAAAGGAGAATTTGTAACTCATATTGGAATGAACTTAAGAATACTATTTGAATAAAATTGAAGTTATATTTGAGAAGAATTTTTTGCATTATCATTTTTGTAATTCCTGTTAAATACAAACACTTTACTTGCTTCTTTTATTTGTGTAACAACTCTTTTTTTCTGGAAATCGTAAATTTTTAGATAATTTTAGCTTTAATGATCCTTTGGGATTGCTCTTTAACAATACTATTTTTTAAAATTTATTTTTGTGTAATTAATTTTCTTCATTTTAGATTTATTATAAATTTGAAAAGAATATATTTATTAATAAATTTAAATATGTAACCTTAAATTTTTGGAGGAAATTCTAAAAAATTTCTTCTGGTTTTATTCTATTTTACACAACCTCGAAAAATAAATTGTTGTAGAAACCTGAATAATAATAATTTATTAATCTATAATTTTACAAAGTAGACAATTGCAAATTTACAATTCCCTCAATACGTTATCAAAATTATTTAATTTAGATTCAACTAAAATAAATGCTCTTTAAAAGCACTATACTCAAGATATTGGGATTAATTATTTAATATTTAAATCAATAATTTTATTTGTTTCGTCCAAGAAATTGATGCCGAATAACATTTCTTATGAATAGACTAATAGTTAAAAGGTTAAGAATCGATATAAAGTATTTTGATTAAATACGTAGTCTTTTAGTCTATTGTTTTATTGTTATGGCAAATGTATTTATAATTTACTCAGTTTCTTGCAGTTACATCTATTTTTCAGTGTGACCTACTTACTTCTTATGATAATTTATGTATTAAATTTTATCGGGAAAAGTAAATTACTTATAAGATAAGTTCCTCTTATTAGGATGTTTAATAATTAGCATTATATTAAGAAAGCTAATTTTAACTATTAATTAATTTATTAGATTGCTAAGTATTACAAATCAATTTTTGTTAAAACCAATTAATTTATGTATTAATAATAAATTTTTGGAAATAATTTAATATATTTAAATTAATTATTATAATAATCTAAATATTTATAATATTTTACTCACCAAAATTATCATGTGAGATTAGAAGGACATATTCAATTTTGATGCAATAATTGTTGCAAACAGGATTTGGATGAGGTTATGCTCATACTTAAACACATTGACAGCATTAAAAAGTTTTTCTAATAACATGTCCTAATAGAATAGAAAGAAAGTAATAAGTAATCATTATCTACGCAAAGAAGGGAATTTCGGAGTTCAATGTGTTTAGTTCATCAAAGGATTTCAATTGTTATATGAATAAAATTTGCTATTAACAAATTAGGCATCTCCCTTAAGGTAGTTAAACTTATTATTTATGGGAATTATTGTTTTCAGTGGATATTGATCAATAAAATCAGTCACAAGATCTTATGTGAGGAGGTTAAATTACAATTTTATTCACTAGATTTATATTAAATTCAATTTGAAATTCTTACTGAAAATTACAATTTAACATTTCCTGAAGAAATTAATATATATAAGATTTTTATAGCAAGAATTGAACCCCTACTATTAAACAAGAAATCGATAAGTATTCGAATTATTATTGTTTATAGAAATTAAAATTCTTTTAAAACATCACTAGTTTAGAAGTATAAGATACACAAATTATTAATCAATAAATTATAAAATTTCTTTCTCTATCAATATCCAGTTTTTGCCTGAATAAATAATTCCCTTATTTAATAATCAATAATGGAAACTTTATAAATGATTCTCTAGAAACCATTTAAAAATTTATTAGTTATAATACTCGGTTATTTTATTATAATAAAAATAATTAATAATTCCTAATGTCAAATCAATATGTGATCGTGCCACAAAATTATCGAAGCGATAGCATGGTCAGCATCTCACCAGCTGACAAACGATACTTTGAACAGGCCTAAGCTAAACAAAAGTCACCTCCACAGCAAATGATATTTGGAGGGTACTCACCATCGCCAAGTCTTCAAAAAAGTTTGAGCACACAGTTATCAGAACAAAGCATGGATGATGTATATATATTTTTGACATTTATTAGTTTGGTAGAATGCAAAAGGATTCAGATACTGAGCTAGTTGTCCAGTACATACTATAATTAAGAGATACAGAAAAAAGGGAGCAAGCACTATCAGAATTATCAAAAAAGAGAGAAAGTTTTCCTCATTTGGCACCTCTCTTATGGCATTCTGTTGGTACCATAGCTATATTGTAATATTTGTATTTATTTTAGTCTTCAAGAAATTGCAGTTGTTTATCAGCACTTGCAACCAGCCTAACTTACACCAACTCAGTCATCCAGAATCTGTAGTGTATTGGGACTCCTACAATGTTTAGCGTTACATGTTTAAACCAGATCCTGTTTCTTAAGAGGTATTTCAAATTTCAATATAGCTCATATTCCATTGTTTTTATATCCGTTTCTAAATACTAGCAACAAGAGTAAAGCATTTGAAAACCTAAGAGTTACTAGTTTGGGTGTCATAGGTGCTTTGGTGAAGGTTTAAATATTTTAAATTTTCATAGGGAGATGATCCAGAGGCAATTAATTTTTTAATGCAAACTGAAATCATTCCACTTTGTCTGAGAATCATGAAGAAAGGGCAAGAGCTTTCGAGAACAGTTGCTACCTTCATAGTTTAGAAAATTCTTCTTGACGACAATGGCCTTAATTATATCTGTTAGACTCCTGAAAGATTTTTTGCTGTCAGCCAAGTCTTACAAACTATGATTGATGATCTACATCAATCCTAAAAAGATGATTAGAGGTTATTGAGACATATAATTAGATGTTATTTAAGACTTTCTGAAAACCAAAAGTAATTTAACAATGTTAATTTAGAGCTGGAGAAGTTCTTAAAAAGTACTTGCCACAAGTATTAAAAGATCCAACTCAATCTTTCATTAAAGATGAAGTTGTAAAAAAGTGGCATAACAATTTGCTTCAAAATCTTTCGATCAAATGATCATAAATATATGCATCTAAATAAATTAAAATCTTTGCTTATTGTTGCATATTTAGTAACTAAGGAATTAGTAATAAAAGAATATCTATTATCAAGTATAAAAATAATGTAATTCTATTAAAAAATAATCATTCTGGTTTTATTGACTTCAATTTTTGAACCTTTCTACTAAGTATGAACTCCATTCAAACTATTGTTCTCCATACTCCTTTTTCTCTATCTTACATTTCAAAATCTAAAGCGCCTCTAATTAAGCTTCAATTATTCTTTATTTTTCAATTTGATAAATTAAGGCGAAATAATCATGATAATTTAATTTTGAACCTGTAAGTTTTTCTGTTTAATTTTTTAGGGTTTCTTAATAATGATCAGAATGATATGTTTTAATTAAATTGTAAGCCTAATTGATAATGGTACTATCATAAATATCATCAAATAGATATGAAATGCCTTAGTCATATTACCAGTTTAGCATTTTAAAATACATTAGTAAATCATCGTTGATTCGTGTGTATCTAATTTTGAATTTCATGTACTTGGACAATTAGAAGTACTAAATGAATATTTTATTATATTGTTACTTCTGCAATATCACTTGCATATGGTATGTATTAAATATATTATGATTTCACTTCCACATAATCGTATATGTTGTATTCTAGAGAAAACCCATATCGTAATAACAACGACCTATTAGAGATTGTTCCATACGAAAAGTATGCTTAAGCATCTTTTTCAAATTCATCTTTACTTGAACATTTTATTACAAAATTATCAAATTAGTCTTCCTTCCAATCCGCTTTAGCTTCAAAAGGCTTGGCATTTTCAGGAATACCAACCTTTAACATCTCATCAACAGTTTCTATTGCTTATGGTTATTCTGGAATTTCAAATTATTTGAGTTCATAATTTTTTACTCTGAGTTTTTAATGAGCATATTCTTTTACTTTCTCTAAATACAGTTCTGAATTCTATGTGACATTTTATATGATATTAGACACCTATTCATAAGTCAAAGCGTCAATTTCATATAACTTAATTTATTCCTGAATATACTCTAAAGTCTTAGAAACAAATATGATGGTAAAATTGTCTCTTAAATTTAAGTTTTCCTAAAACCATCTTTTATTCTTCATATATTAAATTTGTAATTCTATTCTATAATTGCATTTTTCTTGGTAAAGTCTCAATTTTGTTATTGCATCAAGATCTTAATAGTCCACTTAATTTTAATACACAGTTAACTCTTACTCAATTAGTTTATAGGTTGGGGTCTTCTATTTGTAAATTTTGATTTGCTCTTAAATTTCAAATGGGTATTGGTAATCTTCTTACTCATATGAATCGCTATCACCATCTGACTCATCCGATTCATTAGTATCTGATTCCTTATCATCTTTGGGTTTATTGAGGTTACTTTCTAAATATAAGCCTTTGTATCTCACATCAGTATTCTCATGATTAAACATTTCGCAAAATGGAACAAAAGCTACTTGCTCTAAAGTGGATCCAAAGCATCTACTTACCAAATGTATGAATATCCACTTAATATTTTCAAAACTATAAGTTTCTTTTTAAAAATGTTAAGGAAACTAATCCAAAATATGGGTTAATGTTTTTTAGATCAATAAGAAATCTTGCAATTCTCTCTTGGCTTTCAAAATTAGTTTTTCATCATTCAATAATTTTAGTTCCTCCTCGGACCAAAATATCAAGTAGTCTATATCTCTTGGTAAGTTAGAAATTAAATGATACCATTATGATTATCTTAAAATTTATTTGAAAATTAATACCTTCCTAATTAAGATTGGTATAATATATATGTGAGTAGGATTCTATCCTGCCATCCTCCTGCACAATGCTAACAAAAAAATTAAGGATAAGCATCAAAGATTTCTTGAATATCAGAAAAATATGCAATTTTCGTGGTCAACATCAATTCTCTTGGCACTGATACAAGAATTGAATCAGTTTCAATTTTCTGAATAGCTAATCAAATTTGTATTTGAATTTACTTTGTAATCCTAAATAAGGTAAATTGTTTCTTGTTCTAAATTAAGCCAATCGCAAATTATTAATTCTCATCCCTCTTTCTAATAAATAATCGACATATTCTTAAAATTCTTTCTATCCCTCCACTTATATTGCTGAAGCATCTGTTTTGTAGATTCCCTTTATCTGTGTTAATATATGGATGTCATTTATACATTATGAAATAAAGTAGCAATCCTTTTACTAATTGATGTTGTTTATTGCATTTATATAATATTGTGATATTGATAAATAAAATCATGAAAACTAGAGATCTATAATTTATTTTTATATCATGCAAGATCATTTTATAAGTAGTTTCCATAGTCCTTTAAGATAATGAGATAAATGATTATTTAATAATTATTATTATTTACTTAGTTAGAGAGGATGTAGAATAATAAGAAAGCTAAAAGAACAAAATTAACCAAAGAATAAATAGATGTGTTGTAATAAGCATTTACATTGTTTGATACAGATAAATCAGGATCAATTGATGAATCAGAATTAAGAAATGCTATGAAAGTAATCTAAGATTTTAATATTAGGCTCTTGGATTCAATGCTTCTAAAGAAGAAGTTCAAAAGATGGTTGAGTAAATAGACAGAGATGGATCTGGTACAATCGAATTTTAGGAATTCGTTGAAATGATGAAAAAGAAAATGTTGGAGGATAAGAATGTTGAAGTCGAAATAGAAAAAGCATTCAACTATTTTGATGATGACAATGAAGTAATTAACTTTAAATAATTTAGGGTGCCATTGATCTAGAAAAATTAAGAAGAGTTGCAGCTGATTTAGGAGAAGAATGCGATGAGCAAACTTTAAAAGATATGATTTATGCTGCTGATCTTGATTAAGATGGCAAAGTTAGCAAAGATGAATTCATGATGGTTATGAGGAAAATGAAATTAATATGATATATGCTTTAAAATTTCATCAAATACGATCTCCAGCAGCCATTTTTTAAGCAAGAGTTTCCTTAAGGTCTCTTATATTCACATTTAGCAATCCAACCACCTCTGAAACTATATTACGATCATCTGCTCTTGACGTTCTTCTTTAAGTATAGTCATAAGCTGCTTATTAACATTCATTTCTCCTATCTTCCTTCGTATATTCCTTAGATTCAAGTCTGAGATTTAAATCATCTATCTTCTTGTGATTATCTGCCAATCTATCTTTAAGAGATTAAATCAAAGCCTCTAATTCATCTATTTCCTTATCATAAATTTTGAAATCTGTGTTCATAAACTTTTAATATTCTGTATACCATCTTACCCTCTCCTCCTCTGCTTTTCTCTCCACTTACCAGATTTCATCTATTTGCCTAATTAAAGATTCACTCAAATCTATAATATTTCTTAAAACACCTATATTATTTCCATTTTAACTCATCTGAATCATAAAGTCTATTATATCTTAAAAAGGTTTTCCTAATGATTTGAACTTACCAAAACTAACCAGTTGCTTTGTTACCTCTGCAAAAACTTCTGGTCTCACTGTTGTTTTCTCTGTCTGTAACTCCATAAAGTTTGTTCTTAGCTTTTAGGCATATACTAATTTCACTTCTTCTAATGTTTTAATTATCTTTCCCACTTCTCCTCTCTTATCCTCATATACTTTAACTTAATATTCTCTAATAACATCTACTTCATTCATTCCTTTTCTCAAGTTCTTTCTCAAAGCATTTTTCTCATCTAAGATCTTTTTCTTTGATCTAATTAATATTTTTGCTTAACATACTCTATACTAGCTTTCAGTTAATCTATGGCTCCTTAAATCTTTACCTTCAATCTCTTTATATCATCAATCTCATTATTAAGATTGGACAGATCTATATCGCATTTTTATTGAAACTCTCTATTTTCTAAGTCCTCCTCCTTCTAATCTTTTTAATATTTATCTTCTAAATCTTACAGAGTATCTATTATTCTCTAGTAAATAACCACTTTACCTATCCAAAGGAGTATTTGTTTATAATGATAATAATGCTGTTGATAGTAGCGTATGCCCCAATTGTGTTTATAATAAACTCTCTACTCTAGAGCTCAATTTTGTCTCGCATTGTACAATTAACAAGCAAAGGAATAAAGTATAAATAACTTTCATTGAAAATAAAATTATAAAACGAATTTTCAATAAGAAATATTCATTAATACTATTAAGGTACTCTTTAGTCGTTGATATTTAGAGAAGAAAAGCACTGCTGTAAAAACTATATTGATCTTTAATTCCAATTCTTTTTCAATTCTTATAAAGTTCTAATTTTAATTAATAAAAGTGTGATAAATAGATCTTATATCCTTAGCCAAAATTCGATAATTCTATCTTAATTCATATAGGCTAAAGTTATATTGCATAATTTTATCAATATATAAAAACTCTATTAACAATTTTTATTTTTTTCCTTCTATTATTAAGTATTATATCATATGAACTTAACATAAAACTTTAAGAGAAAGTTCTCAAGATTCTGAAGAGATATACATAAATGAATAAAAATAAACCTTAAATTGAATCATATGTTACACGATTTTTTATTAGCTATATGGGCTTATCTAAATTACACTGATGCTATTGTATTGTATTTCTTGAGAGTATAAATTTAATGATTTTGAAATTATCAAAACAAATAATTTTATAGAATAAATTTCACTCAATACAATAAATTATTGGCAAACCCCTTGCTAAATTTAGTTTATTTTGGTTGCTGAACTTAAATCAACGTTGGTCTTCCGTGAGGGCAATTCCATGGAGAAATTAAAGTTGTTAAATTTTTGACTACGTTTTCCATTTCTTTTGCTTGTAAATCTGAACCAACCATTATTGAAGTTCTGCAGGCTTGGGAAGCTAATTTCTGTTTTATTTACGGGATTTCGATTTGATCTAATTTTTTGCCTAAACTCAATTGATCTAGAATTTAGAGCAAAGTATCAGCTCCTAGTTGAATATTACTATAACTGGGGCACGTTTTCACTTTAACACCATTTTCTGTTATCTCTACTTGATATTTGAATTTATCATTGATTTATTATTAATTATCTATCAGTAATTCTAACAGAAATCCTGATAATTTGAGAGTTATTGGTACTATTAACTAGGCTCTATTGAATTTTAATTAATTGATTAATCTTTCGTAATTGTATTTCTCATCACAAGCATGCTAATCAAGAACATATATTTTCTCTGCATGCTCACAAATAATAAATCCCTTATTAAATTAACCAATAATTTATAAGTTATTGAAGTGTTCTTTGAGGAAATGATTTTATTTTGATAGTTATTCAAATTCATCAGCTTCAAATAATTATTTTTCTTCTTTTTGTTAAGCTACTTCATTAAATTTTAATTATAGTTTCTCATTATTCGCTTAAGAAGTTGGTTATTATTATTATTATTATTATTATTATTATTATTATTATTATTATTATTATTATTATTATAAGTCCTATTGTGATTATGTGAATTAAGATTCATTTTAATTAAATTCATTTGGTACATTTTTTTAAGAATTTAAATTCTTAAGTTAGGACAAAAAAGTACTATTTCTTTTTTAAATTTCTTTAGTTTATTAAGGTGGAGGATCTTTTCTTTTTTCTGTTTATGCAATATTTTGTGAAATAACTGATTTTTCTGGCTACTTTGCAGTTGCCATAATAAATTAGTCTAAATTTCCGTCCCTTCCAATAAACTTTAGTTTTTCTTTATTTTTTTCTAAAGTTTCAGTCACGATTTATTCAATGTTTTCAAGAATTAATTTTTCATTTTTCAAATATACATCTCTTTTATCTACACTAACATTAAAATCCGCATCATTTATCTGCCTTAAATTTATTTCTAGGATAAAAAAAAAGTTTCCATTTGGATTATGTTACCGATAGATATCTCTCATTATTTGTAATACTTATTTAGGAGGATTGATAGGTTTTTTATTTATATAACAATACCAAAATGTTTTTCTAGTTTAGCCTTTATAACTTCCACTTTCAATGCTTTTACTTAAAAAGCCATTTAAGGTAAAGTCTTATGAGATCTTTTCAAAAGGGATTAAGTCGTTGGCAATAGAATCCCCTAAAACATTTGTAATCCTTTATTTAATATTTTGATTTGCCAATCCACTATCTAAGATGAGTTTCTTCTTATTTTTCTTTAATAAATTAATAATATTATACTTCTTCCTCATTGTATATTTTAAATTCAACATTTGTATTAATAATAGTATACTCAGTCAATATGTTGATAGCTTTATTATATTCCATTTTGTAATTCTTTTTAAACTCCTATGCTCTGACAGGAAGTGTATAAAATATATTTTCAACTCTAATTGATGTTCCTGTTTATCTGGCTATCTTAGTAGGCTCTTGGGGTATTTCCCATTTCCACCCTAGTTCTTCATCTTTATGCTTGGAAATAATTGTTACGTTTGATAATGTTGCTATTGAATTTAAGGCTTCCCCTCTAAATCCATGAGTGACGACAAACTTAATAAGATAAATGTAATACTTCCAAATCCTCAAAATTTTCTATTTTGCTAGTACCTCCTCTAGTGGCTAGCTATTTTTAGTTGATTGTTGAGATTCCAATTCCATTATCTATTACTTCAAAACCTTCTTTGCCATTATTAAAAAAATTCACAATAATTTATGTTGCCTGAGCATCTATAGAATTCTCAATTAATTCTTTAACAAAACTTGCTAAACTCTAAAGAGTTGAAGATGTTGATATATGTAAAATAGACTCTTAATTTAATTATTTTATCATTAAATTATAATAATATTTAGTATTTCTGATTCATATAATTATACTTGATATTTTTAATATATTCAACATGAATTGAATTACTAAACCATTTCATAGACCATTTTTAAAAGTTTATAAATCATTAAATTTTTTGGTTTTCTATCAATCAAAAATCAGAAATTAAATTTTTCCATTTTTCTTAAATTTTGTACAATGATTGAAGGTCATTAGGTTAATATTTATCAGATGTATAATAAATTTAAAACGAATGTTCAATCAACTCTTAGAATTCAGGAATCAAAAGCTGTTAGTTTAAGCCCTCTCTAATAAAATTCACGAAACTGAATATTTTTAGAAGACTGGAAAGCCTTATTAATATGGGAACAATGAAGAATTTTCCATAGACGGGCAGCAATTAATTGAATTCTATTTCTATGACTATATGCTGCTTTAAGGGTATGTTATTTAGTGTTAAAGTAGATTTCCAAACTAATAAAGTTAATTTAAAAAGCCTAGTGATATTATTTAATTAAGATAGAGATTGATTAATGATAAATATCTATCAGAAATAGCAACCTTGTTAAATCTATAAAATCTAATCAGTGTTGGAAACTAAAAATCATTAAAGTATGAATAATTATAATTATGTTAGAAATAATCCAAAGGTATTGTCAGATTGTATTAAATCAATCATAGGAGCCCATTACTATGACAAGCAAAACGATCTTGAGGTATTGAGAGATCTTATTCACCCAATAATTGCGTAATTATTAAATAAGTATAAAAAAAAAAATATTTCTAGAGGCCAGGAAATAGGTTTAACAAAATGGAAATATAACCCCAAATCATCCTTTTTAGAATTCTTAAATTAGTACAAAGGATAATTAGACATAAACCCTAAACTAACAATAGAATGGAAAAAAGAAGATACTGTTTTAAATTAAAATAATTCTTATTACTAAATAACATTAGAATTAAATAGTAACTCGTAAATTTAAAAAATCGGTATTAATAAAAGAGAAACAGAATAAAATGTATACTAAGAAGCTTTGGTTTATCTTAGAAAATTAAATATAAAGAAAAATGAAAAATAGAAAACTTTAAAAAAATAAACAGACATAAAATAAATCTATGATGAATCTCAACTTTCAACATCCCTCAATTCAACAATAAATAATCAAAATTTATCTATATATTGTTTTACTGATTACAATGAAGATAAATAAAACTTAAATTTTGATTAATAAATTAACCTTATATTGGAGAAGTTGGCATTTGAGTGAAATATTATAACCCAAATCCTGATTGATTCGTTTAGATCTATTTATCTTTAAATTAATCTTTAAATATTTTTAGAAATTCCTTATTGTACTATTGTTTCTTAATCACTGATCTATTACATGGGCTGTTCGAGAAGACAAAATAAGTAAATATTTTTTTATGTCGGATATCAAAAAATTTCAAAATTTTCCCTTTTTATTTTAATTAAATATTTATTTCATCTTTTTATTCTTAATTTGCTTATAAAATTTGTGATTATAATCTCTCAGTTTCTTTATTAAATCGATTATATTAGATAATATGTCACTCCTCACTTCTTACAATTGAAAATTTACAAAAATAATCTTTGTGGTGAATCTTTAGTATAGAATAGCTTCTTTACAATATAATTGGTATATTTGTATATGATTTTATTTTTTCTATTACTTGATTATCCCTAAAAGCTACTCTAAATCCTAATTATCTTCTTGGATTAAGGACTTTTCTGCAATTAATTTTGATTTTTGAACTGCTCTGAATAAAGTAAAGGAGAACAATAGCTCTTTTCTATGAAATAATAAGTAGATTTATCATTATCAAAAGTTATACATCGCTCATGCAAAAGCTGGTGATTCTATTAAAACATAGAAATACTAATTATAAATTTAAATAATATAATGTTTAAAGGGTCTTCAATAAAAATCTTAATAATAGGGCCACCTTAATCAGGAAAATCAAGACTTGCAAATTATATAGCTGATAGAGAAGATATATCGTAAAATGGATACAGACCTACAGCAGGAGTGAGAATTTTAGAATTTGAAAAAGAGGCACCTAAAAATCCTAAGAGACCAGGTTCAGAAAAGGTCATTGTTGAGCTTTGGGATATGAGCGGAGATGCCAAGTTTGTAATTTAAATAAAATAGATTTGACTCTTGTTGGCCTGCAATAATGAAAGATGCTTAAGGAGTTATATGTGTATATAATGCAGAAAATCCTAAACATGAATAAGAATTGGAATAATGGATTAATCAAATATCTAAAAAGGCAGGCATTCCTGCCGCTTAAAATGTTGTATTTGCTCATCATTTGACCGGCAAGGCAATTAAAGGATAATCAAAATTACGTATAATTTAAATTTCTAAATATTTCAGCCAAATCATTAAGTAGTTTGACAGTTCATGATACATCCATTGAAGAAGGAAATTAAACAATCCATCCAGCATTTGAAAAATTTTTTAATTCTTTAATGCTGAGTATTTATGAAAAATAAGAAAAAGAAGAAAATAGACTAATGAATTGATTTTTATGAATTTAACTATCTTGAAAACAAAATATTTTCAATTTAATTTCAATCAAATTTTTGTTTTGGTTTTGAAGAATTTAGTGTTAACAATAAATGTATAGAAATATATTATTATCATATGGCATGATATCTTTAAGCAATATTTTTATTACTTTTTATTTGATTTAACTTAAACTCTAAATAGTTTTATCAATGTGAACTGTTTGTAGATAAAACTAGGAAAGAGATTCAAAAGAAAAACGAAAACATACTATACTTTCCATACATTAAATACAAATGAGAGTTTTCAATTTAATTAATTTCTAATGATTCTATGCTAGTAAACTTAATCTTAGAATGTATATTATGAATTGAATCAACTAAATTTAATGATTTAATATATTTCAACAAGTTTAATTAAATTTAATCTTAACAGAATTAAAAAACTTATATTAAATCAAATCAATAAGGTCAAATATTTCTTTAAAGTAATAATTTACTAAAAAGAAGATTGGAATTGCGAGTTAAAATGCGAATTACATAAAATCTCATGCATATAGTAATCTATTCATTTTTCTTTTTTAATCATAACAAAAAGCCATTAAATATCATTCCAAAAATAATAGTAAGAAGAAAAAGAAGAATTTCGAAAATAGCAGAAACAAGAATCATTTAGCTCTGGTTGATGAAATACTGAATCATTTTAATTAATTAAATATTAAAGAAAATTTATTTATTTTGCAACTACTAGAATTAATAGAAATAAGCTCAAAAATTTATATTCTATAAAAAAAATTTACAGCCAAAACAACATCTGAATCATCACTAAGAAATTATCTATTACATAAATGAAATGGAATAGTAAAAAGAATAAATTCAAGAAAATCCAAATTAAATTCAATTCAAAAAATTGATTTGCTAACGCAAATTAAATCTAAATATTCATTCTTTCATCCTAATTTACTTGAATATCCCCCTTAATATACTTTAGCTAATTTAAATGAATCACTTTTGGAAATAGTCAAGAATTATAATTTGAACAATATTGATACAATATATAATTCAATCTTTTTGAGTAAATAAAGGGATTTTTATTAAAAGTATGATTCTTATTTAATATTTAAAGCGATTGATATAATAGGAGAGAGGGATTAAAAAGAAGAAAATGCAGAGCTAAAAGGCATACGTTTGTGTTTTATTTCTAATGAAATAATAATTATTATTAAATAAATGGAAAAATTGATTAAAATAAATAAGAATACTTTAAAATTGATAAATATATAAATGGTTAATATAGAATAAGATTATATAATGGTTTCAAAATTAAAATCTCACAGTTCTTTTGTAATACATAGATTTAGCTTTTCCTTTTTTTTATTTCAAAATTCCATGATTTGATTGTTATTAATTTAAAGGCTTCATAGATCTTACAGATTTAATTTCATCTCTAATAGAGTCATATGTATGATTTTATTATTTTAGAGAAAACTGCAGTGGAGACTGGCTGTTATCGATACTTTTATTTGATGAAAATGTGCCACATCTTTTTGGATCTCTTGTAGTTTACACTAAACGAGTACTATACTCCAAAGCTCTGCTTTCACGATCAGAACGAACTAATTTTTATTTTTTGGGATTAAATATTTATGAAACATCTGCACCAAGTGATTTCAACTAACTTTTGATCAATTACTTTTATTATTTTACACCTAAAGAGAAATTGGATTTAGAATTATAAACACTTTTCACTTTTTACTTTTAAGGCTTTCTGGTTTCTAAATCTAAATCATAAACTTCATCATTTGTTTCTTCTCTCCCTTGTATATAACAAATTTCATATATAGGTCTTTTAATTTAATTACTATGACATATTGGTTATATAATGTTCAATTAGCATTCTAATTCTCTTTCATTTTCTATTTTCTATTTTTTTATACAACTCTAACCCATAAATATTATAATTAAAAATAGAAATACATTCTTTTTACTTTTAATTTTGAAATAACTTCATATTCAGTAGATATTTCAATGGCATCTAGATAAATATAATATTTTATAGAGAATCATTTATTAGGCAACTTGTATTTTAGATTGAAAATAATAAGTGAAAAAAATAAGGGTCAATATAAGTTCATTCGAACAATTCTTAGAATTTAGTTTGTTAGATAAAAAAAATCCATACATTTTAGTTAAATTTGCTTTTTCAAAGATCTTCTCTTAAGAGGGGGGAATTCAGCAATTGAATGTTAAAACTCAAATTAAAGGTTCTGAATAGATTGATCTTTACTTTCTTTTGTATTTAAAATAAAATAATCATTAACTTGTCTATAGTAAAGTTTAAAATATATAATTTCTAATCTTCACAATAAATATTTATAAAAAATAAGTAAATATAATTTTTTCTGCTGTTTATCAATACTATACTAGGTTTTATATCGAACACGCTGATGTAGCTCAGTCGGCAGAGCGGTTGGCTGTTAACCAACAGGTCGAAGGTTCAAACCCTTCCATTAGCGCTTTTTTCTTTTTTCTGTATAATATAATTTAAATTAAAATTAAAAATGAACATAAGTATACTTGTTTAATATAGACCCATTTATATATTTATTTATAGATTATTAGCATTCTTAATTAGAATATATAATATGTAGAGTTTGAATTTATTTAGATCAGAAATCATTTAAATTTTAAATGATGAGAATTAAGTACTTCCCTACTATATACTAGTTTTTCAACTAATTTGAAATTGATGTTATTATACTATTTTTACCTTAATAGGAGGCTCATAAATAAAATTGTAATCAAAGTAGTTTTGAATTCCTAAAATTCAGATATTATTTATAATTAATAACTAATAGAAATAAAGCCCATTTAAATATTGAATTGATTTTATTACTAAATTAATCTGATCAAGTAATTGTTAGAGCTAATACAAGGAATGATATTATTTTTATCTGATTGGCCAGAATTATCCAATAAGTATATTTGATGAATGTCACATAAAAAAAAAAAAAATATTTTCATGATAAACTGATATTTAAAGACACTTTTTTAGTTGAATCAAGATGATAGTAAACTATTTGTAATCCACATGACTTCAAATTTAAGCTTTGAAATGAATAGAGCTCATAAGTTTTAATTTCAAATCCAAATTTTCAATTATATAAAAATATCCTTGATTGTTAGGCAACCATCTACCAATCATTATTATTTGGCTATCTACTTTGGGTCTGATAAATTAGTGTTTTTATTTACTCATAATTTTTTATAATTTATGAACCTTAAAATTCCTTCTAATCATATACTTCATACTGACACTAATTGCAATATATCTCCACCTCAATATGATTTTACGAAAAAATAAGATCTGTAACTTTAGCAAATAACACCCTCATATTTATTTGCAAATCATTCATTTTAACCAACTCTTAAAATATTGGTTCCTCAAAAAGAATCAATTTTTGGTCATAGAAAAGAAACTTTTATAAATTCAAGTTATCGTGATTATTCTCAAAGAGAATTATATGGAAGCTTATAAAAATATAAAATAGAAAAACAAGATGATGGTCTAGCTCATTTTCGTGGAAGAATAAAATCAATAAAGCAGCATCAATCGCCTTACAAAATAAATTAATAATCGCCTACATCCATTTAAAATATTGAGAGCAAAAAGAAAATCCTTGATCACGTAATTGATGATGTTAGGTTGAATAATATCAAATTGAAAAAGCTCGAGAAATCTCCTTAAGGATAAAACTGTCCTGTGCACAACTTTTACTACCTCAAAAATATGAAATAACTCTAACCTTTCTAAATAGAAAAGTCTGTAAAAGATTTAATGAGGCCATTCCATTAATAAAGAGAGAATTTACTTTCTCCAATTTAAACAGAACGAAGTTTGATATATCCTTAAAGACCTTAAATNTTTATAGATTATTAGCATTCTTAATTAGAATATATAATATGTAGAGTTTGAATTTATTTAGATCAGAAATCATTTAAATTTTAAATGATGAGAATTAAGTACTTCCCTACTATATACTAGTTTTTCAACTAATTTGAAATTGATGTTATTATACTATTTTTACCTTAATAGGAGGCTCATAAATAAAATTGTAATCAAAGTAGTTTTGAATTCCTAAAATTCAGATATTATTTATAATTAATAACTAATAGAAATAAAGCCCATTTAAATATTGAATTGATTTTATTACTAAATTAATCTGATCAAGTAATTGTTAGAGCTAATACAAGGAATGATATTATTTTTATCTGATTGGCCAGAATTATCCAATAAGTATATTTGATGAATGTCACATAAAAAAAAAAAAAATATTTTCATGATAAACTGATATTTAAAGACACTTTTTTAGTTGAATCAAGATGATAGTAAACTATTTGTAATCCACATGACTTCAAATTTAAGCTTTGAAATGAATAGAGCTCATAAGTTTTAATTTCAAATCCAAATTTTCAATTATATAAAAATATCCTTGATTGTTAGGCAACCATCTACCAATCATTATTATTTGGCTATCTACTTTGGGTCTGATAAATTAGTGTTTTTATTTACTCATAATTTTTTATAATTTATGAACCTTAAAATTCCTTCTAATCATATACTTCATACTGACACTAATTGCAATATATCTCCACCTCAATATGATTTTACGAAAAAATAAGATCTGTAACTTTAGCAAATAACACCCTCATATTTATTTGCAAATCATTCATTTTAACCAACTCTTAAAATATTGGTTCCTCAAAAAGAATCAATTTTTGGTCATAGAAAAGAAACTTTTATAAATTCAAGTTATCGTGATTATTCTCAAAGAGAATTATATGGAAGCTTATAAAAATATAAAATAGAAAAACAAGATGATGGTCTAGCTCATTTTCGTGGAAGAATAAAATCAATAAAGCAGCATCAATCGCCTTACAAAATAAATTAATAATCGCCTACATCCATTTAAAATATTGAGAGCAAAAAGAAAATCCTTGATCACGTAATTGATGATGTTAGGTTGAATAATATCAAATTGAAAAAGCTCGAGAAATCTCCTTAAGGATAAAACTGTCCTGTGCACAACTTTTACTACCTCAAAAATATGAAATAACTCTAACCTTTCTAAATAGAAAAGTCTGTAAAAGATTTAATGAGGCCATTCCATTAATAAAGAGAGAATTTACTTTCTCCAATTTAAACAGAACGAAGTTTGATATATCCTTAAAGACCTTAAATATAGAGACCCAAGGAGTTTTTGAACAAATTGAAAAACAGATTGTTGAAGAGAAAAAAAACAATCTTTTTGCAACAATCACAGAATTATGAAGATCCAATTCAAAGAAAACTTAAACATTTTTAAAAAAGCTTATTTGAAAATCAATGTTTGCATACTATATACATTCGTCCTTCAGCAATAAGAATACAAAAGTATAGGATTGAGGATCCTAACAATGAAAGTATTTTGAAAAGATGTTTGAGTTTTAGATGGTGGTGGTAAGAAGCAGATGAAACTGATGAGGAAGTGCAGTTTTTATGGGCAAAAGAAGTCTCGATTTCTTTTTTAAATAAATAAAGATAAAGGCACATAAGTGATAAAATTGAATTTTAGCCTTTTGAATAGATTCTAAAGATATGTGAAGGCGTTGAAGATTAAATGAAATTTGCAATTGAACAAAAACTTTGTTTATTATCTCCTAATATAAAAATACACAATCATATAGATGCAAATAATCCGTTATGGACAAAGAAGAATTTGATTTCTAGATTCTAAAAGTACTGTACTTAAACAAATCAATATTACGGTGATTTCCTTCCATTTTCAATAATAGTGAATAATTTGGGTGAAGAATCATTTTATGATTTTGTTCGGAACTATAAAACTTCTACAGATATTTGGATAGTTTTGAAATGTCAGAATGAAGGAGAGTAGATTTAGTTATGTGAAAATACAAAAAGTGTATTTAACTGTATTTTAAAAGAGTACTAGACTCCAAGTAGAAATCAACAAAGCTTTATTGTCTAATAATATATAAGATCGTTTGTATATCAATAAATAAAATTAGATTTATGCTATTATTTACTGATAACTCAAATAAATGGGATTGTGAGAGCATATTTATTTGAATAATTTTATGGAGAAGAATCATAAATAAATTTCTCTCCATTTGAAAAAGTTTAGTAGTCTAAATCTATCACTCGATCAAATCCAGATTATAGTTCAAATAAGATTTCGATGAAAACCATTTTAGAATATTTTGATGATTGTAGAGTGGATTACGATTATAAAATACTCCCTGAAATAAAAACAAATTTATGTGAATATATAAGATCAGTTTTTATTCAAATGCCAGTCAAGGATCATAATTTTGAAGTAATCATTAAATAAGACTTAGTTACTTTAAGTTAAAATAGTGATTGATAATCAATATAAACCATGGTTAATCGACATCAAACCTACAACAGAATTTGATTAAAGTTAGGATTTCATGAAAGAATTTGCTTAGTAGCTATTTGATAATACAATACAGCTTTCAGTAGATATTTTATTTCCTTCTCCATCCATTTGGCCAAAAGAAAAAAGGAAATTAATTGATATATATTCAGAATAAAACGATTTTGCTATTGTATTTGACTCTAGAATGGATGGCTAAGGTTTAAAATCATTATTTGAAGAAAAATAGCCTGAAAGCCATAATGATAATGATGATGAATTTTGATTTACAATTTTCTTATATTGAGATATATAAACTAAAAGTAATTTAATCATTTTGCAAACATCATTAGTTATATAAGATTATCATTGGGTAGATTAAATCTAACGCTTTTCCTGAATGTACACTTACACTTCTTTTTTGCCTCTTATTCAAATCATCATATGAACTTTGATATTTTAGAATTCCTTTCTTAACAAAGCTAGCAGTTTCTTGTCTTAAAGTAGTTTGAGAACATTATGTTTCTCCTGAATTTAATTTAGTTTGGGAGCATTCTTTGATTTTAATTTTTTTTTCAGGTATTGATCTCAATTAAGAGTCAATCTTAAGTTCTTATGGAAGGTGATCAATTGTTCTTGATCTGTAATTTCTTTCTTCATTTAAAACCAATGATTTATTATTGGATATGCTAGCAGCCAGAATTTATTGTGTATGAATAGTAGATTTTTCGAGCTTTTAATAAAACACATTATCTAAATAATTCTTTGTTTTTATTAAAATTTCATAATTTGTAAGTCTAGATCTAATAGGAGGTGTTTCCAATTAATTTAAATCTTTTTCATAACAGTTTAAAAACCTAAGTGAGTTTTTCATTAATTTTTATATAAATTTAACATATTATATTTGGGAATAAATTTGTTAAATAATAAATTATCCAAATTTAGCACAGATAAACTACTATTATATTTTTAAACAATTTTCATAATTCAATATTTTTTCCGATGTTTAAGCATAAATCTACATCTATATTTGTTTAGTTTTCTTAAATCGCTTAATACTTAATAATATTCAACTTACAATAAATAAATATTGCATAACGCTTTCTTTAGCATTATTATCATTTTCATTTTGATTGTTTGTAGTTTTTCTACTAATTATTAAGATTCAGGTTTTGTGTTAAGCTTAATTATCAACAAAAATAGAAATTGTTATTTCATTCCAAGATTTTCAATGAATTTTGCACAAAAACTTTAATATCTTAATTCTAAGTAACTGCCAAGACCTACTTGAAATTCAACCGACTTCTTTACATAGGAAAATATATTAATAGTCAATAGCTAGATTAAAGTTGGTAAGTGAGAAGGACTTAGAGTCATGGTATAAGGATATAGAAATTGATCCAAATCTGCTAATATATTATTAAATTTCTTTTAACCCATCCAAATAATTATTTAATAGCAATTGTCTTTAAGTAATCTCTAAAGCATCGTACAGTACCGAAAGCTATTATAATTTAGCGTTAGAAATACTAATTCATTAGTAGGATTGGTGTAAATAATATTTAAATTTTTTTATGGATTATGACCTGAGTAATTAATATACTAGCATTAATTATGAATTTTATTCTTTGATATTAAATGAATTGATTAGCTTTACATAAAATATAGATCTTAATAAATTCGTAAGATATTGAGTTTAAAGTAATTATAATCTGAAATTTATTTGATTTTTTAAGAAAACTTGGATAAGAATATTAAGAATGTATAAAAATTAATAATATATATCATATAACATTGATTAAACTCTTTAAATAACTTTATTTACTTGAAAGATTTGTTAATTTATTCCATTCTTCATATTCAATATCAACTATGTGGTAATTTCCTGATTTAAGATGCCTATTAATGTGCTTCATTAGTACCTTAAAACCGTTTGATGGTTTGGGCTATATCCGATAAGTTATTATTAAAGATTCATGATAAAATGCAACGGACCATTGCAATTTATTATGATATTATTTGGTAAAAGAAAATCAACATTATAAATAAGAATTCTTTCTTGAGAATTAAATTTTATATTTAATGTTTTGAGGACATTAAGAACTTTAAGCTCCAAACTTGTTAATTTCTCTCTATTTTCTTCTATTGGGATTTTCAAGAAATTAACATTTTAGTACTCATAATAATCTACTTTTTGAAATCCAGTTCTTTTATCAATAACTCTTCTAGCAATTCTATAAATCCTTTCTAATTTTTGGAAATGCGGATAAAATTAATTTTATTCCGAAGGTTTGGCATCTTAATAGTTTTAACCAATTACTTCTGGGAATAAATTGAACATCAATTAACAATAACGAGAATTGAATTAGTTAGAGTAATTTTGGATAGTTTCCTTTTTTTGATCCATAAATTGCTTTAAAAGATTTTCAATTATTTAGGACGACACCAAGTTCTCATGATATAGCCTAGTTTGTATTAGTAGATAAACGATTTAATCAAAATGATCCATAAATTCAAATTGATTGTTTAGTTGATCTGAAATGATTGCGAATAATGGATGATTTTCCATTCTCAATTTTTAGAGATTATGTACAATAAATAATCTGTCTCTTATATTTATAGATGGCAGATTTTATTGAATCACCTGACAGATTGATTTTATAAGTTTTTCATCATAAATGTATAAATTGCTTAATCCCGCTAATAAGGGGAGCTATTATTCCAGATTCATGGAATTTATAAAATTGTTATTTTGATTAAGTAATTCGATTACTCTAAACTTAGCAGAATCTCCAAGAAATCTTCTTTCATTGCTTAAAGATAAGAAATAAATGTAATGAATCATCTCAGTTTTATTGCAAATAGGAAAAGTGAATCTTTTACCTAAATAGAAGTAAAGTTATTGTTCTGAAAGAATTGAAAACTTTTTCATCAAATAGGACTTGCTAGCAAGAAAATATGTATTCATTTTAAATATAATATTAATCAAAATTCTTATTATTAATGCTAAATTTCAATTCTTGAGAATCTCTCCTATACCACCTCCTCGCGATCATCTAAATTGAATTGCTCTATTCCATCTTATTTAGTGATATCAATCCATCATCAAAAATCAGACAGATGAGCTGCTTTATGACATTATAATTATTCTCTCTTGAAGGCATATATTTAATCAATATATTGATAATAACGACACCTATAATCACTGGATATTTCAATTCCTATACCATTTTCTTATATACAACTTTAAATCTCTTGTATGATCATATATCCTCCAAACACAAAATATAATGTTGAATGCACTACAAGCCTTATGAACTACGACTTTGATCTCAAAAAAAATCCTAATTTCTTCTCTTCAATTTATACTAATGGTCATGCTTAAAATTCAAACAATTTAACTAAGTATACTATTTATACTATTAATTAAACAAAATATTACCAATAGAATTTACGCATAACTTTGTTCAAATCCTTCAGACTTTTACATTTAACGATTTGAGCACATTCGAATTTAAGAATTCAGGATAGTATCTGATGCTGTCCCAGCAGTAGTCATGCATTATGCCACTTCTAGTTCCTTATTGGTATCTTCCTGATTCATTATAATGCCAGTTAAATAACGTTTATAAATTTTCTTCTTAATTATTGGATATTTGATCATATTTAAAATAATTCACATGTGCCTTACAAGTAGATCAATTAACAAGATTAACTAGAGCAGTCATGCCAGCAGTAAAGATATCGGATAGAAGTCTGAAACCTTGAGGCAAGTCAAAATCACAACCAACCATGAGTGAAAGTGTTAATCCAAACCGTGACTTAAGCCTCTAGAAGCGAAGACTATTAGTTCAGGTTGGGACATAGGATATCCATACTTCTTATGTAACGGCAGAAATGAAATTACCACTAAGATATCTAAAGATGATCATAAAGATATAAAAAAATTATCATCCTAAAGAATTAGTAAAGGATAAATATCTTTCTACAATAACTTCATTTCCAACAATCATCCCAACTTACAAAACTACTGTGATATCACATGAATGCTATAAAAACTCCAAACAGTATGAAAGGCATGTTCACTTTCTGATCTAAAACTAGCTTTTCCAAAGTCACTCCAAAACAAACCTAATGACAAAACTGCAAGTAATTCACTATTCTTAAAATATTCCGCTCAATAGAAGGTAAGATAAGTAAATTAAATACCAATGTTAATCATTAACATCATCTCCAACTATTCTTCTTGTCCATAATGCTCTGGAGACTCCAACGACTACTCCAATAACTAAGCAATTTCTAGAGAAATTCTATATAACTCCACCAAATGATATTCCACCTCCAATACCTGCAGCTGTCTTGAATAATCTATTGAAACGTATAAAAATGACCATAGTTACTACATCTTTATGTTACACTTTTCCTTTAATAAGTTTGTTGAATGCTGCAGCGACTCCTAACTCCTTCAGCAAGGCAACAACTGTCAAATAAGAATAAATTGAATATAAATCCTGAAAGTATGGCTCCTTAAAGGATAAAAATAAAGTTTTACCCAACCAACTCCAAGTCCTGACAGAAATAAGATACTCACCATTAATAGTTTGAATACAACCAATCATAGTTGAAAGCAGATTCAAAAGGTAGAATAAATATCAAAGCATACAAAATTAAATGAGGATTTATACGACTAATTATACTTGCACTTTGTCCTAAAAATATCCAAGTGAACTTTACAATAGAACAATCAATAACCCTCAAGGCAGTATCATAGGCGAATAAGGGAATCTAGATCATAAACATGTATACTAAGTTTTTTTAATCTCCTCTCTCAAATGAGTCCCTATAAGAATACATAGAGTAACTAAGTATGTCGCGTTAGCTGACTCTTCCATTTTCTCCACATCTCTAAACAGGGTGTCTTGAAGGATAGCAATCTCCCCTTTTGAATTAATACCAGTAGAAGATCCTCTATATCTTCCGCTCCTATTAATAATATTTATTAATTAGGTTAATTAAAAAATAATTATATAAATGTATAAATCATTTGATTTTTAACAGTTTTCTGATTTCTTCAGCTGACAAAGTCTCCTTCTTGACTAATTCAGTTGCCAACTCTTTAAGTTTGCCTTCATTTGTTTTCAATAGGGTCTTGACTCGGTTATAAGATTCCTTTTCTATACTAATAAAATACTTCCAAAATCTTCTTGACCTCCATATCGACCATGTAATCGAATTGATCACTCGTTTTAACTCTGTCACTTTGAACAGAAATCAAGGAAATCTTATCATCCATGCCTAATTACTTCACAAACATATAGGCCAAATCTGTTGCTTTGGCCAAATCATTGCTACATCCGCTGGTAATGTCATCCTTTCCAAGAAAGAGATCTTCGGCAGCTCTTCCTCCCATAGCCACATCTATCGATGCAATTATTCCTCTCCTTGTGTAATTCAACTAATCCTTCTCTGGTAACATAGCTGTCTATTAGGAAAGTCAAACAAAATATATACAAATCCTAAGGCTCCTCCTCTAGGCAAAATTGTTACTTTATGTAATGGCATAGCTCCATCTGTTAATAGACTAGTGAGTGCATGTCCTCCCTCATGATAAGCCGTCATTAACTTCTCTTTATCACTCACATGCATATTCTTTCTTCCTATTCCCATAGATATTCTATCAATAGCAAATTCAAAGTCTTCAGTTGTGGCTATCTGTCTGTCATATTTGATAGCATTCAAAATTGCAACATTGACCATATTTTGAATGTCAGCGCCACTGAATCCGCTTGTTTGTCTGGCCAAATTGGTTGCCAAGACTTTGGTTTCATCAAACTTAATCTTCTTTAAATAGTAAGAAAAGATTTATTCTCTTCCCTTTACATCAGGCAATGGCACATGAATCATCTTATCGAATCTGCCTGGTCGTTTTAAGGCTGGATCCAAGACCTATCACTATAATAATCCTTATTACTTATTCAAAGTTTGTGGCTCCAATCACAATAACACTCTCTGTCTATTTGAATCCATCCATCTCTGTAAGAATTTAATTAATAGTATCTCTTGAATACCCTGGATCTTAGGCCCTTCTTCTTCCTCCTATACTGTCTATCTCATCTATAAAGATGATTGCAGGAGCCTTTGCTCTTGCAGCTTTAAATATGTCTCTCACTCTAGAGGCACCTACACCAACAAACATCTCATCGAATTCAGATCCTGATTTGTAAAAGAATGCACATCCAGCTTCGCCAGCCAATGCTCTTGCCAATAGAGTTTTCCCTGTTCCAGGAGGGCCTACCAATAATATTCCTTTTGGTAGTTTTGCTCCTGAATCAGTGTATTTTTTGGGATTCTTCAAAAATTCAACTATCTCTTCCAACTCCTCTTTGAATTCATCAATTCCCAATACATCATTAAAACGAGTGGGAATGTTTCTCTCCTCTTGAACACTTTGATTGTTTCTCAAAATGTTATAAAATCGATCCATTCTACCCACTCCCTATTCAGGAGTCTCCTTTTGATTATTATCATTCTTTGGTTTTGTTTGATTAGGTTAAAAATAGTAAAATAATTGATATATTATGGCAGCCGTGATAAGTAATTGGATTACTCCTGGCAATATCAATGATTTGCGTTTATCAGAATACAAGTTGGATTTTAGATTGGTAATAGCAATGCCATATTACTCTTATAATTGTTAATGTTGTTTAGGGGTTGCACTTTCCCTGAAGTCATCTAGAGGTCAACCCATATATGATACCTGTTTACTTGAATATTTGAAGTGCTTCCTCATACATTTACATGCGGTTTAATTATCTCACATATTTGTAAGCTTTTTCAGGATTCTAAGGATCTGAGGAAAAATCCTTTTGCAGTAATCGCAAGGTCTAAATATTTTGCTGATTGACTAGGAAGGTGGAGTCTGCATGGATAAAAGGGGAGAAATCGAATTTATGATCTGGGATGTTCACAGATTTCTTGATGAGATCATCTTTATTCAATTGAAATGGGCTTTGCAGAAACTTCATCGTAGGCTCTTAAGTTATTTGCAAAATGATTACTTCTAAATCTAAAAAGTGATTTATACACAAATCCCCAAAGAATCTACTTTCAGAATGAATATATTTACCGGTCCTTTCATTTAATATAAAGCACAAATAAAATATAATTAATGAATCTCGATAGTGCAGCTGACTTTTGTCCACAATGCCATTTCATGCTAGAACTCCCAGAAGTCATGGATATAATTGAGTGCAATCGTTGTGGATATAAGGTATCCAATCCACCCTATCAACCAAGTGCTCCATTACTGATTATCAACCTAAATACATCATCTCAACCATCAAAATGGAACCAAAGTCCTGGCTATCCAATCAACAAGACTCTAAATTATCTGATCAATCACACAGAGCTGTTATTCAACAAGCCTGTCCTAAATGCAGTCATGAGGAAGCCTACTTTTCAACAGCACAATTGAGATCAGCAGATGAAGGATCCACTGTATTCTATGAATGCGTTAAATGCCAGTTCCGCTATCAATTAAATAATTGAGTTCAAAGTGTTTATTTAATGTATATATACGATTCATATAAGTAACTTAAACAATAATATATTAAGAAATGTATTGCAACATTACACATTCCAATAATTCAAAGTGGAAGAGGCAATATTTAAAATATTTTTGCAATTGAAAATTTGTATCACATTAACAACACAAATCTAATCTATTTAGATATTTCTATAATAAATAGATGCCTACTAATAAATATACAAATTAAACTAAATTATAAATGTTCCCTATTCTGAAGGCGTCAATTGATTTCTATCTCTCCTCTAATAATCAATATGGATGAGACTTTATTGAAGGCAATCTGAAATTCAAAAATATGAATGCGAATAAATAACAAAATTAAAATTAATATTAACAAATACATTATAATTAATTTGCTTTGATGTTTTATAATAATATAAAATTAGAATTATTTCATTCTTATTATTCAGGGGGCTATGGAATCTTTACCATCTCTTTGTTCTTTAAACAATACATGGCTATGAATTCAAGAGGATCTTTGGGCCTCTCTATGTCCACTAATTATAAAGCAGGCATCAACAATGGCAAGATTGTCTTTCGTAGGTAATCAGCATCAGAACATTCTTCCAACAATTCCCAATCAGTCTTCTTGGGTATTTCAGCTTATTCTTCAGGGATTCCCTTCTCTATTCTTTCAATTTCCTCATTTCTATTTCTTTCACATATTTCAATTTGTTTTATGAAGTAATCAGGATCTTTGATAACATCCAAAATGTCCACATGTACTAAGTACTTATTCAAACACTTCTTTCTACTTAGATTTTCCAATGTCACACAGTCTGTTACTTAAACTAAGTTATTTTCATTTCTAATTATTAAGTATGAATTACTCTTGAATTCCATCATCAAAAAATATGTGAAGTGTATCAGGATCTTATTAATCAACATACAACTATTTAGCATTCTATTCACTTGGTTATGCTTAATAAAAGTGATAATCATCAACGTAGCACAAAGCACAACTTTCCTTCAACGATTCTGTAATCTTTAAGAGCATTTATGTTTCATTGTATATTTAGACTTATTCTTCTTCCAATTCCTTTTCATATCCATCTTCCAATTGTTATTTGTCAGTTCTTCTCAAAGTTCCTGTCACCAATTAATTTTATTGTCTATAAACTAAGGCACATTGTTTATCCAAAATGATATAATTCTTAGTCCCTTTTGATCCATCAAATTTAACTATGGGAGTGTTATTTCTACCACTAAAACATGGATGTTCTCCTAAGCAAAATTTATTAAATTCTCTCAAAATGTTTTTTGGATCTGTTCCAAATGGTCGAAATACTATTGCAAATTCTCTCTTTTATTTTTTCAAATTGATTATTGTCTTATAAAATGTAGGCAACAATTGATATTTATTATCTGAAAATAAATTATTTAGCATATCCTTGTCCGATAACAATTAATTTAGATTTCTTTACTTAACCTCATCCTCATTTAAGAATCCAAATTCCTCAGCTTATTACTTTAATTCTTCAATCACAGCCTTAGGCAACGTCTAATACATGTTAATGATGCAAACTATACAATCAATTTGACAATCCTGTCATATTCTGGTTTCAACTTCATACAAGGTTACCCTAATTTAACAAACTGAAAATATAATTGCTTGCGTTGTTCTCTAGAATAAATTATTAATCTCTCTTACATGGCACTGTTATTATATTCTGTAATATCATCTGGATCTCCTTCTGTTTTGAGTGGAAATTATTAACATATGTATTCCTTATATGAAATCATATCTTCACTAGGTCTGATTGGAGTGAAGTTGTTTGTTAATAATTTCCATAGGACTGGGGATTTCTCATCCCTCTATTCTAATTTACCCCATGCATATCCAACCAGAATTTCTTATAACTAAAACAAAAGATTTCTTTTCATACACATTCTTCTTTGGTTTGAGTTGTATATTTGGAATCCGCCAACAGTATAGTTTTATTCAAATCGAAATGTAGCACTAATTTTTTTTGCTGTTTCATAATTTAATATATATTATTTAATTATATTTCATTTGAGTGTTTGAAACACAGACATTTTTTATTATTTCTTTTTAAAAGAAAATTAATCGAGCACGCTTTTCTTCTTCGTGTTAACCAAACCTTTGGTTGAATTCATTTTGTTCTACTCCTCTTCATATTGAGCAATCAATCCCAAATAATATTGAGTACTATTTTGTAGTTCCTACATAGTTGTTGATGAATACTTCTTTTGGATCTGATCCAGAATTTCGTTTTCTCTGCAATTCAATCATGTAGAGACAAGTTTTATATTTCGACTTCCTTTTATCATAAATTATTTTAACTTCCGAAGCCACAGTGGGGAATTCCTTAAGGAGATTCCTAAAAATATCGTATGAACAGAAGAATCTATAGATTTTGATAATACAAATTACAAATTGGTTGGTTCTTTGGCAATGGCAAAATACTCTCTGTTGATGTCTTCAAATGCTTCGATTTCCCCAAAGAATGATGCTTCCAAAAGGGTAATCAACGTGTATTTGTCATGAGTAACAAAATTGACTTTTCCCTTTTCAATGAAGTAAATGTCTGTTGGAGGGTCGTCCTGTCTATAGATGATCTCTCCAGGGTGAACTTCTAAGAAATTGAGATGAGGTAGTATGGTGGCTGTGAAATTCTTATCTATTTTGAGCAAGGAGACACTATCAATCAAGTACTTATAGCAAATCATCAACAATTCATTACGAATTTATGATGGGAGTTCTTAAATCAATTTTTTAGGATCGAGAGAAGAATACACATTTTTCAAGTAGTTATTTCTATAATACTTGTGTACTTTGCATTTCAAAGCATATGGCAATTTCACTCTCACTGAGAAATCATTAAACAAATGCATTCTTCTCTCAAAATCCACCCACTTTTTGTCAACGTTTTCCAAAATAGATGACAATTTTCCCAATGTATATGAAAAGAACCCAGTTCCAAAGATCATCCAAATTATGGCAAACACTCGTTCTTCAATAGTAGTAGCCTTAATATCGCCGTAACCTACAGTTGTGAGAGTCTGCAAACTCCATTCAAAAGCAGCAATATATTTGTTATATAGTGTTGCATCTTCGAGGTTAGCTTAAGCAACCCATGTATCGGGATCGAATTCATTGAACTTTGCTATGAAATACCAAAAACAGGCAATGAGATGATTGATTAATAGGATTTTGCCCAAGAGAATCAGTCCCTTGATGATGCCTTCATTGATTCCTAGGTAAGATAGGATTCTGGCTGCCTATGTTTTGTTTTTAATGTTCAGGTTTGCTTTTGATATCTTCAGTAAACGAACCAGTCTGTAAAGTCGAGGCAATCGAATCAGTCTCAGCAATTTGTTGTATCTAAGGGCTGCAGTATCAGTATTGTCATCTAGAAAATATGTAATTGGCAAGACTGCAATAACATCGACTGAAAACCATCCATACAAATATTATTTGGCTATCATTCTATAATTGTCAACAATTTTCTGTTCCTCATCATAGAATGCACTCAAAAAGTTGATGATTATATCGGCAAAGAACAAAACATCAAATATAACATCCACCCAAAACCAAAAACCTTCGTTTCCAGAATCAATCTATTAATAGTAATGTAAATTCATACGAAACAAACTTTAAATGGAGTTATGACTGCAGTGGCCAATAATAAAAATATCAACAACATATTCCAAACTGTTTTAAATTGTTCATCTGGGTAAAATACGTATACCTTCTTTTCTTCTTAGTTTGATTTAAAAACTTCATCCTCTATCAAATCCATGTGATCATCCTATCTAATTGCTCCGTAAATCTTGACTCTATTTTAAAAAGATCTCATTATTCCTATAAAATAAGAAGCCAGAAACACTCTTCTCCAAATTGTAACTAATCTTTGTCTCTTCTCTGGATTGAGCTTCCTATAAAATGCGAAATTCTAAAGAAAATCTAATTTCCTAAAGAACACATTAAATACTGTGATCTAAGGATTAATCATATTTATTCGATTAAAATATAACCACCATTATTCTAACTAAAATCGATAATATGTCAATATATAATCAATTCTAATAGGAACTCTATCTGACTCTCTATGCCATCTCTGGAGGTAACTTATTCGGTGGCCCTTGTTTTGATCCAAATTCTTTCTAATGAGTTTAATAATCATTTCTACAATATCCTAATTAAAAGTGATGAGTCCTCAAATCCTAAAAGGTGTATGGAGAATAAAACTTACTTTTTTCATTTCTGCATCCATCTTACTTGGCTATCCATGAGGATTCTTAAATTATGCCTTTGCCACTGATTCTGTTGTGTCTTCATCAGTTCCGAATTTAAAGTGATGTTTCCTCAATTCAGCTTAGACTTCTTCCTACAATTTTCCTGGTTTCGAATGGAAATCTCTGAACCTTGCTTAAGCTTCACTCTAATAACTCAATTTATCATTTCCAATCATGATATTCTTAGAATTATCCACTATTGGATTAACTTTCTCAGCCTTCTATCCATCAAATTATTGATTATATGTGCTTTTATAATGTTCTTAAATTGTAGGTCTGACAACTTCATCTTTAAGATCAAAATGATTTGATTGAAATTAAGGATTCCTAACCTATTCTTATTGTCCTTTTCGATCTGAGAATTAGGATCTGTAAGCTGATTGATAATTGACAGCTTATTCATTTCCTACTTAGAAATGAGTTGCTCTTAAGTCCTTTAATTGTGCCTCATTTAATATGGATCTATCCCCTTGGTTTCCTACATGGGATGCCTTGGCCTAACTTGTGTAATCTACTCTGTCTGTACCCATTGTTATATGTGTGTTTCTAACTAATTGTTAGGTTTTGTCTTGGAAATTGTTCACTTGCAATTATGGTTTCCCATATATAGCTTAATTTTGGGTTGTGTAACCGTTGTCATCTCTTCCCATAACCAGATGAGTTTTTCTTAATTGCACATTCATTTCTGCCATTCTTTCTTTTGTGTATCCCTAACCTAACAACGCCTTGTCATATTGTTTGTTATGCACTGTATCATACATCGAGGAGTAGTAATTATTCGTATCCCCAAAGTCGTGATGATGTTTACGTAAATCTGCATTGTCAGCCTTCTTAAAATTGTTTTTGCCTTAATTCCCAAAATTCTATTCATATTCAGTTGGCTTATTGATATCATGGTAACCTAATTAGAAATGATGGGATCGTAAATCCTTCTTGGTTTCATCACTTAATTTTGCAACAGCTGCACTCTAAGGTCTTTAATAGTCAGATTTTTAAATGGACTCTAATTTCGGTTTATCATCTCCCAAATGAAAATGATTTTGTTGCAATTTCGGAGCCTATATTGGCTGCTGGGGCTACTGTTGTTCCAACTTTTAATCCTTCTCCACAACAGATGTCATAGGTCTCACTTTAGCAGTCTTCTACATCGGCATAGGTTGCTTTGCCACAGATTGATGATTTGTGTCTTCATCAAATCCAAAGTAAAAGTGAGCTTTCCTCAATTCTTAAACATGCTTTAATCTCTCAGCAGTTGCATTTGAACTCATGTTATTTATTATTTAATCTGTTATTCAAACAATATTAAATTATATTAACTAAAATCCAATATAACTCAATTAAACACCACTAAGTTCAGAATGTATAATTCACTGGAATCACATTCAATTAGCCATAACAATATAAATTTAACTCTAGTTTATTAAATACTCTTAGTGTAAATGGGCATCTCGAAAAAATAAAAGAAAAGGGATCACGACTTGGAAGTATTAATTATCACATATGATCAAAAGACTAAATACATACCAAATGATTTTGGGCATTTTACTCAAAATAATTGATGGTTGCATTCTTTTCATCAATCAACCACTCAAATTCTAGATCTTTTGTATAGGTTAAAAAAGGGAATAATTTTAAAGAAATATCCAATTGAATTACAAATTGCAAATATATATAATAATGATCCCTCTTCAATATCTTTTTCTCTTTCCTTATAATTTTATATAAACAATAGAAATAGTATTTCTTTGTCTTGACAATATAACCTCTTAGAATTGGTTAATGATAATAAATGATATCTATTTTATGTAATTATTAATGAACTTAAAATAGCATACTTTATATATTGTTCAATGATAATATTAATCAATAAATTAAATAAAAATTTAAGTTTGAAAGAACTACTTCCAAATTACTTTATCTGCATTAATAGTGCCCATGTTTTATAAGGTTTTTGCTGCTATTTTCTCATAATCTAGAATTAATTTATTAGTTTTCTTAGATGCTGAATTTGTATTCTGTCTAATTGGTTCTATAGGGATATTTCTTATAACTCTTGCATGGAACAACTAATTAAAAATTTACAAGCATTAACTGTAATTGCTATGATTTGACTGTACCGTTTAAAAGTAGGAATCCAATCTTCCTAATAGATATGTCATTAATTCTGCTGATAATAAAGGAATGGCATCTGTGTTTCCAAATTATATCTATAGTTTGCTATCCAAGTTAATAAAAATAGTATTCTAAAATTTATCTATTAGTCCTTGACTCTAGAGAGTAGAAAAATTCTAGGTTTATCAATCACAATTACACATTCTAAACCTGCAATTATTGGCACTGGGCTTCCTAAGTATACTATGTTTTCCAACGGCAAGTTACTTATGATAGGATGGATCCAAGCAAACGGTTTAAGCAAATACTTTTAGCACAATAAACAAGCAGCAGTGGACAATTAGGGCGATTTACTAACAAATACAATTGATTTTTCTATTAAACAACTTACAAATATTTTGATCAGACTTTATGAATTCAATTTCTTAAATAATTGTGGAATTCCCTAATATTTCAAATATTAATACCCATAAGATATTATCACTTTCACTTATTTTTAGTTCTTGATTATTAATGGTAATGAAATTCGGAGGATTCTTCTAAGTAAGCTAAGACAAGATCCTAAAACTTATTGAAGCAATGTTCTTATCAAAGAAATTGGTGTCTGCTTAGGTAATGTTTTTTGTTCTTAAATACAGATTAGTCCTCATGCATCTCAACTAAGACAATATTACAATTAGAATTTGTTAATAGAAGTCAATTAGATATCTGCTAGTTGAAAAACAGATGGCTCTTTTGCTGAATCTGACTGATTCTGGATTTATAATGGTAAAGTCAGTGTAACGATAACAAATATGGTACTTCAACTGTTGTTACTCAGTTTGTTTAGTGAGAATAACAAAGCAATTAGAAGAATCTATTGAATAATTTTGGTTCATCATTAGATTGATATCTTCGAGGCTGAAGGACAATGGTATGACTTTGGGTTTGCATCCATCTGGGAATATGAATTTTGATATTTGGAGTATATATTATTGATTTCCTAGTTTATTGACAGATATTTACTAACTTAGTTGTATGAGTAAATCACTTATGGGTCATTGGACAATTCTAGTCCCAATCCTAAAATGAATAAATCATCGAATAATTAATCATTGTTTCTTAAGAGCTTTAAATTGTCGGTCGTGACGTTTTAGATATCAAATGAGTCCAAGACTTTCTGTTTTAAGTATTGAGTGGATTGTCTAAATTAGGACACATTAAAATTATTGCTTTCCTAGAGAGGAGCCTTTAATTTAATCTTCTTGCCTGAACTTTAAAACTATTCCACTCGACTATCACTAATCGCAGGTTCTGAATTCTCGTCCAGATTGCAATCTTCATCAGAAGAAAGATTTTGAATAATAATTGATTATTTTTGGCTTTTGAGTATTTAAACCTCTTGTCTACTAAATTCCAATTGCTATTCAAGTGCTTATATATAACAATCCTTTTCATACAGTAATTGTAGTAATTGTCTTTGAGATAAGTGATCCATAATAAAAAAACAAATATTTATTAAAATTACTCAAATTTAAATTGAAATACCATTAGTCGTTGGTTAATTATTTTCAAACTAGCCTTATAATATTATATAATTCTTACCTATAAATAAATTCTTATTCTTTTTGAGATGACCCAAGCCACTCCTGACTCCATCCTTAAAACCACCTCTATAAACGTCATTCTTAGTGATTTCAATACCATAGCCTTGTTTTTTGTCATTAGAGAAATACCCAATAAATTTGTATTCGCCTTTTTTAAAGCACAACCCAAGACCTTGTTTGCCGTTGTTTGAGTACTGTCCATAGTAGAGCGAGTCCTGCATCTGAATGGGTTGGAGCTACATATTGGTAAATAATGGAAGTACATTAAGTAAGTCAGAATAAGAGAGCTTAGGATCTTTCGTAAGATTGGCAGATATGTCTATTCCTAGGAATTTATCATCGAACCATTCTCCAATTAGGGGTTGCTAATTCATTTAAATGAAAATTCCCATATGGTGTTTTCGACCAAGCAGCCAGAATCCTTCATAATAGTCTTTATTTTTGTAATACATGCGGCCAAAACCGCACTATTTCCCAGCAAACCATTATCCCTAATATGTTCCCTCTTCCACTTCAATTGGTCTCTCAATTCGACATTTGTTATAAATGATATAGAGAGTTTTGGAGAGAGGATGTGAGTTTAAATTATTTTACGAAGTCTAAATTGGTAAATCTGCATCAAAATCTTTCTTGGACTAACTGACGGTAACCTAATTTTCTTGCCGAGTAAATTCATCAGTAAATTCTAATTATAAATTTGGAAGAGGTATTGATTAAAATTCTTCAGAGCATATACGTGTATCTTGAGATTCGCAATTACCCATGATAGATTTTAGAAAAATAGTAAATATTAAATAAAATATATTTTTTATCATTATCTTTGATCATGTTTGAGTAACTTACGTAAATAGCTTTAATTATATAAAATGGAAAATTGTTGGGCTTGATGAAGGTATTTCATTGGATCCTTTTAAATTTCAGAAAACAATCTTATTGAATATAAATATTCTAATACAAAGGATATGTAGAAGGTGATGGAGACACTTTCTGAGAAATAACTTAAGGCTGCGATTTTTCTATGTGAGTTCTTTTGGTGACAAATTGATTGATTGGTTTATTTGATAAAATGTCATTTAATAAATATTGCTGAGATTTTCTGACATTCTGAGGAAATTTGGTAAGCACAGTTTTCTTTTGCAACATCAAAGAATGCTTTGGAGAAGGAATCTTCGGAGGAGAATATAGCAATTATGAATTGTTCTTTGAAAACAACATCTTGTTAGCATCCACTTTCTCATTTTGCCTGATAGCAGAATATGATCTTATTAATCTCCTATTGGTCTTAATGCATATTTTCCCATCATTCTCCATCTGGAATTATAAAATTGAGTAAGATTTCTGTTTAACTAGATGCTGATTGGCCTCTCTCTGCTTCTGAATTCTCGAAATTCTCTACTGGGCTTTTATTAAACTCTGATTAGAATTCGATCTCTTCTAATGCAATAAATTCATTTTAAATATTATTGATTTAATAATAAATTCATGTCTGAAACTAAATTTGTTGATGAAAATTCATTACTTGGAATTGCAGCTACATTTTGGCAATAATATTCAACTAAGACTCCATAAAAATTGAAAATCATGGATGCTTTTTCTTTGTATTGCTTCATTTTAGTGATAATTCAATTGTTTTATTGTGCATTGGTAGGTGACTTCCCAAGAAACTCATTTCTATCTGGCGTATTTGCAGCAGCTGGAGCCATGATAATAAATAGTATGCATTTCAAATTTCATCATTAGTATGTTTGAGGAAATAATTGAATCCCGAAACCAAATATATGAGCATTTCCAATGAGAGAGCCTTTTGGGAATATTTGGCAGCAATGGTTGTGCTTTTTTTGACTGTGATTAATTTCTTGGGTTGAATGATATTACATATATAATAGATATATATCACAAATCTATATGGCTTTTATTTGGAATTAGATAATTAGGAACATTTGCAAAATAAGGTGGAATGTTATATGTTCCAGGTCCTGGTCCAACATCATTTTTATCAGTTACTCTTGATTCTGATCCGAATCTAAATAAAATAATTATTTCTAGATATACGGGAATTTCGGTCCTGGATTTGATTAATTGAACTGATAGTGATTAGGAGCAGGATTATCATTCATTTTGCTCTTCTCCCTCGCCTCAGTCCCAACTCTACAAGACAAAGGCCTCGATTTTGTCTATGAAACATTCGGATGATAATCCAAAGGGCCTGGCGTACCATCTGGCAATCTATCTGTGTACTTGGGTCTCAGTGTATATCCTTTGCTTCCACCATCTCTACTAATATCATATGTCCCAGGACCTGGCACTTCCTACTAATTTACAAGTCTCCTTTATTCTGAACCTATTTTATAACTTGGAGGTCTTCTCTTAATAGCACTCTAAGACTAATAATGTCCAGGTCCTGGAGTGTAATGTGCATCAAAGACTTATCTCTGCTTTGCAGTTCCAACTCTCCCCCCAGGAACAGATCGCTTTGTAAAATCAGTGGAAGGATCATAATGCCCAGGACCTGGAGCTGAATCAGTTGCTGTAAGAATTCGCTTTGAACTTATGGTTGTTGCTTTGAGATTCAAGTGCGATTGATGCATATATTGACCAGGTCCAGGAGTCTATACTCTTTCAGTAAATGTTGAATCTCTCAAGGCATTTCCAAATCTATGATAGGGCCCCGATGTTGCTGGACGCACATTATACTTACCAACTCCTGGAATAAATGGCTTCGTATCATAGAAACCTCCTCTTGTTTGATTCCCAATTATGGATGCAGGTCTGCTTAGGACAGTCGAATAATTAGTCTCATATGCAGCAGGGCCAGGCCCATTCTTTAGCTCCCTTAAATTGTCATCAATTCCTCCCAATTGTGGTTTATTTCTCATGCTGTAACTGGAAGCGCACTTTTGCAAAGGTTTAAAGTCTGGATTGTATGCACCAGGTCCAGCTAAATCTTAATTACTATTTTACGGGTGATTCCCTTGCCCACTTCTGTGTGATTTTAAAATTTAGCTCCCATTGAGAATTCAGGCTTTTTCCTTTTCTACTAATAAGATAGTTAATTTTACAATGGCTTTTTGCAGTTGCTCATATTGACCTGGCCCTGGTTGAAAAGCAATTTGCAATCCTATTCTACTGGCAGTTCCAATTCTAAGTTTAACTGATTATAGTTTACTTCCAAGAAGGAGGTCTTTGATGAGGATATCGATCAGGGTTGTAGTTCTAATGTGTAACAATATTCATACCCCTACTCCCGGAGCTTATTCAACTTTAGGAGGTGGTCTTTGATTAGATGTTCCAAAAGAATAAGCAGCCATAATAAATATTAAAATTAAATTATAAGAATCATTTACTTTACCAAGAATACAATCCAAACAGAGTTACTCATTAGCAAATATAGTAAAAGAATCGACACTTAAAGTCCTTTCATTAGCCATAGAGCCTATAGGGTAGGTTAAGAAATTGAAAACCACTATTTCATTTTGTTTACTTACAAAATTATTATTATTTGATAAGAAAGTTAAGAATATTATTAAGAAAAAGAAAGTATTTTTTTATTAATATCTATAATATATCAATTAATATTATAAGACATAAAAGTATTAGTATTAAACATTAAATTCAACCTTTATTATGTCTTAAGTGATTTAATATAATCTTTATTTAGGCTATTTATTATATATTTATGTTATAGTAACTAATAGGAATACAAATATAAAATTTTTAAGGGGAACTTTATTCTGTTCTGAGTAGTGTCTCTATGTTTTTAAACTCTATTAAATCAAGATAATTATATATAAAATAATTTTCAATAAAATTATCTCATTATACATGAGCCATTATGGGTATGTCTGTTTCTATTACGTTTTCTATATTCTCTCTATTTTTGATACAAACAAGTAAACAACGTAAAAATATTATGGATTAATAATATTTTAGTACTTACAGATACTATAATCATACACTCAAATATATAAGATTAGCATTTAACCTTTTAATATATAAAACTTTTGAGCAATCAAAAATTAATATATTAAATAGATAATTAATTCATCAAAATTTGATCATTATGTATAAGCAACCTTAATAACCTACACCTAGAAATGTTGTCAAATAAACTCCGCTTAATACTCAAGAAATACTGCAAAGGCTTATGAAAAAGACTTCTAAATCAAAAATCCAATTGGTTGATATAGCTGATGATACTAAGATTGTTAAAAACGAGAAATTTTTTTCTAAATCTCCTTGTTCAGGATGGTAGAGCTTTAGAAATCAAAGTTCTGAGAGGGCGATTCATAAAATAAGACATTAATCGAATGAGGATTTATAAAAAACTCTAAAAAAACCATGCCATTTGAATCATGTAAGCTCGATGATTGGATTTCAATAGAAGGATTTTATTTAGAATGCCAATGCTTTTTTAAGAGAAAAAAATCTTGAAAATAAATTAGATACTTTGACTCAATAGATCTCAAAATTAAGGGAAAAATCTGAATAATTGGAATTACAGAACAAATTACTATTTGATAATTTATAGAAGTATAAATGTGAAGGCAATCAAGTAATTTTTGGGTTATCATGAAGGAAAGAAGTGCTTTGCTTGAGAGGTTGGATCACATGATTGAAATGCAGTAGAAACAAGAGGAGAATCTATAGCATATTAAGACGCTGTTTAGTGACAATTCCAGGAGAATAAAGACCCAATAATCGTAACCGAAGCAGAGGAGTTTTGGAAAATCTGCTTATATGGGATTCAATGTGTGAAAATGTTTATATTTAAATTATCTGTTAATAATTCATGAAACAATCACAAATGCAACACAAAAGTTGGTTATAATTGTAGAGATTTGAAGAGTATGAGATAAATAAAAAAAAGTACCTGGAGAAGGAACAAGAATTGAAATTCAAGAGTTAAGATTAATATGCTCAATAAAAGCAGATTAATTGGATTGGAGACATACATGAAAGACAAACCTAATTGCAGAAGGCCAAATGGAAGTGGATAGAGGAATAGAAGAAACAGTTGGAATGGAAAAGAGAGATGGATCAATTGGAAGGAGCTACATTCCATCCGTAAATATTAAATAAGGATCAAAAAATACGTACTCCCGATCAATTCTATAAGGATAATCTGGACTATAAAAATAAAACTGTATAAATCATACATATAAAATGTAGGAAAAACAAATACAGCAGTTAATCAAGTAAAAGGAAGACTAAATTAATAACCGAAGTTGTTCACCTAAGATCAACAAGAAATCTATATAGATGGTAGTGCAACCTTTTTATGACAGATTGAAGGATAAATAGTTAGAGAAGGAATAGAATTTACTAAAAATAAAAAAAAGCATAACACCTTCTTTCAGTCCATAAATTTATTCTCGCAATTTTTAGAGTCGTCAAACCTATCAAACTGTTTAATAATTTGTGAATGTGAATTCAACCAAAAATAAAACATTTGAAATTGATTTGGAAAATGTCAAAAATGATTATAAAACATTCACATTCTTTGAAGACATCAGAAGATCTTAGCATTCACCATCTGAAAACAATCAATAAAATGAAAATAATATTGCAAAAAATTTGCTATTGTTAACTGAAAACAGCTAGATCTTGAATGCTCAATCGAGTCCACAATAGTGCACAGCCAAAAAGTAATAGAGATCTGTGAGTCCTTTGAAATCAATCATGTCCAAAACTACCTAAAAGAATTACTTTAAAAAATGATTTGTATATTCTAATTATTCATACTAACGACTTTAATTCTTATATATCTCTCTATAAGATTGGTGATATTCTATTGAAAAAAATTCCATGATAAATTCAAATAGTCTTTAATTAATTAGATTTATAAATAAATTTAATCCATAAAGTTTAAAACGAAAATTGAAAATGGGAGCTTGTCACACCAAAAGGTCGAGAAGATAGAGCAAAGAATGGAGGTTCTGTGAAAGACTCACTTCGCAAAGATTAGATTTCATTTTTTAACGGTTGTCCCTATATTTGGAACTCGTTGGAGATACTCATTCATTGGGAGGATACTTGTAGGAAAAAATAAATGAGTTGTTTTAAATAAAATAAAAACTTACTCTAGTTAAAGATCACATACAGAAAATAGAATTACTCTATCAAGCATCTGAAGTGATCGAATACTTGTACGATGATAAACACTTCAGCTAAGCTTTCCCTATTTTGAGGGAAAGTTTATATGAAATCACACAATTGACAGTAGTCACATAGTGATTTACACTAAGCGTTTTTCAAATGATAATTTTTTGTCATTCAATAATTTTTATTCATAAATACAATACATAAAGCATGTAGTCTTCTGGATTGAGAAAAATAGTATTATTTATCTGAGGGATGAAGTTATGGATAGTTGAATTATTTATTTTCATTATTATTCTATAAAATTAAAGAACAAAAAGTGTTGAGAATTATTAGGTATAAAAGAGCAGAAACCAAATGATTTTAGTGTGTGCTCTGGGTTTCTATTAAAATTATGTTGATGTTCCTGAAATTCGAAACACGTTTTATAATCCAATTAAGAAATGTATTTCAAATAATCTGATTAATTAGTATTTTATTGAATTATAATGTCTCAACCCGAAAATAAGTAACCGAAACCATTGAAGGAAGTCTTGGGATTAAAATATGTCTTCGGTTTTAGAGGTGACATCAAAAACTCAATCCTCTAAGGGACATAGACAAATCTGTAGGAGAAATCAACTAAAACTAAATTCATATACCCTGCAGCAAATAATATAGTGATTTTTGATCCCATAGCTGATAAGAATAAGTCCTAGGAGATTATTCAGACAGTACTAGGGAGCAAGGGCGTTACATGTTTAACTATTTCATAATCGAGGAGGTAGATTCAAAATGTAATTTAGGTATATTGCATGGTCAGAGGAAAGTGATGCAGGAATAATAGTAATATTGGATTTGAACACTCGAAAAACTAAAATATTGAGTACAACAGATTGCAAATCTCGTTATTATGTGAGTCTTGATTTTTCAAGGACAGAGGAATCAAAATATTTAGTAGCATTGAGTGCCCCTCCTGAATAAATGTTGATACATTGGGCATGGGATAAATCAAAGTGTCTTGGAAGCACAATAATAAATGCAAAAGGGGATTCCATCAAATTCCATCAAGTGTTTTATCATCCAAAAGAAGATGATTTTGTATGTGTTATGGGCAATGGAGCTATCAAACCTTACAAATTGATACCAGACAATCCTCCGAAACCAAAAGATTCTCCTTTTCAGAAGAAGAAGGAAGTAAGCATTTTACATTATTTAATTAGGAAACCCACTCTACTAACTTCCTTTCTTATTGTATCTTAAGTGATTCTAAGACTATGGTAGTAGGAACAGACAGAGGAGAGGTGTTGTATTTTAATGAAAATTGCGAATTCAAATTAGTACTTTCACCACTTTAAAATTCAAATTAACAATCGATTGAGGGATTTCCAATAGAGTGCATAGTGAAATATTCAAATGGGTTTATAGTTGGAGGAAGTGATTGCATGATCTACATTTATAGGAAACACGAAGGTGATCTTAAAAATCCATATGTTCGAATTGACAAAAGAATATAAAACAAGCAAATAATTGCCAAAATCACAAGTTTATGTCTTACAAATCAAGAAGATAATCTAATCTTTGGAGTTGAATCTGGTTAAGTGTTCAGCATTCCTTTTAGTGCAGATAGAGAAGTAGCGAATGAGGATGAAATAAAATTTGATCATTTGATAGCACCATTCCATAGTGGACCAATTACAGGATTGGATGTTTGTACTAGAAAGTCTTTGGTAGTCACAGTCTCAGATGATCGAAGTATTAGGATTTGGAATTTCAACGAATTGATATTGGAAGTGATGAAAGAATGTGAAGATACACCTTTGGCTGTGGCTATTCATCCTTCTGGATTTCATTTGATTGTATCCTTTTCTGATAAAATTGTACTTTACAATCTCTTTGAAAAAGATTTAAATTCATTCAAAGAAATTCATATCAAGAATTGCCAATAAATTAAATTTGCTCATGGAGGTCATTTATTTGCAGTTGCCAATTAAAACTTAGTTTAAATCTATCAATTCTACACAGGTGAAAATCCATAGAATTACATATTTAAACAATCCACTGGAAACATATCTACTATTGAATGGGATATAGATGATTTAGGATTCTATACAGGAAGTGACAATGGATTTGTTCTCTATTGGAGATTGGAAGATAATTAAAATAAATTATAGTTGGCTATGATTCAATCTCAACCTATTGAATGTATCTGCACTCCGAAAACATATGC